GGGAGTGCAGGGTGTGGGCTGATGTTCTAGCCGATCATCGGGCATTGCGTGTAGGTGCATGCTGTTATCTTGTGGCAGGAATAAAGCAATAGTGCATGGATGAAGGCCCTGATCGGTCGCAAGTTTAGGTGCATAGCAGTTTGGGAGGTCTGTAAGGCCTATCAGCCTGGGAGGTTGGCTATGCTCGAAGGTGGACAGGGGTTTAGGTCTAGCGGGAGAAGTGGTGTCAGACAACTTGTCCATGGTTACCTTGGAGGAATTGGAGCCAGGGAGTCCAGGTAGTAAGGTATTCCTTGTATTTGAGAGTGAAGGAATAGGATAGTTCCTCCATTGTTCTAATGGAGTCAACCCTGGCGATCCAGGCTCTGATAGTTGGGGCTGTAGTCTGTTTCCACATTGTGGGAATTAGAGCGTTGGCAGCCGTTAGGAGGTGGTTGAGCAAGATGCGATTGTGCTTGTTTAGTGGTTGGGGGTATGATAGGAATAGCATGGTTTCAGGAGTGTGGGGAAGGTGAACGCCAGTGATGGTGCGTATGAGGATAGCTATCTGTCTCCAGTAATCCTGGATCACGGGGCAGAACCACCAGATATGTCCTGAGGTTCCCTCAGCTTGATTGCATCTCCAACATGTTTTAGGTGTGTTAGGGAAGAATCTGTTGATGCGAGTCGGCGTGTAGTGGTGCCATTTGGCAACTCGCTTGTAGTTGCTTTCGTGGGTACTATTGCTCCTGGATGTATGGAAAATGTTGTGGAAGATATTGTGCCAGTTTTTAGCCGGTATTTGGGTGGACAGTTCTTTGTCCCAGTGTGTGGTGTAAGTTGGCAGGATTTCGTCCTGGCTGTGGCGGATTGTTTTGTAGAAGGATGAGATTAGCCCCTTACGAAGTGTGTGATGAGAGCACTGTGTTTCGAAAAGCGTGGGGTTTCTATGTCCCTGGAGGAGTATAGGGTCCGAGTGTAGGAAGTGTGTAATTTGCGCGTGTCTAAATCTAAGCATGCTAGAGGGTTCGGCATTGGGGGTGAGGTCCTCTAGAGGGATGATCCCTTTGTCGTTGCGGACATCCCCTAGAGTGAGTGTGTGGGTCTGTTTAGGGAGGCTTTGGAGAGCGATTGGGTTAGAGCCTGGCAGGAAGGCTGGATTGTCGGTGAGTGGGTAGAGCGGAGACGGGTGTGGAGCTATATGTTGGTCCCTCCTGATGTTATGCCAGGTTCGTAGGGTATGAGGGATTGTCGGATGTAGCTCTGAGTTGTGTGTTATTATGTTGGGCTTTTGTCCTAGCCAGGGTGCCAGGTGAATTGGTGTTGAGAGGAAGCTGGCTTCAATCCTTACCCATTGTGTGTCGTTACGGGGGTATGCCCATTCATAGATTCGTGTAAGTGTGATAGCCTTGTGATACGCCCCCAGGTCAGGGAGACCCAGGCCCCCTCTCTGTTTGCTTTTGGTGAGGCAGTCATATCGGAGTCTGGGGGTTTGTCCGCCCATATGAATGTTGTAAATGTCCGCTTTGCTTGTGCGAAGAATGAGGTAGGAATTTTAATGGGGAGGGTTTGGAGCAGGTAGAGAAGTTTAGGGAGTACATTCATTTTGAGGATGTGGGTCCTGCAAAGCCATCCAAATTGTGGCTTGTTCCAGGCCTTGAGGTCTGCCGCAATCTTAGCAAGGAGAGGGGGAAAGTTAACGTCATAGGTGCGGTCTAGGGAGGTAGTGAGGTGGACCCCAAGGTATTTGACCGAATTTGAGGGCCATTGGAAAGGGTATGCGTTGTGGAGTAGTGATCGGGTGTTGTGGGATATATTAAGGGGGAGTATCTCACTCTTGCTAACGTTGATTTTGTAGTTGGAGACTTGGTGGTATAGGTCAATTTGTTGCATGAGGTGGGTCAGTGATGTCACCGGGTTTGAGATTGTGAACAGAAGGTCGTCAGCAAACGCTGTGACCTTGAATTCGCTTCGTGCTATTGTAAGGCCCATTATATCGGGGCAGTCCCTAATTCCCTGTATGAATGGTTCCATTGTGAGAATAACTAACAGGGGGGAGAGGGGGCATCCTTGCCTCGTGCCGTTGGATATTTGAAACACGTCTGACAGTTGGCCATTCACCCTAATCCGTGCTCCTGGTTTGGAGTAAATGGCTGAGAGCCACCTTCTCCAGTTCGGGCCGAAGCCTAGCTCTTGCGGTGTCAATTTAAGCATAGTCCAATCCACCCTGTCAAATGCCTTTTCGGCATCTATGGTAAGTATGAGGCTTTGGGATTGCGCCGATTTGGCGGCGTAGATGAGGCTAAGCAGTTTTGTTGTGTTGTTTTTTGCTTCGCGACCAGGCACGAAACCGGATTGATCAGGGTGGATTAGCCCCTTGAGTAGCGTTTGGAGTCGTTCGGCTAGGATCTTTGTGAATATCTTAAGGTCGCCGTTAATCAGAGAGATGGGGCGGTAGCTCCCACAATCTTCGGGGTCTTTCCCCGGTTTGTGTATGAGGGTAATGTGGGCTTCTAGGGATTCGGTTGGGAGATTATGCCCGGATGTGAGTGCATTGAATGCGTTGACGATTGGGGTTTTGAGGACACTGACGAACGTTTTATAGTATTTGGCTGTGAAGCCGTCCGGTCCGGGGCTCTTCCCTAGGGGGAGTCGTTTAACTACTGCTGTGAATTCCTCAGGTGTCAAGGGGCTGTCGAAGGTTTGTCTGATATTCGGGGGGATAGTATGGGTGATCCTCGTGGCTAGGAAATTGGTCACATCCTCGCCAGAGGGCGGGGTTTGTCTCAGGTTGTATAGGTCCGTGTAAAAGGTATGGAATGCCTTGAGTATGTTTGGTAGGAGGTGTGTGCGTGTGCCGTCTTTTTGTTTGATTGTGGTGATGTATGTCCGTTGGTTGTTTTGTTGGAGTGCTCTCGCTAGTAATCTGCCACATTTTCCTCCTTGTAGGTGTGTTTAGTGCGTTGCAGCGTTCGTTTAACCTTGGAGTTAAGAAGTGTTTGCAGTGTCGTGCGTTTGTCCACTAGTTGTTTATATATGTCCAGGGACATGTTTTGTTTGTGGGTTTGTTCTAATTGGCGTATGTCCACTAGTAGGTCTGCTGTCTGCGCTTCGCTCTGTTTTTTGAGTTTGGAAGCTAGCGCTATGATGTGGCCCCTTAGTACCGCCTTGTGGGCTTCCCAAATGATTGGTGGGGGGGATACGGAGGGCTTGTTTTCTTCGAAGTAGTGCCGTAGTGTGGCAGTGAGTGTTGTATTGATGGTTGGGTCGTTTAGTAAGGTGTCGTTCAGTTTCCACTGGTTGCGGTTGGGTGTCAATGAGGGGACCTGAATAACCAGTGACAATGGTGCATGGTCCGACCAGGTGATAGGGCCATAGTTGCAGGATTGGATTAGGTGTAGGTGTCTGTGGTGGAGGAAGAGCATATCTAGTCTGGAATAGGTATGTTTTACCGTGGAGTAGTATGAGTAATCCCTGGTGTGTGGGTGGGTGATCCTCCAGCTGTCGAACAGGCAGGCTTTATCTAGTAATTGGGTCATCTTGAGTCTAGTGTGGGCGTTGTAGGATGTGGACATGGATGTGGTGTCTAGGTTCGAGTCCAGGGACATGTTTAGATCTCCTCCCATTATCAGGATACCTTCTATGTGTTTTTCAATTTTGGTAATGTATTTCATCAGGTGCATGCTTTGTTTGGCATTAGGTAAATACATGTTAGCAAACGTCACCACAGTGTTGCCTATCTTACCTTTCACTATGAGGAGCCTGCCATTGGGGTCCGCATAGTGACTTATGTGGGTGTAGGGTACGTGTGAACCTATAAGGATGGCTACCCCTCTGGTCTTGGCCTCTTTGTAGCACCCATAGTATCCTGTGGGGTAGTGGCGATTACGAACTGTGAGGGTTGAGCCCATTTTAAAGTGGATTTCTTGGAGGAAAGCTACGTCTGCTTTTAGGTTGCGTAGCTCCCGGAGGGTCAGCGCTCTTTTCATGGGGGAATTGAGGCCCCTGACATTGAGGGTGATTACAGTAAGGCTGGCCGTGTTGTCTGCAGGGGGGGGGTGTCATGTTGTGGTGGTCTTGAATGGGTGTGTGGCAATCAAAACGAAAGAAAAACAGAGTTAACAATAAAACAGTTAAAGAAACTATATACAAAGCGGCTCTTACACTTGTAGAGCTGGAAGTGGGGGTGTTGTGAAATGTGGAGTCAGTTTGCCTTGGTTGACGGTGGCTTTCCCTTTGGCGGCTATTAAGTCCAAGGGAAGTTGAGTCGGCACCGCTTAGGCTTTAGGTGACTCTCCACTTATTTTTAGAGTGACCGAATTAGTTCGGTGTGGGGGGGTTTGGTGATGTAACGGTACGTCTTTCCATAGGGAGAGACAGGCAATCCATGGTGTGCTAGATGGTGATTTGGACTGGAAAATCAGGCTTGGGGGTGTGTATAGTTTATGGGACCATTCGGTATGTACCGGTCGCAACAGGTATGGGCAGTGGGGTGCTCAGTGTTTAGGGTCGGAGTGGCTCGTTAGGGCCGGTCCGGTACCTGGGCCGTGGTTAGTGCGTGTATACCATCTTCCAACTCTGCAAGGACTAAAGACATCCATCACAGTAATATGGCCACGATAATGGTACAGAAAACATTTGGAACGTACTCATAAAACAGTCATCCTAGCTCCTCCCGATATAACACAATTTGGTTCAACTCTACCCAGAAGCATATTAGAAGCATGTCATGTGGGTTGTTAGGAGAGGTACCTCGGGAAGAGTTGGAGGGTGCGGGGAGGGGGGAAGAAATAGAGAGGGGTAGGAGGGGGAGGGGTGTATGGGGGTGGGAAGGGTGGGGGGGGGAGAGGTTAGAGGTTACAATGCTCACACATTGTAAACCAGCTGAGGAGTAAGAATGATACCCGTCCGAAAGTCTCCTGCTGGACTTCCCACTGGCATATCATTGCCATTCAGTATACAGAGTGCCCAGAGTGTGTAGGGCTGTGTGTAGGAGTCCGTACAACGGCTAAGGTTAAGTCCTGGATTCGTATCAGAGGCAGTTCTATGCCAAAGTGAGGTTTGGTGGGATCTCTGGTTCCGTCACGGAGTGGGAGGTTTGATTCGTCTGCTGTAGCGTTGGGGATGTTAGAATGTTCCTTGTCAGGAAGTGTGTGTGAGAATTTTGGCTTCCAGGGTATGTTGAGTCAGTATAGTGGCCCATGGTGGTGGGAGTCCAGGGAAGTGCGTGAGTCTTCTTCGTGCTTGTAATCCAAACTGGGCCAGGTTGAGTCCGGCAGCAAGGTCAGTTCTTTGAACAGTGTCTCTGCTATCCGTGTTTGCAGATTGGATCCTGGAGTCATGGTAGGGGTGGATGGCGACCGGTAACGCTGGTAGGGAGAGTTCTTTATTGGGCAGGGGGTCCTGCTCTCGGTCTGTGTCCCCCTGGATGAGCGACTTGGTCGTTGTAGCGTCTCTTCGACGGGGTTTGTACTCTCAGTCGTGGGACATTGTGCTGCGGAGGCTGGTGTAGTGGACCATACCAGTCAGGGATACAGACATCTGAAAGGTCGAGGGCTGAGGTGAAGGTTTGTACATCTTCGGCTGATGAGAGGGTGGCAGTGACCCCGTTGTGTGTTGCTGTGATGGCGAGGGGGAATCCCCATCTATAGCGTATATTCCTGGATCTTAAGAGGTCGGTGAGTGGCTTCATGACCCGTCTTGCTTGGAGAGTCTGGGTATATCTGTACTGGCCGTCCGTGGTACAGCAGTGGTTGGGAGGTCTGGCGGAGGCACCTCAGGACGTCCTCTTTGATGCTGTAGTAGTGAAGCCTGCAGATCACATCTCTGGGGGAGTCCCCCCCAGGGCTCTTGGGTTTAAGTGCTCTGTGCGCTCTGTCTAGCAGGATGGGCACTGTTATGTCACGTTGGAGGATTAGGTTAAAGAGTTCTTGTAGTGTGGAGTGAAGGTCCTCCCCCTCGGCCTCAGGTAAGCCTTTAATCCTTAAGTTGTTACGGAGCCCTCTATTGTCCAGATCGTCAAGTGCTCTGTACATAGCTGCCATTTGTGTGTTGTGAGCTGCCACAGTGCTTTGTAGGGCTTGTAATTGTGTGCATGTGCAGTCATGTTCGTTTTCTAGGGAGTTAACCCTATCACTGACCTGTCTGACTTCTGTGGAGATGTCATCCATCTTCTTTTGAAAGGTCACTTCGAGTTTCTGCAGAATAGCAGCCAGATCCTGCTTGGAAGGGAGATTCCTGAGTATTTCTGTCAAATCCTTATCTCGACCAGTGTCAGACGTGAGGGAAATGCTGTCTGAAGCCGCCGGGCTGGAGGGCCCTGAGGAGTGCTCCGCCGGGTCGTCCGGCGCCATATTGGAGCCTGCGGCCTCATTTCGCCGGTCGCCCTGATCCTTAAAGTATTTAGTTAGGCCGCTGGATTTAGCCGCGGAATGTTTGCCCGCCGTGTTAGGGGCTGTTGAGAGGCGTTTGGGGTGTCCCATGTTGCAGGAGGTGCCCGATGGATGCGGATTGCCCTGTGTCTCTCTCGGAGCTCTGCTAGCAAGCGTCCATTCGCGCTCGCGGTTAGCTCCGCCCCCCCTTTTTGTATGTTTTTGTCAGCTGCTCACTAACTGGGGCAATTAAACCCATATATTATTTGGATCATAACCTTTACAATACGCCTTTCAGTTGAGCACATACAGGGGTAGGCATCCTTCGGCGCTCTAGATGTTGTGGACTACATATCCATTAATGCTTTGCCAGCATTATGGCTGTAAGAGTATTATGGGGGAGTAAGTCCACAGCATCTGGTGATGGTTGCCTAAACACTACAGCAGAGCTCACTACGTTAATAATAACATGTATCTATTTCTCCAAGTCAGGCTGAGCTGCTGGATATTATAGGACCTCCACAGCAGCTCTCAATCCAAATGCCATTTGCTGATGAGAGCAACAGAGGGCAAAGAGTGTTGCAGGTTAGAGAATTAAAAAAAAAAAAAAACCTCTTCAATGGAAAAGAAGAAATGCCAAACAACCGAAAACAAAGTCATAAGGAAGACACGACAAAGAGGGGGATACCAACAAGGAAATTATAATAAACACACAGAGTATGTGAACAGACAGCAGCAACAGACAGACGAGTGAGAAAGCGGAAAAGGAAAAAGGAAGTGAAAAGAGAAGTGGGAGGGAGAGAAAGAAAGAAAGAAAAGAGGAGGGAGAGAGAGAGAGCGCTTGCTAGCTAGCTCTGAGACACTGAACTCAGGAATCCTGCACATGTGGATGCAAGTTACAGACTGCTAGCAAAACAGCTGCTGAATGACCTGGGTAAGGAGAGCTACAGTAACAGGCACTGAGCTAAGAGTTATAACTTTATACTGAGTACAGGGCACAGAGCTAAGAGTTATAACTTTATACTGAGTACAGGGCACAGAGAGGGGGCACTTATACCTACTGTGTCCTGGGCATGTGGGGGAAGGGGTTATACAGAGATACAGTTATACTAAGTACAGGGCACAGAGATACCTACTGCGTCTTGGGCGTGTGGGGGAAGGGGTTATACAGTTATACTGAGTACAGGGCACAGAGCTAAGAGTTATAACTTTATACTGAGTACAGGGCACAGAGAGGGGGCACTTTTACCTACTGTGTCCTGGGCATGTGGGGGAAGGGGTTATACAGAGATACAGTTATACTAAGTACAGGGCACAGAGATACCTACTGCGTCTTGGGCGTGTGGGGGAAGGGGTTATACAGTTATACTGAGTACAGGGCACAGAGCTAAGAGTTATAACTTTATACTGAGTACAGGGCACAGAGAGGGGGCACTTTTACCTACTGTGTCCTGGGCATGTGGGGGAAGGGGTTATACAGTTATACTGAGTACAGGGTACTGACAAAATTGTCACAATGATCTCTGGAACAGTACCTAAATTACACAACTCCCACTTATCCATCAAAACAAATTCAAATAGCACACTGACCACAGTCCACTCTTTCAAATACTTGGGTATGATGTTAGACCCCAATCTATATTTTGGCCTCCACATAGAAAAACTTGCATCTAAACTTTATCCATAAGTAGGTGCCCTGTACAGAAACAAATCCTGCCTAAGCCCTACAGTAAGGGAAAAGATTGTACAGCAAATGCTGATGCCAATCATTGATTATGGGGATGTAGTATACAGTTGCAGAAAAAGTATGTGAACCCTTTTGAATGATATGGATTTCTGCACAAATTGGTCATAAAATGTGATCTGATCATCATCTAAGTCACAACAATAGACAATCACAGTCTGCTTAAACTAATAACACACAAAGAATGAAATGTTACCATGTTTTTATTGAACACACTATGTAAACATTCACAGTGCGGGTGGAAACAGTATGTGAACCCTTGGACTTAATAACTGGTTGAACCTCCTTTGGCAGCAATAACTTCAACCAAACGTTTCCTGTAGTTGCAGATCAGACGTGCACAACGGTCAGGAGTAATTATTGACCATTCCTCTTTACAGAACTGTTTCAGTTCAGCAATATTTTTGGCTCCTCAGATACATTAACAAAAAGTCATATTTTCTCCAAACATATTTCATTATGGATAATTAAAATTATATATAACAGGATTAAGCTTTGTTAAGTGTAATAAACTTAAAAAGTGAGAAGTAAAAATATGATAAAATATGATTAGAGGCTTAGGGTTAAAGCGTCTCTCCAAGCACCACAAACCAACTGTAATGGTTATGATGCTAGGAGTACGCTGATGCGATTCTCCGGTATCGGGCCAGATTGTTTAGCAAAGAGTTTTCTCCTACTTTTGTCACCAAGGCTCTCACAATGTCAGCTTAAAGGGACACTCCAGGCACCCAGACCACTTCTGCCCATTGGAGTGGTCTCAGTGCCAACTCCCACTACCCTTAACCCTGCAAGTGTAATTATTGCAGTTTTCATAAAATGCAATAATTACATTGCAGGGTTAACTCCTCCTCTAGTGGCTTTCTACTAGACAGCCACTAGAGGGCACTTCCTGGTTTCTACCACAGGTTTTGTGAGGCACGCTGTGTGAGGACCTCTAGCGTTGCTCAATTCCCCATAGGAAAGCATTAAAAGCATTTTCAATGCTTTCCTATGGAGAGGTCTAATGCGCTCATTAGGTCCCCTTCGCCGACGGCCACGCATTCGCGATCAGTCTCCCCTGCTGGATGACGTCGGCGGTGGAAGAGCTTGAGCGGACCCGAAACCACTGCCGAGGGACATCGGAGAGGGGGTCTCAGGTAAGTCACTGAAGGGGTTTTCACCCCTTCAGCAACATGGGATGGGGGGTGGGAGGGAGAGGGTACCTGCAGTGCCAGGAAAATGGATCTTTAAAGGGACACTGTAGGCACCCAGACCTCTTCAGCTCATTGAAGTGATCTGGGTGCTGTGTTCCCTGAAATATTTACATTGCAGCTCTAAGTCTGCCCTCAGTGGCTGTCTACTAGATAGCCACTAGAGGGCTTCTGAAATCGAATTGACCTTTGGTCCGTTATCTGACACTGAACGTCCTCACGCGGCAGATTTTTCCCCATCCGAAGGCGAATGAGCCCATTGCCGCGCATTCGCATTAGGTCTCCCCCCCCACCAGCGCTGAGGGACATCAGATGGGAGGGAGTGGAGGACCCTAGAAATCTATAGTGCCAGAAAAACGGCTTTGTTCCAGGCTGGTTAATGAAGCAATATCCCTGTCAAATATAAATACTGCACATACAGACTCCAAGCACCATCACCACTTAAAATTTGTGAAGTGGCCATGGTGCTTGGAGTAAACCTTTAAGCAGTGGTGCCCAACTGGTATTCGCCAGATGTTTTAAAACAGCAGCTTCCGTGATGCTTTGTCAGGCATTCCAAAGGCATGCAGTGTGCTCTACAACATCTGGGGATCTACCTACTGGGCACATCTGCTTTAAAGGGTAGCTGTATTTAAGATATTGTTAACTGTAACCCATATCATATCATTATACAAACTTTCATAGGGTGAACCCAGGGCTCAGGAATTAAACTGATTGAAAAATAGTTGCCAATTGTTCTATTACTGCACCTTCCTTGCAAACCACTAACTGTCTATCTTTTGCTCAGATTGGGATGACTCACTGGTGCTGGCTCCGAGCTGTAGGAGTTTTTCTCCTCCTGTTTGTGGGTGATCTTGGAGGTGAGATTTCCACTATGTATTAAATGATTTAAAAGTAATTAATAAAATTGTATAATTCTGTAAATACCTCTTATATGATCTTTTATAGTATTGAAGATGCCCCGAAAACATTCATAGTGAGGTAAACACCCTGTGAATTTTTATAGTGGTGTACAGACCTGATCCTGTCCTATCTATGTCACCCAATGCTGGGAGGGACCGACTCCATGTCCCATAGCTCCCTCCTGTTTGTGTCACCCTGTGCTGTGAGGAACAGACTCCATGTCCCATAGTTACCTACTGTCTGTGTCACCCTGCGCTGGGAGGGACAGACTCCATGTCCCATAGCTCCCTCCTGTCTGTGTCACCCTGTGCTGGGAGGACAGACTCCATGTCCCATAGCTTCCTCCTGTCTGTGTCACCCTGTGCTGGGAGGGACAGACTCCATGTCCCATAGCTCCCTCCTGTCTGTGTCACCCTGTGCTGGGAGGGACACACTCCATGTCCCATAGCTCCCTCCTGTCTGTGTCACCCTGTGCTGGGAGGGACAGACTCCATGTCCCATAGCTCCCTCCTGTCTGTGTCACCCTGTGCTGGGAGGGACAGACTCCATGTCTCATAGCTCCCTCCTGTCTGTGTCACCCTGTGCTGGGAGGGACAGACTCTATGTCCCATAGCTCCCTCCTGTCTGTGTCACCCTGTGCTGGGAGGGACAGACTCCATGTCCCATAGCTCCCTCCTGTCTGTGTCACCCTGTGCTGGGAGGGACAGACTCCATGTCCCATAGCTCCCTCCTGTCTGTGTCACCCTGTGCTGGGAGGGACAGACTCCATGTCCCATAGCTCCCTCCTGTCTGTGTCACTCTGTGCTGGGAGGGACAGGCTCCATGTCCCATAGCTCCCTCCTGTCTGTGTCACCCTGTGCTGGAGGGACAGCTCCATGTCCCATAGCTACCTCCTGTCTGTGTCACCCTGTGCTGGGAGGGACAGGCTCCATGTCCCATACTGGGAGGGACAGGCTCCATGTCCCATAGCTCCCTCCTGTCTGTGTCACCCTGTGCTGGGAGGGACAGGCTCCATGTCCCATAGCTACCTCCTGTCTGTGTCACCCTGTGCTGGGAGGGACAGACTCCATGTCCCATAGCTCCCTCCTGTCTGTGTCACCCTGTGCTGGGAGGGACAGGCTCCATGTCCCATAGCTCCCTCCTGTCTGTGTCACCCTGTGCTGGGAGGGACGGGCTCCATGTCCCATAGTTTCCTCCTGTCACGCAGTATTAAGCCCTGTGTGCTGGGAGGGGACTGCTCTATGTCCCATCCCTTCCCTGTCTGTGTCGCCTGTGCTGGGAGGGACATACTCATGTCCCATAGCTCCCCCTCCCTGTCTGTGCCTCTGTGCTGGGAGGGACAGACTCCATGTCCCATAGCCCTCTGTCTGTGTCGCCTCAGGCTGGGAGTCTGTTCCCAGTATTGGCTTATTACAGACAGAAGGGAGCCAAGTGGGAGTGGACATTGCACTCCCTCCTGTCTGTGTCACCCTGTGCTGGGAGGGACAGACTCCATGTCCCATAGCTCCCTCCTGTCTGTGTCACCCTGTGCTGGGAGGGACAGGCTCCATGTCCCATAGTTTCCTCCTGTCTGTATCACCCTGTGCTGGGAGGGACAGACTCCATGTCCCATAGCTCCCTCCTGTCTGTGTCGCCCTGTGCTGGGAGGGACAGACTCCATGTCCCATAGCTCCCTTCTGTCTGTGTCGCCCTGTGCTGGGAGGAGTCTGTCCCTCCCAGCACAGGGCGACACAGACAGAAGGGAGCTATGGGAGGGACAGACTCCATGTCCCATAGCTCCCTCCTGTCTGTGTCACCCTGTGCTGGGAGGGACAGACTCCATGTCCCATAGCTCCCTCCTGTCTGTGTCACCCTGTGCTGGGAGGGACAGGCTCCATGTCCCATAGCTCCCTCCTGTCTGTGTCGCCCTGTGCTGGGAGGGACAGACTCCATGTCCTATAGCTCCCTCCTGGCTGTGTCACCCTGTGCTGTGAGGGACAGACTCCATGTCCCATAGCTCCCTCCTGTCTGTGTCACCCTGTGCTGGGAAGGACACACTCCATGTCCAATAGCTCCCTCCTGTCTGTGTCACCCTGTGCTGGGAGGGACAGACTCCATGTCCCATAACTCCCTCCTGTCTGTGTCACCCTGTATGGAGGAGAAACTAGACCATGCCCCTTAATGCAATAAACCAGAATCTTATTAATAGATTAATCCCAGCAAATTGTAACCATACCATTGGATGTGTTATATTCCCAGTATAGCCTACACCTTTTAATGATTAAATCACTTTGTTGACCAGAAAGTTATTCATCTGTTTACTCATTTATTATACAGGAAATTCCGAAGTTTGTTCACTCTGCTGTATATTTCTACGTGAAGACCGCGGCTTAAATTGTACGTGGGCTGGTAATGCAAACACGCAGTACACCCTCCATTTACAGAGCCTGAAATTGTGAGTGTAAGAATGCTAAATGCACGTAGCGTGTACCCAATGTTTTCCAATGTTTTTAGTTAGATGGAGAAACACAAAACACTGTATAGGACTATCAGCCTGGGCCTAAACGCAGTGTGAGGGTCCGTCGGTGGTAGCAAGACCACCTCTCAGTGTTTAGTCTGGACAGTGTGTTCAGTATCTGTGTGTGTCTGTATCTGTGGCAGTATGTCTGTCTGTGTATCAATGTTTGTGTGTCTGTACGAGTGTATGTCTAAAAAATCAACATGGCTGCTATGTGAGTCTAACATACAATGTCATGCTAATGTAGCAACAGGTACACAATACGTGGCACAATATATACATACAGTTTCACACATTCCATTCTGAAATGTATGAACGTTTTGGTGCCTGGTGCTGAATTCACCAGTTTGTATAATATATTATCCATATCTGAACAGGCCTTCAGGGATAGGATAAGGTTAGGTTGCAAAATTATTATTACTTTTTCTTAATATGGTCAGCACTTCAATTTATACACTAATCCTTCATCAGGAGTAGTTTTTTATGTAGACTGGATTATCTATACTGAAAAATCTAAATCTGAGTTCGAATAATGCAGCCATATATTTAGCCTTATGATAGTACCTTAATCCGAAAATGAGTATTTAGAAAACGCTTACCCTATTTTGGCGGGACAGTCCTGACTTTCGATCCCTGACCTGACTTTGTTCCCTGGTGCTCTACTTTTGGGGATACGGAAGTACTGTGCTCAACAAGCATAGCGCAAGCACATCAAGAGACACTCTTGTGCTATCCTCAGGGCAGTCCCACCAGGCTGACCTGTCATTCCCTGGGCAGACCTGTTCCCTTTCCATAGGTCCACTTCTTTGGGCTAAGCTAGTGATGCAATTCATGTCATTGATCCACCTAACTTTACCCCCTCCCACTGCATCCCACTTCACAGGACGTCAAAGTTGGGAGGTATGTTATATGTATGTGAGTATATTTTCAAAGTAGAACTAACCATTCGGAGCTTCGGAATCATGAATTTACTTGGCTCAGTTAGAATAAAGGGAGGGCCCCAAACTGATAACCTCTTAGGGCCTGAAGAATCTTAATCCCTCTTTGTACAAATGATATTCTTCCAGAGAATGTGTACATTTCAATTACAAAATGATTAGCAGGAGTCAGGGTTGGATGTCAATAGGTAGCATCTGGGACCTGTACAATTTGGTAGCACATAAAATCTCCTGTTTTTGCTCTTTCTTACAGTAACATTAATAAACCTAGCACGGTTTTAAATTTTACTTCCCTGCTGGGCCGAACCTCGATACTGATTCCGCGGAAGAGCCTGACGAAAAACGACAATTACCTTTTGAAGCTAAAACATGGAGCTGAAGAGGAGAGCTACTACTTCACCTACGATGACGCTGACAAAAATTGTATGAAGCCATGGACAGGGCATGGGGCTAGAGACAAGCACATCAGGGGTTATTCACTCTACTGAGAAACATCTACAATTGATGAAGTAACTTTACATTCCATAACAAAATAACTGAATTGGAATAATCAAAGTGGTGGAGAGTTGTTAGTTCTTCATAGTTCCAAGTTGAGTGAATAAAGGATCCATGTAGATGGGAATTGTGGGTAAATGCATAGTAAAGGACATCTACCACCTCAAAATGTTTTTGAATGTGATAATCCATTCATCAAGTTTGGAAAGAATTGAGATATTTTTTTAAAATTAAGTATATTTAAATAATAAGAAAAACATGTCTTTACATTCAGTATATGACAGAATCCTTCAGCCATATACATACACCTTGGGTCGGAGAGGCCCTGGGGAGATAGCGCAGCCAAACGGACAAGGGCACATGTATGAGTGTGGGAATGGATGCTTGCAATTGGCTGTATGTGTGTATGGGAGTGGTTATATGTTTGGTGTAGGGATCATCTTACCTCAGTGCCTCTTGGGAGACGGGCCAGCAAACAACTTACCCTTACTCTATTGCTCCTGTTTGTCCTGGGCCTTGGAAACTTTCTGCTAAAGGATGGATGTGGAAGCAATCCTGTCTGACCTCAGAGCTTCAGCTGCATTGGATGGTGGTAGGCCCCTCTGTGAGCAATTTGCTCACTTCCAGCCTGGTTTGGCTGCCAGTGTGCCCCCCACTCCCAACGGGCAGGCCTCTGCTGGGGCCTCCCATGCAGCCACAGCCCCTGCAAGGACACGCGGCCTGCTCCCCCAGAAGTTTCCAGCGCGCCCCCAGCAATGGACAGTGGGCCGGGGGTACAAGAAGACGGCCTGCACGGCTCAGACAGCCTTGAGCGTCTGGGAGGCCTTCACAGGCGCCACGCGGTCGGCACGATGGTGGACCTGTGACTGTGCCGGCGTTGGTGAGTGGGCCATGCGGGGCACGGCTGTGCTGCCGTTAGAGGGTGTAGGGGGGTCCTCCCTGGGTTCTGGTATGTCCTCTGGGGATGAGTTTCGACCAGGGGGATCCCCCTCTCTTCACCCTGCTTCTGGCTATTGTTTCCCCTTCTCATCCCCCCCTTTGGTGTCCCCCTGCCCTCCCTTGTTGGGCCCCCTTCTCCCGTTCTGGGTCCCTCCCTGCCCTCTGCCCTGCTTTCTAGCCCCCTCTCTCTCCTTCCTTCTTCCACCCTCCTCCTGTCCCCTGCTGGTCCCTCTTTCTCCCCTGGTTACTTACCTCGGCTGACCTTCTCTTCACTGCTCTTCTAACAGGATCTGGCTGCTGTTCCTGGGACTGCCCAGGTGGTGCCTGGAACTCCTGCAAGGCTAATTACTAGTGAAAGTGGACTTACCTCAATCCTGCCAAGATCTTCATCAATTCCTGTGCTGCGGGTGGACCATCGGGCATCAGCTAGTGAGTACGGTACTGCAGTCAGGGGGTCCCTCGCTGGGGGGGTTCCTGACGGATCGGAGTTTATGCATCAGTGGGCACAGGGGACGCAAGCATGCAGGGATTCCCCCTTAGATTGTTAGCTTCAGTCGGTTTGGTGCACCGCTCAGTAGCCGCTAGAGGTACAGGCTGTACAAGGGTTCATAGGGTCCCCTCTGCCCGTGGTTAGTGTCACTACTAGCATTCCTTCTTTGGTGTCAGTTACCACCTGCTGTCTTCGGCGCGGTAGTCAGCGCCGTTGAGGTTTCCCCAGTGATGAGTGTCTCTCTGGGTGTCTCTGACGTGGCGTGGAGGTCCGCTTATATATGTTGGTCCGGACCTCTGGGTTTGCACCTGAAGCAGGAAGTTATGGAAAACATTTGGAAGGGAATGAATGGAGAAAGACAAAGAAAAATACTGTTACTGAAAGATCCCCAAGACTTTCGGAATTGGATTTGGCATTTTCCATATTGGCTAGCGTCATTGGGGAAAAGGCTCCATTGTTCTGCTACCAGGACACCATTTGGAACGCTTGTATGGCGTGCTGGTGGAAGTATAACAAGCAATTTCATCAACGGTTAGCGGTGCCCCCCTCAATTTCCTGGGACCAGATGGACATTGGCCTCTGGCTCTCCATTATGACCCACCCGGTGCTGCAGCAGGGTAGTTTCTCGTCTTTTTTGGGGTTGGCCGCTGGGGGGATCCTCCGCCTCACCAGTCGCGCAACAGAGGCCAGACTGTTGTTGGAAATTTAATGACAGTCATTGCAAATGGGGAGCCTTGTGCCGTTTCAAGCAGGAATGCTCAACCTGCGGGGGTGCTCATCCCGTTTCCCGATGTTTCAAGCGGAGAAAAGCTAGTGAGAAAGGGGATCTGAGGTCTAAGGGCGACTGTCGTAAGCACAATGTGCCAGTGGATCGCCAGTTATAGGAATCGTCGGGCAGCCAACATCCTGTTGGGCGGTTTTGAGCACGGTTTCTGGATTCCTTTTACTTGTCACGCCCCACCTCGCTGCTGGTTCGGAGCTTTTGGTTGCTCTGGGATTTCCCGCATGTGGTTCGGGAGAAGCTTCGCAAGGAGGTGTCTCTGGGTTGCATGGCGGATCCCTTTAGCGACCCCCCTTTACCGAACTTGCGGGTCTCCCCCATGGGCGTGGTGCCCAAAAAGGAGCAGGGAAAATAGAGTTTGATTTATCGTTTGTCATACCTTCGCGTACCCTCAGATGTCCTACGCGTCCTTTGACGTGGCAGTTGGCATGGTCAGGCCTGCAGGCCCCGAGGCCTTGTTGACCAAGGCCGACATGGAATCAGCCTTTCGTTTGCTGTCGGTGCATCCAGAATGTCATCATCTTCTGGGTTGTGTTTTTGAAGACATGTACTATGTGGATATGTGCCTCCCGATGGGCTGTTCCATATCCTTTTTCTACTTTGAGTGCCTCAGCACATTCTTGTAGTGGGTGGTTAGGAGGGAGGTAGGGATCGACTCCCTGCTGCATTACCTAGATGACTTCCTTTTTGTGGGTCCGCACGATTTGCCTGCCTGTGCGCTGCTGCTGCGGGTTTTGGGGCATGTTTTTCGACGCTTTAGCGTCCCATTGGCTTATGACAAAACAGTGGGTCCGGTCATGTGTCTCAGCTTCCTGGGCATTTATATTGATTACGTGCCATTTGCCCTCTGATAAGATTCAAGGCTTGCGGCGGGAAGTGTCTATGGCCCTAGGACGGCGTAAGATCCAACTGCAGAACCTGCAGTCGCTGCTGGTTTAGCTGAATTTCGCCTGTCGGATCATGCGTCTGGCTGCGGCGATGTCCGGGGTCATTGGACCACAGCACTTCATTCGACTTATTCGGCCTCTGCAGGATGATCTGGCGGCCTGGCACTCCTTCCTGGCTGCCTATAATGGCTGGTCTTACTGGCAGGCGCCGGAGGTCTCTAACACGGACCTACACATATTCATAGATGCGGTGGGCTCGGTTGGGTTTGGGACAATTCTGGGCTCTAGATGGTGTGCTGCCTCTTGGCCGGACAGTTGGCATGTTTCTGTCCTAGCTAGAAATCTAGCTCTCCTAAAAGCTCTTCCCCATTCTGTTGGCGGTGGAGGTTTGTCACTGTGACAATCTGGGGGTGGTTCAAGCTATCAATCGGCTAACAGCCTCCTCCCCTCCAGTAGTTCGCTTGTTTAGGCGTCTGGTGCTCCAATGTTTGTCTCCATGTGTATTGTAGGGCGGAGCATATACCTGGCATTTACAATTTAATGACGGATGCTCTCTTTTATTCGCAGTGGTCGGAATTTCGGACAGTCGCCCCGCAGGCGGATCTGGAGGGGACTCTGTGGAGATGTGGTAGCTTGGTCTGGCAGATTGATGGACTTGGTCCGTGGGTTGGTCTCCAGGGCCACGTGGACATGATACAGTAAGGAGTGGTGTGATTGGGACAAATGGGAGCACGATCAGGGTGGTTTTGGTGACTCAGCTGCCTGCCTCTCAGGTCTTTTGCAGCTCTTGGATCACTGGGAGTCCGCGGGTAAGTCCCCATCTGCGATCTCCTCAAGTTTTTCGGGTCTTAGCTTCCTATTCAAGCTACATGGGTGGGAAGATTCTACCAAGGCATTTGTAGTGTGCCAGGCACTGAAAGGCTTGAGGCGGCGAATTGCTTCCGCGGATGTGAGAAGATCAGTCTACGCTGTGCTCCTGACAAGATTGTGTGGGGTGCTTCCTCGGGTCTGTTACTCAGTTTTTGAAGCCCGTCTATTCGCTTTGGTCTATTCCCTGGCATTCTTTGGGGCTTTACGCATTGGGGAATTGGTGAGCCCTAGAAGGTGCTGCAGTGGTGGGGTTTTGTTTGCCGATGTTCAGTGTGCTGCGGATCATATTGCAATTAAGATCCGACGCTAAAAGACCTCCACTACCACGCACCATCTTTTCTGTCTGTTATTGTTCATGTTACAGCTAGCAGGGGGCGCGTCCTTGCTAATAGGTTTTGGGGGATTGTTACATTGAGTGTCAGGATATGGACAAGGTCGGATCTCAACCTCCCCTGCTCTGTAGAGTAAACTTTAATTTACCGATTTGGACGTGCCCACCAAGCTAAAACCCGGCTGGTGGTAAGCATTAAAAGGAAAAGGGAATTTGGTTTCGACAAGGTGGAGGCAAGAACTCAGTGGGCAAGTTGGTGCATAGACAGGTGGTCTCTTTCATTGGCAAGGACGTTTATGTAAGCTAAAGTCTGTATGGCCTAGGTGTTAATTTATATGTCAAGTTATGGATTATTTATCTCTGGTTATAATTAAATGATAAAGTTAATAAATGTTGGATGAGTCCTACAGTCTTATGTTTAATAAATGCTGTGGCCTGTTTAATCCAAATTCGGTGTCTGTCTTTATTAGGGGGGGTGGGGTGGTGGGGCTCCGTTATTCTTATTCCTCACTACATCCATACATGTGTTTGAAAACCGACAGTTGGTCTCTATGGTCTTCCCTGCTTCTGTGTAAGGAGTGAAGCCAGGAAGATCATAGAGACTGTCAGATTCAAGCTTTCTTACAAAAGGTGTATGTATATGGCTGAAGGACCCTGTCATATACTAAAGGTAGAGGTGAATTTGTCTAAATACTTAATTTCATAAAATATATTTCCTTATATAAATAATTGATGAAATGATCATTGTATTAAAAATAGAGGTCACAGTTGTCTTTTAACTCGAGTAAGCTAAAGAAAACTACAATCTTGTCTTTTATTTACTAATTGAATTCTGTTGATAAAAAATGGAATACTAAATTGGCAAACTATCAGCCTGTACTTAGCCGAGTGAGAAATATAGGTCAATTTGAGACTTTTACCTGCGCTAGTTAATTTAGCATGATTTATAAAGTTTGTTACCATGCTCTGAATTTGCACCAAAATTTACAGATTTGAGGATAACAGAAGTTGAATAAAGAACTATTTGTGTTTCGGTAATTAGAAATCTAAATAATAATAATTGACGTACCCGAAAAACCCAACTATTACAATAAAATACAAAAAAAATAGTTAAATTAGCTACAGCAAATTAAATAATTGTCCGGCTGGGTAGCCAAGAAACAAATCGAAGGCCTGTCCAACCTGTGGCCCCCCCCCTGGATGTTGCTGAACTACAACGACCATGATTCTTTCAATTAGACAGATAGCCAGGGAATCTTGGGAGTTGTAGTTCAGCAACATCTGGGGGGGCCGCAGGTTGGACAGCCTTTGGAAAAATATTCATACCCCCAGAGTTATCTGTGAATGGTCCAATGTGATTGACTTGGCTGTTATAGCCAATCCTATTACTTCATTTATTTCTAAAACTAGACCAAACTACGCACGCCGGGTCAGTGAATTCAGTGAGAATTCAAAGTTCATTTCAAATTTAAGGTTAAAATAGCCATATTTGAAACATTCTCTAAGTCAGCTATATTTTGAGTTTAGTTACTTTTGCCTAAAATTTGAAAGTCAATATTAATTCTCTCTTTTGTGAATAACCGTACTAAAGTTTTATTGACTAAACAGAGAATTGTGGTGAAAACAGATTTGCAAAATTCACACTAAAATATCCACTCTATGGTGACTATTTATTAAATAGTGAAATGTTGTAAATTCATCAGTGAATTTCAAACTGTTCAGCAGTTCAGCTATCACGGCCTTAAATCTACATTGATGAAGAAATCAGTGCTTTGTAAATAAAATGTCATACTATCGCTAAGTCAGGGACGTTTTCATTTCTATTTCATTTGCATTGGAACTGCTATTAGGATGCTGCAATGGCCACCAGAGGGAGCCAAAATATAACTGTATTTGGTAATTCTGTAATCTGGGCTGAATTGGGTAAAGTTGATAATTAAGCTCTACAGTTTAGAGCTATATATACCTGCATGAATTAAAACAAATCTCCTTTCCAGACATTTTTTCCAACTTGGCTGTCAAGCGCTAAATTTATAAATTCAAATTAAATCACCATAAATTGACATTTCCTCTAATAATGGCTAAAAAAGGGCAAATTTGTTTGAGTCTGTGTGGTTGGGGGGGAGACCATCCAGGAGATTTTAACAAATTTTATGATCTACTGAACAAACTATCTTTTTCCAGACAGACTAATTTACTGATGTTTAAATGCACACTGAATGTGCTGTGTAGCTCGGTTATACGGTTATACTGTATACACAACAAAAATTACGAGATCTTTGAAAAAAGGTACATTTACATACCTACTAAGTGTCCCTATTTTGGAGGGACAGTCCCTATTTTGGACCAAAACCCCTCTATCCATCTTTTTTATCCTAATGTCCCTATTTTCTGGGAGCTTCACATTGCTAGTGTGTCTGAGTGTATAACAGAGCTCCACAGCAATAATACTCCCAGTAATGTGTCCTAGTGTATAACAGAGCTCCACAGCAATAATACTCACAGTAATGTGTGTGAGTGTATAACAGAGCTCCACAGCAATAATACTCACACTAATGTGTCTGAGTGTATAACAGAGCTCCACAGCAATAATGCTCCCAGTAATGTGTGTGAGTGTATAACGGAGCTCCACAGCAATAATACTCCCAGTAATATGTCCTAGTGTATAACAGAGCTCCACAGCAATAATACTCACAGTAATGTGTCTTTTAAACATAAAATGTCTCAATAGCCTTGCCCCTGGACACATACCCACTCTCAACATGAGATCTTCTTTAAAATAGGGGAGAACTGAAAAAAGGGGACAGAGAGATGTGGTTTAAAAGACATTTTAGAGGAGGAGAAATGGCCCTTGTTTACTGACGGTCAGAATGATGGAAGAAAATATAAACTGAGTTATTAACTTAAGTTAAAATTTTTAGGAATTCAAAGAGAATTTAAAATTTTAGAACATAATAAACGAACTGGAACATTCTCAAAGTTAGCCATGTTTTCAGCCACGTTTTCAGTAATTTGGCCTAAAATGTGAAATTCTCCTTGAATTCAAGGAGAATTATTACAACTTTTTAATGCAGCATTAATCTAAAGGTATATTTTATGAAAATATATATTATTATAACGGAATATGCAGGGCTACCATTATATAATGCAGAACTCCTATAATAATATAACACAATATATAACATTAATATAATACTATATAACAATGATATAATATATAACACTGTTATATTACAACACTATAATAATATCATATATAACAATAATGTATAACAATATTATAATACAACACTATAATAATAATATATATAACAATAATATAATAATATTAATATAAAGGTCTTTCTTACAGTGCTGATTGAACCTCCCCTCCTCTCAGACGTTATGTTCAGTGGGGAGAGCGATGTCTCTGCTCACATATCGTGGCCAATTCCAAGTGATAACCTGCATGTGGCGATCCGGTACCAGAATTTGGCTGATACTAACAGCAAAGAATGGATTTATGTGAGTTTTGTAAAAAAGAGAGGCTTTGTTGGTAAATCACAAATGAACTCTCTAAGTTCCATAATAACGACAATCCTTTGTAGTGGTTATGGTGCTATGAGTCTGTGGCGCAATTCCTCAGATAGCTGTTAAACCATTTTGGAGAAGTTTGAAATAAAGAAGGAGCTCCCCTTCATCCCTAGCCCACCCCATCTACAGCCTCATTGATAAGGTGTTCATTCAATGTTGAATCACCACCATCCCTTGGAATTTGACTCTATCCCCTAACTTGTTGGGCTTTGCCCATTTATCCCATATACTAAACCTCTGACCTAGTGAGAGGGCATGGCATTTCAACACCATGAACTTATAGATACAGGTGTTTGGGAAGCAACAATCACCTTATGGAGATACTTTTCCATTTATCAATGGCATCCCTAGAAAACAAGACAATGTACAGGCCTGTCTGTTAGGGTTTCTAGGATCTGATGGCCCAATGCACAAGCCATGAATGATGCATAAATGAAAGCAGACTAAGCATGTCTGAGGGGTGTATACCCAGAGAAGAGAACATTTTCTTCATAATGTTAACATGATCAGTTACTCAGCTTCCCAGCAGCTTCTCCAGCCATCAATAAAAAGGGGTTGGCGAGGAAACCGCAGAGTTTATTATGACTGACAAAGCATATTTTTTTTGTTTTTTTAAAACATATCTATTAAAGAAGAACTGGAGGGGCACTTCCTCGCCTGCCCCGTTGGACCAACAGTGCTCGACATGAGGAGGCAGTACCTAAGTATAAGCTCTCATTTTAAGAAATCTCCATGTGTAATTCATGCAGGCCGACCCATCTGACATACAACATGACAATTATGAAATTAGTGATTTAGAACCGTTCTCACAATATGACGTCCAGGCACGCTATGAGTCAAACAACACATTGAGGAGTCTTTGGAGTGAGTCTCGTACCTTCTGGACTCCAGAGCAAGGTGAGCACATGGAGCGAGGAGATCAGGTATCATGTCTGTCTCCCTCTTTATATCTTCTTCTGCCATGTTCCTCTCTCACCTCAACTTTATATTATGCCATTATAAGTTCTTAATTCACATGCTCTGTTCCCCATCAGCTCCAGTTGGTCCTTTGGATGTTTGGAGGAATTTCGATATGAAACAATTTGTAATTTTATATTGGAAGGTGAGTATGTTTGAGAGCGAATGCTGTATGACTGTGAATGGGTCACTACTCCTACCAGATACTGGACACCATGTCTTCAGTTTAATTGGTTGCCCATGGTCCCAGGGCATTTCTATTCACTCATGCTGCCAACATTGTGTGCCCTTGAGGGTTACCAGAATATGAACATTCGAGAATTAAGGTTCATTCTTCCCATAAATGAGAAGTGTCTCTGCCACTTTTTGTTTGGAGGAGGTTTGCACCACATTGTGTTTAAGGGATGGGTTGATGTGTGTCCATATTAATAAATGATGGGTAACCCAACCTGTAATTGTCAATAATCATAACCCTTTGTGTGCAGCCTCAGCACTGCCAATACCCAGGAAGTGACAAGTGGAATTACATCGTAACCTATATACATGGTGGTGGGTCCAATGCCTTGAAGACTCCTTATCGGGAGCCACTCTGTGAGGTCAAGCTGCCTGCCAACTCAACTCATATGTGTGTCAGCGCTCAGAACAACAATGGAACCGGGCCGCCTACCTGTGCCACAACTGTGTGTTTAGGTATCTGTTCTACGGCTTCTCGCAGGGTCATTGTGTTCAGCCATCACTCATTTTATGAATTTTGTTAGAGATTGGCTTTGTCACTGAAAGCCTGTTGTTCTTTTCTTATTTCTATTAAGGACCTGAAGAATTAGGTTTTAATTTCCCTGGTCTGGCCAGCTCTTCGGGTTATATTAGGAATCTGCCGTGCCACACGCATATATAACTGCATACTATATGTTGTGATGCCTGGCTCTTAGTCTTAAGGTTATCAACTTGTGGTTCCCTATGTAGGGCCCACGGTATTTAGCATTAGTTTAATTTTTGGAAGTTAATAATATTTAATAAGCAGCGATTATCTGATACTTTTTCAGAAAAAAGGTTTTATGTCTGAAAGTATCCACTGTTAGTAGTAGTTTGGAAAAGTCTAATAAAATATCGCTGTTCTGGATTGAAACCATTAACTGCTAATTTTTTGGTATAACATCAGACTCATTCATTAATCTCACCATGTCTGAACTCTTTTAACAGATACGAAACCTCTTGATGTGGAGATTAGAGTGTGGCTTAATGTGACCCAGGGAGTTACAGTGTGGTGGGACGAATCTCTGAATGAACGTTGTGAAGATCTCACTTATCTGGTGGAGTGGACCCAACTGACCGAAGGAGGAAGTAAAATGAAGAATTGGGCCAGGAGACAAGTTGGCAAACAGAATGTAACACTGCCAGGTGAGCAGCTAGCCACAGCTCTGCCCGGTGACCAGTCAGTCAGAACCTTACACTGCCAGATGACCAGTCAGTCAGAACCTTACACTGCCAGGTGACCAGTCAGTCAGAACCTTACACTGCCAGGTGACCAGTCAGTCAGAACCTTACACTGCCAGGTGACCAGTCAGTCAGAACCTTACACTGCCAGGTGACCAGTCAGTCAGAACCTTACACTGCCAGGTGACCAGTCAGTCAGAAACTTACACTGCCAGGTGACCAGTCAGTCAGAACTTTACACTGCCTGGTGACCAGTCAGTCAGAACCTTACACTGCCAGGTGACCAGTCAGTCAGAACCTTACACTACAAGATGAGCATTAGTTTTGATACGCTATTGCAATAATGTTTTTCTGCCTTCTCTCCACAGGTAAATTAGATCCACAGGTTCCATACCAAGTCTCCCTGTTTACTTTGTGCCAGAGCGACTGTAAAGGTCCTGTTTCCACCATTATGTTCTACAGTCAGGAAGGAGGTGAGCAAATTATTGGAAAATAACTATTAGAAATGAAATATAAAGATAAAATAAATTAATAAACTAATACTGAGCAGATACTATTGAGAAGGATGGTTTGTAGGTTGCTGTAAGGTCTACGCTGGCTTTTTTTTGCATGTTTTTTTCTCTTCCTAGTTGTCTTCTCTCTCATGTTCGTAAAGCAGTATTGAGTATGTTTGCACTTTATAACTAATTTCATAAAATTGAAGGGTACATAATTTTATTAGAGGCTTGATACGGTAGAGTGAGGTTTATGTGTAATATTTATAAAGATTAGAATAAATAGAGCGTAGAAGACGTGTGGGGAACACATGTAGACAAGTGAAAACAGATTTTGAGATAAGAATGCAGATCTGTTCAGACAAAGATCTATAAAAAACTAATTTGATGTTATTGTCTCCCCCTCCCCCTGCTCATTCTCTTCGACCAGTCCCCTCTTCTGCCCCAAACTTTTCCGTCCTTCCCCTCTCTTCCACAGATATCTTTATTTCTTGGAACGAGATCCCTGTCTGGAAACAGAAAGGATTTATTACCAGTTACACTGTCTACCTCAACAGTACGGTGGATTCTCAGCGTCACCCAGGTATCTGTCTCCGACATGCATCGCGATCCCCACTCTTTGCAACTACCATTATCTATCTCTGGTCGCCATTATTCCCACTCTTTGTAATCCGCTCATTTATTCAGGCGAGAACTGCCAGCCTTGTAACAAGCATCCATTGACCTGCTGTCCACTGTTGGCTCCACTTCTACAGCTGACTAAAATCCCCACAATCCCTTGCAAACTTTTGGCATATTTAGCCTCAGATGATTTCCACCTTACATTTTACAAATGGCACTAAAAGGTGTTTGAAAGTATTTTTCTTGCCTCTCTGATGTTTTCTTTCTACCCGACTTTAACCTGCCCCCATGTGTGTTTGTTAGCCCCGTGTTTCCATTCTGTAAATGCTCAGTTAACCCTTGGTGCTTTGTCCCAGTGTCCGCCAGGAATCTGTCTATCTCAGGGCTGCTACCAAGTACTGTATATGAGATCTGGGTGACGGCGTCCACCGCCGCTGGGGAAGGGACCCGAGGAGAGGTCAAGGTATTTCACACTAAAGGTATTTATTAAAGCTGGAATGTTTTGTAGACTTACATTTTTTGTTAGAAGATCCATATCACCTGTCTCCATCACGACACTCCCTATCTCTGCGATGTCTCCATTCTACCCTAGTGGGCCACATTGTGTTTAGCTACCGTTACCTTTCCCCCATACTGAGAAATTCAGTGCAGATATAAAATTCACATTACTTCTCTCTACACTGCACTTGCAGACAGGCAGTATCCAGCCACGCTCTCTCTGGTCTGTCTTTTTTTACATACAATATTCACAATACAATCTCTCCCTCAGGTTCCGTACGCCTTGCAGTGATCTTGCTCCCCATACATATCACCCTTGTGATGTTTGGATTTCTGATCTTTATTTATGTCCAGAGGAAACGAGGCAAAATGTGTTGGATACAAATTCCAAATCCAGAGAACAGCCGCTCTGTGGCTAAACTCTTTAACACCAAATACAGTAATCCCTGGGACACCATACAGGTACAGTATCCCCTAACAGAGAGTATGCAATGTATGCTAACTGGACTTTTTTGTCAGTATACGTTTATTGAGGTTGAGATAGCACAGTACAAACTATGAAGAATATCGGACATGATTTCACAGTGCAACGTTGTGATGTAGAATGTCGGGGGTTCTATACCATCTGGCCAATGATTTGACGCTTTTTCCTGATATTTTGAGCTAATTGAGCACTTATGTGTAAAAATGAAGATTTTTGTCCCATTTCTAGTCAGTCAGAGTCTCCCCTGTTTCTCTCTCCTACCTTGTTTGTTCTCACTGTGTATGAGAATGAAGTAGAGCACAGAGATTCCTCTTTGGATATGCCGCCTGGTGGTGCACATCAATTCAAACTGCGTAGGTCTCTATGGTATAGGCTTTGCCCGCCGTAGCGATGTAGTAGGTCTTGATTTGATGGTAATGTAACCCCGTCGGGGTTGCGTCTTTTAGCATGTCCGCCATCTATTTTAAGTGTTCACTGTCGCACCATTGAGTGTATATCCTGTCAGTCAAATGGAAAGTGTGCAGGTCAGCCGGGTTCAGTCCTCCACCCAGCCCAGAGTTATGAGTGACCAGGGTCATAGGGCCAGGGGACATCATTAGTTGCCTCTGGTAGCGTAGGGAGCACCACACACTCAGCATGGAATCAATCAGAGGGTTACCTGTGCATAAAACACCAAACGTCAAACCCCCATGCCAAAGCTTGTGGCTGGTAGGGCATGCCAGTTGGAAACCCGGAGCAAGTGAGCCACCAGATAATACCCGAAGATCGATGGGAAACCAGTGAATCCTTGGTTCTTGGGTAGGTCCAGTTGGGATTTACTAATCCGCGGGGACCTTCGGTTCCACACGAACTGTCGGATGGCCGCTCTTATCGATTGAAAGAATGCCCTTGGGATCAACACCGGGACTGTCTGAAACAGACATAGGAGTCGTTGGAGGAGATTCATCTCTATGGCGTTGATGTACTTTAAACGTTTTTTATCACATGCTCTGTAAATTGAACTTTAATCACATACATGATGCTCCTGCAAGATCTAGCAAGCTATTAACAGATGATGAGATAAAAAATTCTAAATTAGACAGAATTTGCAATGCAGGAAGTGTAAACATTAGATGACTCTTTACATGGAAGTGTTTATGTCACATGCAGGGAGGTGTGACTGGGGCTGCATATACAAAGTTATTTAACTCCTAAATAGCTGAGATTTGAGCAGTGAGCCCGCAGCGGCATGATCTATACTCCAGAACCTCTTCATTAAGCCAAAGTTGTTTTAGTGGCTATAGTGTCCCTTTAACTTTTCAGAAGCCTTGAGGATGGAATTACAGTTCAAATTGATTTAGAAAATAAGATACTTTTATAAAATGAGAGTACGGAGAGACGGTACTTACAATGCGGTGGTTATGGTACTTGGAGAAAACCTTTATACATCTTTCAAGTATTTATGTAGTTCTTGAAGTTTGGCTTATGCTGTATTAATGTCCTTATTGAGCTGGCAAGTCATTTGTCTATGTGAACTCCTTCTTGCCCTTAGCCTGACAGTAGATAAGTCATGCTGTCCCTTTCAGTAACATGGGGAGGTGTAGGTTGTAATAAGGTGGAATGTGGAGCAAAGTCACTGAAGCTAAAAGTCTCCGTCCAGTGGTGCGGTTTATGTCACCTGGTTGTACAGGGTAACTCTCAGCTATTTGTAGCAGAGGTTATCAGTGTCTCAGTTCACTAACCCCCTGCCGGCGCGTGATGTACCTCGCTCTCCACAAAGCAGGGTTGATGGCCTGTGAGAGGACACTTTTAGATCATTAAATCTGCAAGCCACACACTCTGGGTCAGGACAGTAATTAACACACACAATACTGGAACACCTTCTCAGAATATTAAGAAACTAACCCGAATTGTATCATGGTGTCTACCACCAGGCCTACTGCACCCCAGGGCCCAGTCCTCCTGACCGGGGTGTATTCACTAAAGTATGAATTGGAGCAGATGGGGAAATGTAGGATAAAATTGCTAAGTTGTGGCTGGGGTGGAGAATCATTCCAAATAAGCTATATTAGTTTAAAATGTGCCATTTTTTATTTAAATCATCTACAATTTGACGTTTAGTTAATTAACCCCCCAGGTGTTAGATCCTTCCTACCATGGTGAGAGCTCGCCTAAGTCCTATCTTCCAGAACTGAGCTCACTTTTCATAGTTCTGAAACCTTAACACATAGATAATTGGTATATATCTCATATTGTTGTGTTGGATTGAATACAGAATGGCACATTTAGGATTAAATAGGCAAACTGTGACTGTGGAACATTTTTACATTCAGCTTTCCAGTCACTACGGTTGGTGTTTAGTCAATAAGCCCCTATGATTAAAACTATTCACTACTTTACGTCTTAAGTGTTACCTGTATCAAACAGAAAAGGGAGAGTAGATTAAATATGGATTAATGACACGGTGCTTGGGTGGGTTACAGAACTATCAAAGCCTCATTTCTCAGGCTCATATTACACGTGGGTGGCTGATATTATTTCCATCTCTCAGGATCTGTGCTGGCTGTGATCAGGAGAATAGATAGAGAATTCCTGTTTATACAGATTCATCTATTCTTTTGAATAATGCAGACAGATTCTGGAATCCAGGGGGTAGGGATTCAGAATGAGCGATGCCACGCTGAACGACGAGGATTGGGTTACAGAACTAAAACGATAAAAGAATGGAAGGTGTGTTTGGTGAAAAGAAGGGCAACTCTGCAGAGAGAAAAAAAATGACATTTCGATGAAATTTGATCTCTAAATTTTTCCATCTCGGCTGCTCTGCACTAAAAAGTGCAATTCTCCTTGGTTTAGTGAATAGTTCGATTATTTGAGATGTGTGTACTCGCCAGCGATACACTTTAAAAATCGTTAAAATTCACTGTAAAAACAAAGACACCCCATACATATCCCATTGTACAGCGCTGTGGAATTTGTTGGAGCTTTATAAATAGTAATAATAATATGGGCACAGCATCATTAAACCAGTATGAAATAATACTGCCATTTAAATGGATGTGTGGGTTATGGTGACTTAGGGACAAGGGGTGTTTAGAGTTAGGATTGGGAGAGTTTATGATTAAGGGAGTCTTAGAGTTAGAGGGTATCTGATTTAAAGGATCTCTATAGTAGGGTCAGGAACACAAACATGTATTCCTGACCCTATAGTGCTAAACCCACCATTTAGGTGGCTTGACCCCTTTAACCCCCTTAAAAAGAATGTAAACTCACCTTATTTCTAGCACCATGCGGGTCTGCCAGCGCTGACCCCACCCCCTTGGTGACATCATCAGAATTGCAGATTTGTAACCAATCCAATGCTTTCCCGTAGGTAAACAAACACTGTTTTGGCCAATCAACACCTCCTCATAGAGATGCATCAAATCAGTGCATCTCTATGAGGAAAATTCAGCATCTCCATGCAGAGCATGGAGACGCTGAACGCCAGTGCTGCTTACTGTGCAGCACTGAGCCAGGAAGCACCTCCAGTGGCCATCTAAGGAGTGGCCACTTGGAGGTGTCCCTAGGGGCAATGTAAACACTGTCTTTTCTCTGAAAAGGCAATGTTTACATGAAAATGCCTGAAGGGAGCTATCATACTCACCAGAACAAATACATTAAGCTGTAGTCCCTTTGATGTGCTCACAAGCTCCCCCCACCTTTGCACGGCTGCCCCATGGAACTGGACCCCCACGTCATCTCACACCCGCTAAAGAAAGGCTGTATGGTTAGTGGTGGTTCTTGCAGGCCGGAGTCCTTTCTAGAGACCATGGCTCCCCTGTTATGACCATTACAGTGCTGTAGACTGCAAGTCCTTCCACTCTGAGCTAGGATAGCCTGGCTGCCAATTATGGGAGTTGTAGTTCACAACACCTTGAAGGCTGTCGCCTCCTAAACCTAAATCTTCTTTACCATTATTGTAAATTATCGACATCCTTTAGAACACAGATATTTTTTTCCAGCAGTTTAACCCCTTAAGGACCAAACTTCTTTAATAAAAGGGAATCATGACATGTCACACATGTCATGTGTCCTTAAGGGGTTAATGGCTTTCATGGTAACGGAATGTCATTAGATGTTGCTTATTTAATGGGGACATTTAAAATGTGCCACTTAAACAGGGAGTATGAGACTGACAGACACTCTAAACTACTCTATTACTATAGTATGTTGGGGTACACAGTCTCCTGGCAACCTCTCTGCTCCTTTACTTCCTGGCTTGCCAGTAAAAGCATCGTAGATGAACAAGGCATGAGTTTTTAAACAATTGGGAAAGTATCAATCAATTGTTCAATCCAACATTTCAAACTGTCAAAGTTGGAGATTTTTATTTCTGGAGTGAGGACAGGGCCATGCAGGAACATGATATGTGACTTCATGATCAAAAGATAACCATCAACATATAGAAAATTAGTAAAAAATCAAGTGTTGTATGGGTTTTAATGCTGTATGGTTGGAATATAGGGTTCCTCTTTGCTTTTCCACTGTAAGTGGATGTGGATATTTTAATAGCCCTACAAGTGAATAAAGCGCTGCTGGTTTTTAATAAAAGAATGGCTCAGAAACCATAACCACTACAGTCCGCAGGACAGGAGTGTCCAGGTACGGTGGGGCAGATTAACATATCCTGTTGCTCCTGAGTTTTAACCTGTTTCCACCCTTCACCCGAGCAATGCTTATCATTTTTAGCCAACCATTGTAGTCCTAAGGCACCTTGATACCCAAAGTTAAATAACAAGGAAATATGGCCACGAGGGCTGTATTTGGCACCCAGAATGTTTTTGAAATACATAGGAAATGTAGTTAACAAAATCTGGGGTACCAAGATTAGGGATCTCTGTTCTGTGACGCCCATCTATCGCCATACCTCCCAACATTTCAAATGGGCTAAGAGGGACACTTTAATTTTATAGGGGGTGTGTGAGGGCTGATCTGTCCCAAGAAATTGTATGAGACTTACTAATAACAATTTATGGAGCTAAAAAGCAATTAAGACGAAGAATAATGTATTTTATTTACACAATTATTTTAGTTTAAATACACATTACTGTGAAAATGATTGCTGTGGAGCTCTGGTATAAATTCGGACACACCAAAAACATGGAGCTCCTAGAAAAGAGGGACAGAGAGATTTGGGTCCATAATAGGAACTGTCCCTTCTAAATAGGGTCACTTGGGAGGTATTCGTGGCAAATAGTCTTTATTGTGTTCCTTCTGTTTGCTAAATGTCTACCGGTAATTGCTATAAAAATAGCAGCCAGTGAGTCTATTGATCTCCTTCCTGGTGCTCAAAAGGTTAATGCCAAATTATATTAAAACCCAGTCCTGTAATGCAGTTCAGCTTTGCAGACTCAGCACAGCAGACTGGAGATGCTGCATATCGCACAGATGACTGTATCGCTGTTTTGGGTGACAGTGAATAGGCTGCTGGCCAGCATCACCCACCCAATCTAGCCATCCTGTAAATCCAGATTCATTGCTGACTCATTCAGTCCTTTGTCCCAGGCAGCTGCAGACAGGATTGACAAAGGCAGAATACAATCCCTCTATTGCACTGTTCTCAGAACACAGAGTCCTGCCGACCGTCAGAAATATCCCATTACTATGTGCTGGACAGGACACCAATGACAGCAGTGACCCTGAAACCAGTGCCGTGTAACCCCCAAAAGTCCAAGATTTAGGGATTGCCCATATTTGCCCCTGTGGGAGCCTGGAGTCTCCCTCTAATAAACCTACACAGCACATCTAATGTGTGTGGGAGCCTAGAGTGTCCCTTTACTAATATAAACCCACCGGGTATAACTAACTGTAACCTAACCTAACATGTGTGGGAGCCTGGAGTGTCCCTTTAATAATATAAACCCACCAAGTATAACTAACTGTAACCTAACCTACACAGTGCACCTAACGTGTGTGAGAGCCTGGAGTGTCCCTTTTAATAATACAAACCCACCCAGTATAACTAACTGTAACCTAACCTACACAGTGCACCTAACGTGTGTGGGAGCCTGGAGTGTCCCTTTAATAATATAAACAAACCCAGTATAACTAACTGTAACCTAACCTACACAGTGCATCTAACGTGTGTGGGAGCCTGGAGTGTTCCTTTATTAATATAAACCCACCCAGTATAACTAACAGTAACCTAACCTACACAGTGCACCTAACGTGTGTGGGAGCTTGGGGTGTCCATTTAATAATATAAACCCACCCAGTATAACTAACTGTAACCTAACCTACACAGTGCACCTAACGTGTGTGGGAGCCTGGAGTGGCCCTTTAATAATATAAACCCACCCAGTATAACTAACTGTAACCTAACCTACACAGTGCATCTAACGTGTGTGGGAGCCTGGAGTGTCCCTTTAATAATATAAACCCACCCAGTATAACTAACTGTAACCTAACCTACACAGTGCATCTAACGTGTGTGGGAGCCTGGAGTGTCCCTTTAATAATATAAACCCACCCAGTATAACTAACTGTAACCTAACCTACACAGTGCACCTAACGTGTGTGGGAGCCTGGAGTGTCCCTTTAATAATATAAACCCACCCAGTATAACTAACTGTAACCTAACCTACACAGTGCATCTAACGTGTGTGGGAGCCTGGAGTGTCCCTTTAATAATATAAACCCACCCAGTATAACTAACTGTAACCTAACCTACACAGTGTACCTAACGTGTGTGGGAGCCTGGAGTGTCCCTTTAATAATATAAACCCACCCAGTATAACTAACTGTAACCTAACCTACACAGTGCATCTAACGTGTGTGGGAGCCTGGAGTGTCCCTTTAATAATATAAACCCACCCAGTATAACTAACTGTAACCAAACCTACACAGTGCATCTAACGTGTGTGGGAGCCTGGAGTGTCCATTTACTAATATAAACCCACCCAGTATAACTAACTGTAACCTAACCTACACAGTGCACCTAACGTGTGTGGGAGCCTGGAGTGTCCATTTACTAATATAAACCCACCCAGTATAACTGTAATCTAGCATGAAAGACTACATGTAATATGTGGAATCCTGGAATATCCTATAATAACATTTTATCCTAATGTCATGGTGGCCTTAAAGGTTTAGTGAAATTACATTTCAACAATACTTATAGTTCATATTTTGCTCCATGTAAGGAACATATTGGCACAGTACATCACTATATCACATATTAGGACCATTACCCAACAGGTATGACAGTCATTTTATTGGCCTTGTGATTATGTAAGTTTGAGTGGGCCACCTGAGACTGGAACCTGTGACCTTCAGAAGGCACTTGGCTACTGAGTTATCATCCCAGTATATCACATCCAGTGCAGATTAAACATGGAGAGGAGCACCCTACAATTACACAGAGCTCTGCACAGTTATTTTGGCTTTATGATCGCCCAAGTTCAAAGTGCCAAGAGAATCCCAATGACTTTTTAGATCGACCTGGCACAGTGTTACCTAAACTATGTAAAACTTAAATACCTTGTCATGCTAATTAGTGTCATCTCACAGGTAATAATGTTATCGGTGTATATTGTGGTGGCCAAATTGCAAGCACATATCTATCTGGAAAAGTGATTTCTAAATATATGTTTCTTTAAATTTCCTTTGCATGGTGGCAATGATTCTAAATATGGAGTTCACAGACAGCTATGTACAGTCATTCTGTGCCCACGTGACGCAGTGGCACTACACAACTCTTAGTGTGCGCCTGCATGTGTCATGTGAAGGGGGGGCAGCCGTCATTTCTAGATACAACATTGAAAGTGGAGGATAGGATTTCTGTGTTAAGCATATCTTTCAGACAGTAAGTTTTATAAAATGCTGGTTAATCTGTTGTTACCAGGGATTGATCACAATTTCACCTTTTAATGTTCCAAATGTATTTGCTTTTTGTGTTAATATTCTAAGTTTTCCCTTTGACCCCTCCATTTCTTGTTAATTCTGTTGCTCTATGCCCAGAAAGACAGTCGACACTGATATATCACTAAATTTGTGGCAGCAGCTCGCTGTATCAGACTGCATTCCTTTGGTGGGATATATGATGTCATGGCACATATTGATCAAGTCTATACTATTTATCACCTGGTTGCTGGCAAGTTTGGGCAAAATCTCTGGAGCTCGGTTCATTATATGTAGCATCTGCTCTAACAGATATGTCTCTGTTTAAAGGCCCACTCCACTCACCAAAGCACTTTAGCTTTTTTTTATTATTTTTTTACTTTTTACAAAAAGTGCAAACTTCTAAAGAAATTGTCACACTTATTTATTAACCTTGTTACTGTCCCCTGACTGTCAGTCACACAACCGGTCCTGTTACTTCCTGGTTGTTTGCCCGGTGGAGGTAAACCAGGGGTGCCCAAAAGATAAATGTTTTAAAACCACAGGTTCCATGATGCTTTGTCACAATAAAGTCATTTTAAACGCATGCAAAGCATTATGGGAGTTGTCGTTTTACAACATCTTGGGATCTACCTTTTGGGCACTACTGAGCTGCACACTATTTAGACAGTTGAATGTCTCTTTAACTGTGTAAATAGGACCCAATGCGTGCACGTGTGTTTGACTCCTCAAACGTTCAAACAGAATCCTAGGATGGATTAGGTAAAACAGTAGTTCATACCCCTCCTCCCCCAAGTATTGTTAATTTGTGGAAAAACAAATTCTACCCCCCGTAAATGTATCTATATGTGAATAACAGGATTTGTTTCCAATAAACTAGGAATTGTGGAAAAATCACAGACACGGCAGATTTTAGGCAAAAAAAGGGAAAAATAAAAGTACTGCAAAGATTCTCCAATTCACCTATGTTTCCATCATACTTTGGTGTAAAATTTGCAGTTTACTCGTCAAATTTCCACAAATTCTGGTTTTATCACAATCGCAATAACTAACTTATAGTATGTCTCACCTAGAAATGCCATTTCATTGATAGAAATGTCACAATGACCTCAAGCTGTTACAGATGAGTTAGAATTGTATCTATTACCCAATCACTTATTTATAATAAATACAATGAATTTAAATCACAGGCATGCATTAATGGCAGGCCTTTCAATTCTCCAGGTGTGGCTCAACATGAGCTAATCATAAGCTATTTATAATTCCATATGTTATTACCAGGAGTCAGAGATACTCTTACATAGATACATAGTTACTTAAAACAAAGTCTATTACGTAGAAACCTTTCCAAGTGCCCATGTTTGTTTATCCAGAAAGAGTTGAAAGATCTGGGATATCAGTGGTAGCTGTTGAAGACTCTCTGTCCCCCGATTTGTTGGGCTCTGTCAATTTAACCCCATGTACTCAAACCCTGACCCACTGAGAGATTATGCCCTGTTCAACACAATAAACCCATAGATTAATTTGAGCTATAACAACAATATGCAGATCCCTCCTCTCTATCCTGGAGATAATTGGGAACTACTATAGTGATCCTTCAAATTATCTCCCAGGAGAGAGGCAAGACTCCATTAACCACATGGTTGCAAAAAGACATAAAATTAAACAATGTTACAATTACTACATAAAACATATACATGCAACATATCCCCAGATAGCTTAGATCTGAGCGCACATTATTACCGAATGGCGCTCAGATCACATACATACAGTTCAATTGCCATGGAGCCAAAGTCTTTTCCACAGTCTTTTATTACACGAATAGGCTCCATGGCATATCTATCTGGGGTAGCACTACTCACATACTGAAAGTCCCGAACGCCCCGGCAGATATACACAAATAAACTTTTCTGCAGGGGAAAATACAGCTATCAGCACAGGGGCCATAGTCGGAAGGCAGGAGGCTAGCCACTAGTCCCCTCCAGGCACAAGTGGCGAAGGGCACTTCGTCACAGGGTTTGTCATGGAAACATTGCATTTTGCTATGAAGACAACCACCTTTTCGTGTTTCTGAAAGAATGTATGGACTGATCTAGAGATATATATATATAGATATATATATATATACAGAAATCTTGTCACTCACCTTTTTTGGTAAAGAAGGAATAGTTGATACCCAGGTGCAAATCCGCGTTGTACAGATACATGAAAAATTAGGGTTCACTCTATGGGGTCGGTCAACGTTTTGACCCCAATAGGGTCTTTCTCAAAATCTTGAGAAAGATCCTATTGGGGTCAAAATGTTGATCAGGACTCTGTTATTTTAATAAATAAATAAAAAACATATACAAAGTGCACAAATCCCGTGGAGTGCACCCTAAGTTGTTATGTATATAAATATATATATTATATATATATATTATTTATTCCCCCCAATTATTTTGTTACCTAAACATGCTATTTACACAGGTGCAAGCACAGTTTGCACAGATGAAAATAGGATGTTCCCATTAATAATTATTCAAATGAGTTACCTGGCAGTATTTGGCAGTTCGATCCAGTCATGACCTCCTTACTATGTAATTTGACTCACCATTCCACAGAACAAAAAAAAAAAGCCGACTACCCTTTTGCTTAAATCATTGCATGCATTCTTCAGATTTTTGGGAACGTGAAATTGTTGTTTAACTACTTCTTTTGTTATGAGGACCCAGCCATAAAAGTTAGATTATAAATCTTGATACTGATATAGCTGTATATTCCATTACAAGAGACTCAACATCTCAGGATTCTATGTGTGTCTATAACCTTTGTGTTGAATTAACGGGGGAATCTATGCAAGAGCTGGATCTATTATATAAATGTATTTTATATGGATAATACCTTTTCAAACATTCTAAACTTGCATTTGTAGCAAATGTCCAGGATTTGCAACTTCCATTATAAAACTTACTCAGTTTGTGAGTTCTAAGCATATTTTATATTTGTGTAAGGGGCAAATATCCGTATATGGAGTAAGGATCCAGCATAAGCGTAGGATAGTATAAAGGGAGCAAGTCGGTTGTGGTGTGCCGAGACCGACGATACGGTAGGCCTGTAAATAAAGAGGGCCCACCAAGGAGTAAGAAAGTAAAGTAAATGGAAAGAAAAGAGAAAGTGTTGAAATGAGGAGTGGGTGGGAGGGTCATTCTGATGCTGACCTCAAGCGATATGAGTCAGGTAAGGGGTGTCCCTTATATAGGGGATGAATTAATTTAAGCCCCTCCCACAAATACAGGCCAAACGGCCTTAATACTTGTGTAAGGGGCAAATATCCGTATATGGAGTAAGGATCCAGCATAAGCGTAGGATAGTATAAAGGGAGCAAGTCGGTTGTGGTGTGCCGAGACCGACGATACGGTAGGCCTGTAAATAAAGAGGGCAAAAATGAATAATCAAAGATTTAATACAGTCAACAAATATATACAAATTAACCAGACATTTCCGTAAAAGCATTACAGTATTTAATTCCTGAAAGGATTTTGAAGGTAGGAATCTAGGACCGAAAGTGGACACCATTTGTTGTGGGTAGGATGGTATGTTATCTCTACTGTTGGTGCGTGTTGACTCGTTTCGGAATGTGGTAGAGCCAATAGGTAATGATATATGTGTTTACGTACGTGGGATCATTGAAGACAATGATCTGTCTGAGTGGTGGTGATGGTAGTGGATTCTCTGGCCTGAGAAAGGCATAAAAGGCAATGTGCATAGCTGGTAATGGCCGACTTGGTAGTATAATTGAATGGTTGTAGATCTAATAGGTCCGATAATGATGAAAAGTTGGATGGCTATTGGTAATCTCTGAGAGGAACGTGGGGGAATGGATTCCTGAAAACCTCTGAGTATATTCTTGTCTGGTATGATAGCATGAAGTTATGGTAGTTTTGGCCATAGGTTATCCTGTGTTGTTGAATGCCTGTAAAATATATAATTAATGGTGTGTGAGATAGTTTAAGTTTAAGGTGGCAAAAAGAAGCAAAACCTAGGAGAAATGTTATGACACAAGTTGAGCTGTCGAGTGCCAATGAGATTCTTTAAGCCAGGTGAAAAGCTGTGTTATGTGTTCTACAAGTATGGGACGAAAGTGCTAGGTGGGATAGTGAATGCTATGCTGCATGAGTATGTCTAATCCATGATTTTGTCTCTGGAACGAAAGAGTGGCCGTGACTGTATGGGCGGCTGTAGGAAGAGTATGATGAACATGCCTGGAATATAAATGAGACAGTTGTCGGCAGGGATGTATACCCCCGTCTGGTACATGAAAGTGAAATGTGATAAGTGGCCAACCAAGTGAGTTCCCCAGAAATATCATGACCTTATGGATGAGTAGTGGCGTTTGTTGATGATATGACATATGCTTAATTGCCTGAGTAACAACGGATTGATGACCCTGACCATGATTTACCCCATGCCTCAGCAGCTGCTACAATGGGGGAGATCTCCCAAAGGGGCTGAGGTGGTGGAAAAATTTCCAAACCTGGATGCCATCGCCAACAGCTCCAAAGCAATTGTTCCCGGTAGATCGCTGCCAAACCCGTGGTAGACGCTGCGTCTGACCATCTGGTTGGAGAAGTGTCAGACAATCCTGGAAGGAACATGCTTTTACCATGCCAAGTGGTTAAAAAATTCCCCCCCATGTGCAGGTCTGCTGTTGCTGAGGTGTCTAGGGACATCCTCTGATCGTCATGTTGGAAGTGTGGAAAAAAGGGGAAAGTACTCTGGATGTGAAAGCGTGGTCTTGTGGTATGATTGGCATGGCAAAATTAAGGAATCTGGTAGGGATCGTAGTTCCTTGCAGTTGTAAGTACTAAGCAGGAGGTAGTGATTGATGTAGTTGAGAATGTTCCCTATTTGTCTTGTGGTAACTTGCGTGTATGGATGCCGACTCAAGTCATATGCCCAGTAATGTGAAGATAGTGTCTGGGCCTTCTGTTTCTTATGGGGTACTGGGACGCCCAAGTGGTCAACCAGACTAAGCTGCCGTGAGGCTTCTAGTGAAAAATATGCTTTCTTTGATTAACAAGAAGTCTTCTAGATAGTGTATGACTGTAAGACCTCTGGATATGTTATCATAACCAGCACAGAGTATCTGCGAATATCGATAGTAGGCTAATCTGTAGCTCGACAGTTGAGTGGGGAAAGGATTGCCCAATTTATGCCATGTAAGTGCCAGTGTGTAAGGTAGATGGTAGCCGTTTACTGTGTTGATGATATTGGTCTTACTAAATGAAGCTTCAACCCATGCTTGAGTGATAACTGTAAAGGTAGATCAATGGTGTTGTATAGTAAGAAAAATCCTCGGAGGGTATGAGGGAGTTGAGACTTGGGGTAGCGGAGGTGTGTGGTGCCAATAAGTCTATGGTTAGTCTTTGTTTAAGGGAAGATTCCTTGTGACAATACCAATGTGTGTGTTTGGTGCCATGCTGTAAATGATGGAGATTGGAAGACCCCTCTGCACATCTTGGCTATGAGTGTGTTTACAGCCAATGGTTTTGTTGTGCTGACTGTAAGTGAGGGCATGCTATATTCCTTGAAGGTGTGTTTATGATACCTGTATGGGAGCCCTTTGAAGCTCCAGAGCTTTAGTAAATCTACTACAAGTCTGGAAGGGTGATGAGTCAGTAGTGTTGAAAATGCATTGGTGTGTACAGATGGTGAATACGTTATTTGTAAGTTGTATTGGGACACATGGTTTGTCATGTGCCCTGAACTATTTGAACATATATGCCACAGTCTGTATGCAATGCAACTACTCATATCAGTGGTCTCTGGTAGTTCAGAGGTGCTGGTTCCTGGAGCCTGAGAGTGCTCGTCCATTTGTTTGGGACAAAATCCCTTCTGTATGGGTACCTGCACAAATAAACATCTCCACATATTCCAAATGCCAACCCAATCAAGGGATGGTCAGTTCCCGATTTACCTGGAATCCCTGGATCTGACCATCACAGATACATCATCATTCATATATATATGCCTTGCTTCCCCAATGTGCTGGGATCATACGTGCAGGTTTAACATCTTGTGTGTCATAAGAATTGATTGTACCAGGTAACCGAGTTTCGGTTGGTGCTTGTTGTACAGTAGCGTGAGGCCCAGCCTTGGGAGGGCTGTGGTGACCAACTCGAGATTGCCAGTCTGTCATAAATTTTTTGGCTCATGAGTTTATGAGTGAAGCTAGCATAGCCTGGGTGTCACCTGAGTTGATGTAGCTGGGCCTTCCCCTGCCTCCGTGTTGTCCGTTGCTGTATGGAGCAACATCTCCTCTGCTTGAAGGTGTATCAATTCTAGCCGGGGTGCTAGGAAGAGGTGATTCTTCACCATCTTTTTGAGAAATACTTAAATTAGCTAAGCCGTAAGGCGAAACGATTAGGCTTGGTGTTTTTTTTTGTTTTTTTTTTTGGTGACTGGTGAGGCCCTGCTAGTTGCCAAGTGGCTTGAGAGGCTCTATCTATGCTTGGCGCGAGGGGATTTTGTGTGGCCACCGAACGTTGTGGCAGGATGTTGGCCTCTCGGTGACAGTAACCAGAAAATAGGAAGGGGAGTGACAGGTGAGGTCCTCTCTATGATACAATGCGAGGCGCTAGCTCACGAGTGGCCCGAGGGGTGTATGCCTCCGAGTGTGAGGCGGGGTGTTGGCCTCGCGGGACCACTAACCGAAGCATAATGCAGAGAAAAAAGGGGGTAATACCTATTGGGCCCTAGAACCCTAATTGCCAGTACACTATTACTATTCCAGGGAAGGTAAGAGATGGATAACTACGTGAGCAGGTGTATGTACCTGGTAGTATGGTATTGTACCTTACAATCCGTATAGGTTTTTTAGTAGTAACTGTAACCTGAATGGATAAAACCGTATGGCATAAGGAAATATGGCATAGACCAAGCTTATCTTAATACGTACAGTATATGTGAAAAGTAAACTGATGTGTAAATATTAAACATCGTAGCCATACTGGTTAAATATGTATCAATCTTAACCCATTAAGTGCCGTATGTACAAGTGAAAATGTGGTCTGTCCCCACCTTGTATGTTGTATGTCCCCTTGCTAGGGGAAGTCTGTTGCGGGAGCAGCGTGCTGTGAAAAATGTATGTGAACTATATTACCAGTTACATATATACAGATGCGTCTGCTACTGTGTAATAATATATGTATTTATACCACATGTTGATATAGTGCTTGCTATGTGAATTGTTGTATGCCTTATTGAATGGTAGGGGTCAGTGAACATGGTGTTGCAAAATGCAAGTGCACTGGAGATCTGCCGAGTGCCCTATAGGTGGCAGTGTAGTTGGATACTGATTGGTATGTGAAATGTTGTTTGTCTGTTGACCTATAGGGGTCAGTGTTTTGGTGTTTGAAAAACCCTATGAAAATTGTCAATGTACTTGACAGACCTGTAGGTGGCAGTGTTGATAGAACCACTGTTAGTCTTAATGTGAAATGTAAACTATTGTGAATTAAACCTGAAGTTGAGCCCGTGTTGGAGTTTAATTTATGGTTTATGGTTATGTTTAAAACAATCTTATGTGTAATTTATATTGGCTGGTAAATTGTATATGACATGTGAAGACAGTTTTGCTGTTGACCAGTAGGGGTCAGAAATGCTGATTGTATGTTAAAATACCCTTTAACCCCTTAAGGACCAAACTTCTGGAATAAAAGGGGATCATTACATGTCACACATGTCATGTGTCCTTAAGGGGTTAATCCTACCGTATGACAGATAGGAGTCAGTATAAAAGCGAAAATGCTGTAGTTAGTTTGTTTGCTTATGAAGTGGAATAAAATCTGCGAAGCCTGTAGTATACTGATTGACCGGTAGGAGTCAGCATGTAGGCAAAAATGCCGTGGTTAGTTGGTTTGTACATGAAATGCAATAATATCTGAGAAGCCTGTAGTACACTGAATGACCTGTAGGGGTCAGTGTGTAGGTGAAAATGCAGTGGTTAGTTGGTTTGTACATGAAATGCAATAATGTCTGAGAAGCCTGTAGTACACTGAATGACTGGTAGGGGTCAGTGTGTAGGTGAAAATGCAGTGGTTTATTGTTTTGTACATGAAAAGCAAAAACGTCTAAGAAGCCTGTAGTACACTGAATGACTGATAGGGGTCAGTGTGTAGGTGAAAAATGCAGTGGTTTGTTGGTTTATACATGAAATGCAATAATGTCTGAGAAGCCCGTAGTACAACGAATGACAGGTAGGGGTCAGTGTGTAGGCGCAAATGCAGTGGTTCGTTGATTTGTACATGAAATGCGATAATATCTAAGAAGCCTGTAGTACACTAAATGACCAGTAGGGGTCAGTGTGTAGGCGCAAATGCAGTGATTCGTTGATTTGTACATGAAATGCAATAATGTCTGAGAAGCCTGTAGTACACCAAATGACCAGTAGGGGTCAGTGTGTAGGCGCAAATGCAGTGATTCGTTTATTTGTACATGAAATGCGATAATGTCTAAGAAGCCTGTAGTACACCAAAAACCGGTAGGGGTCAGTGTGTAGGTGAAAATGAGGCGGTTTATTGGTTTGTAAATGAAAATGCAAAAAACGTCTAAGATGCCTGTAGTACACCGAATGACCGATAGGGGTCAGTGTGTAGGTGAAAAATGCGGTGGTTGGTTTTTACATGAAATACAATAATGTCTGAGAAGCCGGTAGTACACCGAATGACCGGTAGGGGTCAGTGTGTAGGCGAAAATGCAGTGGTTCGTTGGTTTGTACATGAAATGCAATAATGTCTAAGAAGCCTGTAGTACACCCAAAGACCGGTAGGGGTCAGTGTGTAGGCGAAAATGCAGTGGTTCGTTGGTTTGTACATGAAATGCAATAATGTCTAAGAAGCCTGTAGTACACCCAAAGACCGGTAGGGGGTTTTAACGAATGATATGCATGAACATGCAATGGTTTTAGACATAGACAAAATGCAGCCGTAAAGTGAGGACCTGACCCGTGCATGGTGCCGTGGGACTGATGCCTGGCGTAACGGGTAGGTCGATTTACGGTTTGTGAGTCACTTGGACACCATCCACGGCGATGGATTGAAGAAAGAAGGTGGTAGGCCGGAAAAGCCTGTGGCTGGATTCCTGACACAGCACTGCTTAGAAAACCTCATGGAGTAATCAGGTAAAATGGCGTCTGGATGACCCGGAAGTGGAAATCATTCTGATGCTGACCTCAAGCGATATGAGTCAGGTAAGGGGTGTCCCTTATATAGGGGTGTGAATTAATTTAAGCCCCTCCCACAAATACAGGCCAAACGGCCTTAATACATGTGGAATATGTAGTTCAGCTGTTGTCGGTAGTTTCATTCATGAAAATTAATTAATGAAATTTCTCCAAGATAATAGAAGCTGTGGGACTGTTTTTTAGTTCATATTTTGCATGAATGGAGTAAGCCGCAACCACTCAGGTGCGCAGTTTTCTCAGAGAAATAATTTTAAAAGTCTCGGGAGTCTGTCAAAGCACAGATGGGGCATGTAGGATTCTGATTACGGGACTTGGCGTGTCCTCTTAGGGACATCTCATGTTTACTTATTTATTACTGGCATTTATAAAGCGTCAACATATTCTGCAGCGTTGTACAATTGGGGAGGAAATATTTAATATACATAGACCAATACAAAAGGTAAAGAGGGGCCCTGTCCTAAAACATACCATAAAATGCAAGTTCTAATGATGGGAGACAAATTGCTTTTTGGTTTACTGGAAAAAATTAAACACAATTTGTATTGGTCCTCCCAGACAAACGTTAAAAATAAAATACTGTTTTGTCTGGTGACTACAGCTTGCTGCAAGTGAGACCTAATTTAAGTCAATCATAGTGAAACAAGTTGAAGTAAAGAGGTAATTTGACAATGAACGTGGCAGATGGATTCACCACCATTGGGTTATTTAGTGTTACTTGTCAGATGCAACATTGAACCTTCTGAGGTCAACAGGACATAAAGGTCCAAATCAATAGGCAAAATGTTTCTCTGTTTGTAGTCGATGATCCCAAATTGTGTAATTTGTTTACATTCTGATAGTTAACAAAAGCAAAGAATCAACACCATAAGATGCAATTTATTTATGTTCTCTCTGTTTTATGTCTTCATAGACTCCGTCAAACCCACCTGTCACTGTAGTAGAAGAAGTAAATTTGCCACCACAATTACTGACTCCTCTGATGAATGGCCATCACTCGCCCATCACGGTTGATGAAGATTTACTATCACCTGCGACGTCCCCAACAGCAAACTGTAATTCACGCTTCCAAATTGAAGACCTGCCATCTGGATCACCACCAGCTACTATAAACAAGCCCACCAAGTTCGGATATGAGAAACATTTTATGCCCACCATAGAAGAGGTGATGGGACTGTGCTAACGTCCGTAGGGCACCAGATATTACTGCCGTAAGGTAAAAATAAAATAACTCTGTGAAAACATTGAGGGAAGAGAAGTACCTCGATGATATAGTACATACTGTTCCACTTAACGCGGTGAAGGCAGTTAAATCCTTTTTATCGGGAAGCTATGATTGACTTGACGAGGTCTCGAGGATCAAACAACTGGAAGAAGGCATTACATTGAAGACGAAACAGGGGATAGATGCAGTGCTGCCAATATATTCAGCAATTACAGATCAGACTGTACACCTACTAGGGAGAGGTGTAATGCTATGTCAAAATGTGATAGAATGTCCGGGATAAAGAACAACTTTGGTATATGCGGTTTATACATGGAGGAAGTGCAATACATTGAATGTAGCTGAAGAGGTCAGATACACTCCAGAGGGTGCAACTACTGTGAAGAAATGCAATGTATGGACTAAATGTGCGACAAAGGAATTCAATGCAGAATATAAAGGGGACAGATGCAATGTATAGGAAAAACTACTGAGATACAATGAAATGGTGCGCACAGGATATACTGTAACCGTGGTTCACAAATGCAACATATGGGGTGCAGCTGCAGGACAAAATGCAACATAGAGGATATAGCTGTAGGAAAGAAATACAATATGCAAGATATAGCTGCAGGACAAAATGCAACATAGAGGATATAGATGTAGGACGGAAATGCAATACGCAAGATATAGCTGCAGGACAAAATGCAACATAGAGGATATAACTACAGGGAGTATATTCTATGCAAAGTATATATAACTTGGAAAATATAACACAGAACATATAGTCTGTGAGTGCCCTTGATTCCCTATTATTCTTGCAGATGTTCCCATTATCAGGCACTTTTAAAGCACTTTGTGACCCCAGATACATGGGGGTAAAGCTTCAGGGTTTGTGGGCTACCCTGCACAAGGTTTGACTCAAGGAAGAGTGCAATAGAGAGAGATTATATTTTAGTGTAAATATTCACAGGGATTCTTTCAATGAATGTACCAATAATGTGTGTGCGCATAGCACATCCTTAAATAAATATACCGTCTGCGCCATGATGGTGTTTACAGGAAAGGGTGTTAGAATGGTGCAGTCAGGGTGAATGTTAGTTGTAATAGTTTTCCATTTTCATACATTTTGGGTGCCAGTGGTAAATGACATTAAACTGATGATCAATTCCATGTCATGCAGAGACACACATGGCTTATTGTGGCAAATGTCCCATAATGTACTAAGTCCTCAGGCTTACATCATGGGGACATTGTTCACAAATACTTGAGATGCTATGGTTGTTATGGTCGACATTATATATTATTTGATATCTTTTTGACATTTTTGTATAAAATATATCATGAAAAATATATTTGTGTGTCTTGTTTGGTATCTAAAACCAATCATTTTTATTGGATTACAGACAGTAGTTGCTGGACATGGTATTTACTATGCTGAGAATGAGAATAAAAATGGGGTTCAAAACCCCGTGTTTTTTTTTACAATTTATCGAGCACCAGTACCGGCATGGGACAGACCAGCTGGGCTTTTTTCTGGGGACTCAGCCCAGCCTAATGTGTCTATGAGTATCATCTGGTTGTAACACGAGCTATTAATTACTTTTATTTATTTATTTTAAATGTGTCAAAAATGAAAGGTACTAAGACTTTCTTTATTCCACTAGACCAAGTTTATTCCAACTCTTCCATCCTCCAGATTTTGCTGAACTACAACTCCCATGCTTTTTTGATTGAAATAGATAGCCAGAGAATGATGAGAGTTGTAGTTCATCATCTGGAGGGCCAGAGATGGGAGAACCCTGAGCTAGACAATGTGAACATTGAGCACTAGTGCACAGCTATCTATAGGCCAGCGATCACTGGCCTTGATGCACCAGAGGATTCACACTAGTCAAGTGATGGTTAACCTTGGCACTGCAGATGTTAGTGGACTACGTTTCCCAACATGCTTAGCCAACCGTGTTCATCCATCCTGTTTGGTGATCTCTGACCCATATTGCTAGTGCAGAGACTCGTTCATTTCATTCTAAAGGCAAACACAACCAGCAGAGTAAATATTGATTAACTGTATGTTTTATGATACACTCAGCACAAAAATTATTGCACATTATCTGACATTTATCTCCCCCAGGAAGTGCCGCTTGCCATAAACCGTTTCTCTATCTGACTGCCATTTAGATCCCCTATTTCACTAAAGGGACCAGATGTCCCTGTAAGCACTTACAGGAAATGTGGATATTTTTTAACATGCTTCCACTATAATGTAACCTACACTCTCCTATTACCCATCGCCATGAATTATTAATCTAACCACTACCTTCATCTACGCAACCTGAAGCCTTTTTTTTTTTTTTATTCTTTATTTTTCATGCAATCAATAAACAAGTGAGCTTGTACTGCCACAACAGCTGGTACAAACTGGGCATCAAACATAGTATGACATTTATGTGGACATTTAAGTAAGTACAGTGCACATTTTATGAATAAGAGTAGGCTGTGTTAGTCTAAGGTCACCGATCGAAGAAAAAAATAAAAATAAATGGGGGGGAGGGTGGTGTTGGAGGGGAGATGTCTCTCTCTAGGCACATATAGAATAATACTGTACACCAGCATAACAAAGGAGTGGGACACCTAACCATCTTAACGGCTGTGCATCTGGAGAGGGAAGGTGGTAATTCTCATCCTACGTGAGATGGGCTAGTCTTAGTTCTGGTAGTCAAATGAAGTAGTGTTTTCGTGTTTTAGTATACCGATTTTAATTAAGCATTGTAGCCCCATCTTCTATTGTGTTGTTCATGGTAAGGGTAGGGTTGTCGATATGCACATGCTTGATAGGCACGTCGGTGCTTTTAAGTGGTCTTAGCTCGTTGGCTGGAAGCACAGGGTTCTTTATGTGTTCCAGACGCTGAGTCTTTTGGTACAGGAGAGCGAAGTAGGGTTTAATGCTGCTTAGTGCCCTGTCATCGGTGGGTGCTCGGGGAAAGGGTTTATGCATGAGACTATGGCAGTGCTTGTGTACTGGTGTGGGGTGGGGAGGGTGGGGTTATGTATGCATGGTCCTAGACCAGGTGAAAGGATCACTCACCTCCTTGGTAGGAGTGGGTTGGCAGCCCTAGCAGCCGCTGTTTATTGGCTGTATGAGTGGGCATCGGCCATAACGGTAATTATAATGGGGCGCTAAGCGGTGGCTTTTATGGGGTGTACCATCAAGGCCTCCTGGTTATAAAGGAGAGTGGCATGCTGCCGTGCCTTCTCTGACCTATTGGTTGCGCTTTTCGTATCGGTGGGGAGGGGGAGTGCTCTCTGCAGCGGTAAGGGGTGGCATGGGAGTCTGTCCTGCGTATAGGGTACGATAGTGTTGTAAGAAACACCTAACAATTTTACGAAATGCAAGGAAAACAAAACAAGACAAGAATAAAAGATAAGAATAGAAAAATAAAAAGCTCTGTGACCAGGTGTCATATGGTCTGTTGGAGTCCGGTGGCTCCTTAGCCAGGTGGCTTTATCCTGCATGTCCCTGTGTTTCAGCCTGTGTCAGCAACGGAGTGCGGCACAAATGGGACTATGTTGGGGACGTCCCAGGAGCAGTTAGGAGTCGGGTTGGAGGAGTCTATTGTTTTAAGTCCTAGTTTACCGAGGAAAATGTCTGCGTCTTCTGTCGACGTCAGTCGATAAGTTGTTGCTCCCTTTGTAACTACTAGCATGGATGGCCCCATCAGTACCTGACTCCAGCCGCTCTGAGGGTCGTGGTGACTCGCTGCACGGACCATCTCTAGGTCAGAGTAGCTCTGCAAAGGTCCTGGAGGAAGGTGAGCTGCATGCCCTCGAATTGGTATGGGCTCTGGCCGCCGAGCGTCGCCATCACCGCCATTTTGTCCCGGGTAGACTGCAATCGGAGAAGGACATCGCGGGAGGCCTCCATTGGGGCTCTTGGCGACTTGGAGAGTCTGTGTACGCCCTCCACTAGCACAGTCTTCGCCCGCTTGGGGTTAAGTATTGTGGCTAAGAGGCGTCGGGTAAGTTGTGGCAATTCATTGTCGTCTATGGAGTCGGCAATGCCTCTGATTTTTATGTTGGAGTGGCGTCTTGCGGCGTCTAGGCCATCCAGCCGTGCCTGTAGTGCCTGGTGTGAGGACTAGAGGTGTATTAGCTTCTCCTCAGTTGCTTGCTGGCGTTCTGCCATAGCGGTTATGTCTTCCTCGGCAACCCTCACTCTGCCAGTAACGGCGGTCACTTCCTCCTGCAAAATCGCCATGTCTGAGCGGAATAGGGTGCGCAGGAATAGGGTGCGTGAATAGGGTGCGTGTTTTGTAAAGGCATCACAGTGACAATAAATGCCACCATTCACATATTCATTTAATTTTACCGTTTAGATCTTTAACTACAATCTTTATAACTGCCTGCTTAGCGTTATAAGGTACTACGAGTACCATGACAACTATCGACTTATTGCAATGTTTATGATGCGATGAATCTGGCAGAATAGTCTCTTTGTTTGAATTTCAATCATTTTCTTTGTTTTGAAGTAAATGCACACCTGGTGCACCCTCGCACTTCAGCCCCATGAACTCGCCAGAACTAAGTATAAACACGTATGCAAATGGAACTGTTTCCAGATAGCAGTATGGCGACTGTGTAGGCAGCAACCCAGATAATTGTTTCTAGTACATATCATTAAATCAGGGGAGGTGGTTGTGGTGTTTGTTTAACTCATGCTCAAACACGATAGAAATATTTTGGGGTACTGTTTAGTTGTTAGGAAAATGTTTTAGATTCTTTTTTATGTAATGAATTCACCAAACGTACAATGGTTCCATTAATGCGTTGATAACTCCTCCAAAATGAAAATTCAACATAACCCCACCAGAATGGAGAGTTTGTGATCGCTTCAGTTTTGTTAACAACTCATTGTTAACTATTAACACGTCGATCAATGTTGGATATAAAATGGTAACTCATTTCATTGCTGTAATCTGTTACATTATTCTTCTGTGACTTTAAGGGGAATTTTTGACATTGAAAGAGTTCCAATCACAGAAATCCTAGCACAACAGGTAAAAACAAAGTTTAAATATCTGTTTTGACATATCTGGGCACTGTTACACTGAGCTTACCGTAAGAAACCAGAACATAGACCACGTAATTAAGTTATCACTTGTTTAAACCGGTTTGAAGGAGTCCAACATGGATGACTGGGTCACTGGCAGTAAAGCAAAAATTTATTTTATTATTACCCATAAGAAATAAGAAGAGGAATGCCAGTTCTTAGTAGAAAGGTTGCTTAAAGTAAGCAGATTTTGAGACTACAAGATATTTCTACCAAAAGGGTAGCTTTTTAGAAATTCAAAGAACATTCAAATCGAATCTCAAATTTTAGGCCATAAATCATCAAACTGGAAATTCTAAAGTGAGAATTCAAAGTGAATTTCAAATTTAAGGCCAAAGTTGCTGAACAGAAAGTGTTGACTGAGAATGTTTCCAGTTTGGCTATTTTGACCTTAAAGGAACACTATAGGGTCAGGAACACAAACATGTATTCCTGATCCTTTAGTGTTAAAATCACCACCAACAACCCTCACCCCTGTATCCCATTTGCCTACCTAAATATAGTAAAATATTGCTCGTATTCAAGTATGCAGCAGCTGCCTCTGCCCTTGACCTGCCTGTTTGGCTGAAGTGATTATGTAAGCCAATCACAATGCTTTCCCATAGGATTGACTGTCAAACACAGCCCTGGCCAATCAGCATCTCCTCATAGAGATGATTTGAATCAATGCAGCTCTATGAGGAAAGTTCAGCGTCTGCTTGCAAAGAATAGACACTGAATGTCCGTGCTGCTCACTCTGCAGCACTGCCCCAAGAAGCACCTCTAGTAGCCATCTGAGGAGTGGCCAGTGGAGTTATCACTAGGCTGTAATGTAAACACTGCATTTTCTCTGAAAAGACAGTGTTTACAGCAAAAAGCCTGAAGGTAATGATTCTACTTACCAGAACAAATTCAATAAGCTGTAGTTGTTCTGGTGGCTATAGTGTCCCTTTAAATTTGCAATTCACTTTGAATTCTTTCTTTAGTGAATAACCCTGCCACAGCTTACACTTACACAAATTGTCTTGAATGTAGTGAATATGCACATTAAAATGTGCTGCTAATCTAAAATGGTGACTCTGAGTGTCATTTTGAATATACTTATTTCTGCACAGATCTAATCGATATTTAAGTGATATTCATCCATCAAAGCACTGTGATTGCATAGGGCTAAGGGCTATGCTCACATTACTGTACTCCGCGGTTAGAAGGACGGGAAATAGCGGCTCTAATACAGTAGGAAGTTCCGATTAACGTTTCTCCTCCATTACACACTGTGGGGAAATAATCAGCAAAACAGATTCTGACTGGCTGACATGATGATCTTTGCAGCCTTCTTTTTTCTTTTGTGAGTAACTGTTTCTGTCAGTGTGAACCTTTGGGATTCTAACACTGCAAATGAACAAAGAGGGACACTTACATTTTAGGGGTGTGAGTGGGGATGTGACCAGGGGAGCTTGACTGAGAAACTTTAGGTTACTAAATAGCAATTTAAGCAACTAAAAAGTGATTTATAGCAATAACAATGTATCATATTTACACACACTGATTTCTAAATACATTTATTGTAGTTTAAAGACACATTACTGGGAGTATTATTGCTGTGGAGCTCTGTTATACACTCAGACACATTACTGGGAGTATTATTGCTGTGGAGCTCTGTTATACACTCAGACACATTACTGGGAGTATTATTGCTGTGGAGCTCTGTTATACACTCAGATACATTACTGGGAGTATTATTACTGTGGAGCTCTGTTATACTCTCAGACACATTATTGGGAGTATTATTGCTGTGGAGCTGTGTTATACACACAGACACATTACTGGGAGTATTATTGCTGTGGAGCTCTGGTATACACTCAGACACATTACTGGGAGTATTATTGCTGTGGAGCTGTGTTATACACACAGACACATTACTGGGAGTATTATTGCTGTGGAGCTCTGGTATACACTCAGACACATTACTGGGAGTATTATTGCTGTGGAGCTCTGTTATACACTCAGACACATTACTGGGAGTATGATTGCTGTGGAGCTCTGTTATACACTCAGACACATTACTGGGAGTATGATTGCTGTGGAGCTCTGTTATACACTCAGACACATTACTGGGAGTATTATTGCTGTGGCTATCTGTTATACACTCAGACACATTACTGGGAGTATTATTGCTGTGGAGCTCTGTTATACACTCAGACACATTACTGGGAGTATTACTGCTGTGGAGCTCTGTTATACACACAGACACATTACTTGGAGTATTATTGCTGTGGTCTCTGTTATACACTCAGACACATTACTGGGAGTATTATTGCTGTGGAGCTCTGTTATACACACAGACACATTACTAGGAGTATTATTGCTGTGGAGCTCCGTTATACACTCAGACACATTACTGGGAGTATTGTTACTGTGGAGCTCTGTTATACACTCAGACACATTATTGGGAGTATTGTTACTGTGGAGCTCTGTTATACACTCAGACACATTATTGGGAGTATTATTGCTGTGGAGCTCTGTTATACACTCAGACACATTACTGGGAGTATTATTGCTGTGGAGCTCTGTTATACACTCAGACACATTACTGGGAGTATTATTGCTGTGGAGCTCTGTTATACACTCAGACACATTACTGGGAGTATTATTGCTGTGGAGCTCTGTTATACACTCAGACACATTACTGGGAGTATTATTGCTGTGGAGCTCTGTTATACACTCAGACACATTACTGGGAGTATTATTGCTGTGGAGCTCTGTTATACACTCAGACACATTACTGGGAGTATTATTGCTGTGGAGCTCTGTTATACACACAGACACATTACTGGGAGTATTATTGCTGTGGAGCTCTGTTATACACTCAGACACATTACTGGGAGTATTATTGCTGTGGAGCTCTGTTATACACTCAGACACATTACTGGGAGTATTATTGCTGTGGAGCTCTGTTATACACTCAGACACATTACTGGGAGTATTATTGCTGTGAGCTCTGTTATACACTCAGACACATTACTGGGAGTATTATTGCTGTGGAGCTCTGTTATACACTCAGACACATTACTGGGAGTATTATTGCTGTGGAGCTCTGTTATACACTCAGACACATTACTGGGAGTATTATTGCTAGGGAGCTTTGTTATACACTCAGACACATTACTGGTAGTATTATTGCTGTGGAGCTCTGTTATACACTCGGACACATTACTGGGAGTATTATTGCTGTGGAGCTCTGTTATACACTCGGACACATTACTGGGAGTATTATTGCTGTGGAGCTCTGTTATACACACAGACACATTACTGGGAGTATTATTGCTGTGGAGCTCTGTTATACACTAAGACACATTATTGGGAGTATTATTGCTGTGGAGCTCTGTTATACACTCACACACATTACTGGTAGTATTATTGCTGTGGAGCTCCGTTATACACTCAGACACATTACTGGGAGTATTATTGCTGTGGAGCTTTGTTATACACTCAGACACATTGCTGGGAGCATTATTGCTGTGGAGCTTTGTTTTACACACAGACAATATGGAGCTCCTAGAAAAGAGGGACATGACGGATTTGGGCCCTGAATAGAGAGAGATGGGAGGTATGAAAATGTATTTGAAATTTTAGGCTTCAATAGCTAAGCTGTCAAAATAGTCTAAACAAGATTTAGATATTTACAATATCTATAGCACTACCATAACTTATACCACAGACTCGGTTTCTTGGTGTTGTTTGATTCCAGCCTCTTCTTCAGCCCGCATGTCCAGTCAACCACCAAATCCTGCTGCTTCCATCTCAAAATAATAGCTCACGTCACATCCACCCCTACCTAACACTGGATGTGGCTAAGTTGCTCAACAATGCCATTATCTTCTACTGCCTTGGCTACTGCAATCCGCTTCTCACTGGTTTTACTTGCTCCCAGCTCGCCCTGCTTCATTTTATAATGAATGTTGCAACAAGACTCATCTTCTTGTCCTGCAGCACCTCCCACCGCTGTTAGTCCTTACATTGGCTTTCCCCACGTTGTTTAAAATTCGGGTTCTCACTTACAAATCTCTTCATAGCACCTCTACCTACCTATTCTTGTTATGATTATTTATAAAGCGCCAACAGATTCCGCAGGGCTGTACGATAGGTGGACGAACAGATAAGTATTTGCAACACGACGAGTCAGACGCACTGGAACAGAAGGTGTTGAGAGCTCTGCTCTTACATTCTAATACACGAATACACAGGATGTCCCATCCAGGCCCCTACGATGTGCAGAAGACCTGTATCTTTTCTCTGATCATACTGGCACGTCTGACTCTCACATTCAAGACTTCTCTAAGATTGCACCATTCCTATGGAACTCCCTATCCTGCCCCATCAGTCTCTCACCCAGTCTCAGTTACTTCAAAAAAATCACTTAAAACAGACTTCTATCAATTACTAAACTAGTAACAGCATTCCCTCCCCTCATCTCGGTAACCAAACTTCTCTCCTGGAACTATAATAACTTAATAAATTAATCCTTCATTGTAAACTCTTTTAGAAACCTACTTTTCCATTACAGATGTTGCTGAACTACAGCTCCCATGATTCTTTGCATTACACAGATAGCCAGAGAATCATGGGAGTTGTAGTTCAGCAACATCTGGGGGGCCGGAGTTTGAGGACTACTGCCTTAGAAGGTAAGTTGCTTGAGCAGGGCCCTCAGCATTGTCTGTTCCTGTATGTCCAACATGTCTTGCTGTGACTACTTGTTTGTTAGTCCCTCTATTGTACAGCACTGCTGAATTAGTTGGCATTTTATTATATAAATATATTATACATACAGTGTGTTAATACATCACAAGTTATAATATATTTATTTCAGACTCTGTATTATGCAACTTCTACACGTTCAGCACCATCCGCTGGGTTATTTTAGAACAGTAAGAGTTTATTCTGATTATTACTGAATTGCTGTTTCCTGGTATACTCAGCGGAGGAACGGATATTCAGTGAGCAGAGCAAACCAAGCCCAATGGCATTTAATTGAGCAGAATATTCAAGAGAAAGGATAACCAGAATTACTGGTTCAGTGGTTGTAGTAATAAACCTGTGCCATTTTGAACCATGACAATGATTTGCATGAGACTATACTTGATTTAAGTTTAAAACAGCGTGTATTCTTTTACCCCTCCCCCTTTTTAAAAAACACAGCATTCTATCCTACCCTCCGTGACATTCTGCACAATGACCCAGCCATAAAGGCATTGCAATGGGAATTAAACCCCACGATTCCATAGCAGTGATGCAAATCAAAATTTGTTTCACTGATTCTAGAGATTTAAAGGGGAACTGTCACTTCTGAGGAATTTACACCATTAAATAAAAAAATGTAAACAATTATAACTTGTGCAAACCATTTTTAATGAGATGGTTTTTTTTTGCAAATTCGTATCAAAGATTTAACAAATGGCATAATGATTCCATTCAGACAAGGCAATGCCAGGACAAATAGTACAAATGATGGGGTGAAATAAAAGCATGGCTTCATTTCTCCCCTCCTCTGTATGCTACCTCTATGGTGCCTGCCAGATGCAAAGGACAGAGTTTATAACAATTAATGACAGGAAGCTAAGATGGCAGCGCCCATTTGCAGGATAAATAGGTGTAGATTTTAATTTTTCACACCTCGCAAATTCATAATTGTTAAATATACAAGTAAGTAAACGTCATACTGAAAATTAAAGTGTCCCTTTAAAACAAAACAAAAAAAACAGTTTATTGTGTTATTTAGTCACTGTCCAAAAGCAATCATTTTAAAATAATATAAAATAAAACTTTGATATAAAGCAAAATTATGGAAATACTCTTACATTTTATTATGAATATTTCATGATCGCTATAATTAATAACATTTTAAATTGTTATCTACTACCCATTGTGTGCATTAACATAAAAAGCTAACCTTAAAAGGAATTAATATAATAATATATATTTCTATAAAGCAAAATTCATACCAGTGCTTTTTGCTCATTTCACCAGCTTCATAAGTCAGTCTCCAGGGTACGGCTTTTTTTAAAAGCAAGAATAATATTAATTGGATCTAAAAATAAATGCTTCACACTTTGCCTTTTAATATACAGTTTGATGCAGAGTGTCTTAACCGCCCCATATACACACTGTTTATTCTATATTATAATGTACAATATTTGTTTTCTCCACTTATTTGCTCCTGGTCTTGTTAAATCAGGAACAATAGAGATCTCACATGACAACACAGCACTGGCATGTTTTTTCCTTTACCCGAGCCTTCTCCCTTTGTGATTCCGCGGTGTTGGAACTGGCATTTAGCTTCTCATCTTTCTTCAGTAATGGCCTATCTTCAAGAGGATATATTGCAGCACTGGAGACCTGCTGACTATTCGAGCTATGCTGGCCCTGTCCTGAATCAGGGGTATTGTGCGCTGGTGCAGCTACAACAACAACGTGGGAAATATGAGCTTGTGTCTCGTGAACTAGGTTTTTAGACTGGAGTACAGTGCTTGGTTTCTGATCTTCAGAAAATGGAAAATAGTCCTCATTTTGGTCTTTACGAGGTGGTGATATTTTCCGGCTTTGATCTTGGTCTGGCAGTGTTAAATCCTGAATTTGGGCATGATCATAAGATACCAGTTCTGTTATCTGTCCCTGATTTTGGTCTTGTGCTGGTAATATAAGTTCTTGGTTTTGGTCTTGGGTCACTGGAATGTGCTCATTGTTTTGGTCATTGGTTAGAACTAAGGTTGGGGTAATTGAAGCTGGTTCTTGGCTTTGGTCTTGGGTCAGTAATTTGTAGTCTTGGTCCTGAGTCGTTAGAGCAGGATTCTGATTTTGGTCTTTGGTAGATGAAGTGCACTCTTGGTTTAGGTCTTGCGTCTCTGATACTGGATCTAGGTAATGATCTTGTGAGGATGATTTGAGTTCTTGGATTTGGTTTTCATTTGGTGACTGAATAACCAGGTTTTGGTCTTGGATAAATGCATGAAGATCTGCATTTTGGTCTTTGGTCTTTGTTGTGTCATCGTGCTTTTGGTCTAGGTTCACAGACATAAACTCCTGGTTTTGGTCAATCTCCTGATTGTTATCTGATGGAACTGATTCTTCAACATGGTTGTTGATAGTTGATGCTGATTTGTCATTTTGGTCCTGGGACTTGTATTCGGTTGTTACTATAGCCACATCACTAATTTCTGAGGGTACTGCAGTGGGTTTATGATCCGGTGTCTGGTGTCCACTCATTATTCCAGATTCTTGGCTTTGTGCTAATAATTTGGCCGATGGATTGTGCATTTCATCCACCTCTTCAGTGTTGGACAACGCTGAGTGCATGATGTCTCCTGGATTAAAGTGTTTTTCACTCTGATTTTGATGTTCTTGGCTTTCGTCTGGAAGTCTCTCATTCTGATTGTCAATGGCATGCTCTTGAAATTCAACGTTTTTGTCCATTTGTCCAAAGTTATGATGTTTCTGGCCCTTAGCTGGATCTTCTTGACTTTGGTCTAGAATTTCCACATTCTGTTTTTCATATATTTCAGACTGCTTGTCATCATTATGTGCATCATGATTTTGTTTTTTTTCTGGAGTATCAGCTCTGTTTGCTCTCGGAGCAGGAATGGGGCGTCCCGAGGCACTTTTATTCTCATTGTGGACGTTCAATAGGGAACTGTCATCTTTGTGGTCTTCAGTAGATTTTGATATATTCTGTTCTTGATCACCATTCACAAGATGTATTTCTGGAGTAGGAGTAACCTTAAAGAAAATCAGAATTTCATGTATTATTATTGATACAATCGTTATTTTCACATATGCTTCAAACCTTAAACGTGGCAACCAATGCCATGATTTTTTTTTAAACCTACATATTACAGTTATACAAAAACACACATAAAATGCACACATCAAAGGTTTCTCGATTACCATTCTCCCCCTAACTCCAACACAGTAACGCACACAAAGTTTCACAAACAAGAAGGACATTACAATCTGTAAAAGATGATTGGTCAGTGAAATTTGTCAACACCAGTGACACAATAAATACATCTCCTGAAACAAGTGTACATCATGTAATGAGCACTCTTCGAACATAACTTTTCAGCTGCCAGTGCATCGGAGTGGGGAGAGGACATTGATATGAAAACTATTTTTACTTCTTTATTCAGGAATTTAAGATTTTACAATCCGTATGAAAGCTTTTATTGTTTGCATTTTCTGTACGCAGTTAAACATCTATTTTGTGAAATCCACAAATGAGTGCAGGTAAGCATCAGCCGAAAATTGAAGATTGAAGATTACAACTCAAGGACTCGACCAATGAGAAGCAGAGCGCTATCAAAAATATTTGGGAATAAGCTGGTTCCTCAGACTTGCCAATTAGTAATCTTCTGTATGTACTTACACAGCCTTTAACCCTTGCAGGACACAATTTGCACTTTTTTTGTCATTGTGACTATCCTGATATGCCATCTTTCCTGATATGCCATCTATCCTGAAAAGCTATTTTTTTCCCCCGGTTATTTTAAAAAAGCAACAACGTCATTCCCTAAAGAAACGTTAACAGAACTGGATACAAAGCTCACTCTTTCCAATTCAGCTGTTTTGGCCTTAAAATGGAAATTCACTTTGAATAACCCTGTTTGTTAAAGGAACACTATAGTGTTAGGAAAACAAAGTTGGTTTCCTGGCACAATAGCTCCATATAGTGCTCCCCCAACCCCATGGGAGGTGCTGGCTCGGGGTCTGCCGTTGTTCCTCCCCTAATGTGCATGCGCGGCAATGGCCACGCTCGCATTAGAACAGGCCCACAGGAAAGCATTATACAATGCTTTTCTATGAGGTTTTGGGCGACGCTGGATGTCCTTATGCATAGTGTGAGGACGTCCAGCGTCAGTTAAGCAACCAAAAGTCGCTCAAGTGGCTGGCTGGTAGACAGTCACTAGAGGTAGAGTTAACCCATAAAGGTAAGTATTGCAGTTAATTGAAACTGCAATAATTACCTTTCCAGGGTTAAGGGTCCTGGGAATATGCACCCAAACCACGTCATTGAGTTGAAGTGGTCTGGGTGCCTAGAGTGTCCCTTTAACTTTTAATTATTTATATTAACTTTGAATAACCCAGTAATCGTATATCAAATACCTCCTATCTTCTATCTGGGCTTTTACTGTGATTTTGCTTCTCATATTGTTTGGATTCAAAATTTAGCCAAACTGGAAAAATGTACATATAATTACATATAATTCCACTTCAGCTATGAAATAATATTCACCGGCAAGGTTAGTCAGAACCACGTAATTACAATTGAAACTTAACTACCTCATAACAGGAGTTAGCCAAATCCCTTTATGTAATGACAGCCCTATAGGGTCACCTGCCACGACAAGGATCATTTTTCAACCTACACGACCTCGGTGGAAACACTTCTGTAAAATATTAAGTCAGTTATTCAACAGGTCAGCATTAACAATAGCCTTCTCACAGGCAAAGAGAAATTGGTTATGTATTAAATGGCAGTTTTAACTCTATCCTCCCTCTTCTTTGTAAAACAGAGGCTGATCGGATGGAATATTATCTTTTATTTGCATTTTTTTCTGAATAGATTTGCAAGTAATGTCACCAACGCATTTTACTACACGCAACAGCAAGCGTGATGCATATTGTCCCATTCTGCCAGAGTTAATTGCACTGAACAAAGACACGGTACATCAAGTTCAGTCATTAGCATTTTCTGTTTGCTTTACTAATTACCCAGGAAAATTTTACACTAAAATAGCCAAAATCCATTCACATATTCTCTTTCTTTTGGATCAATAACAGCAACGGCAACATCAAAATTTCTAATTGTGCCCCCAAATAAGTCATAATTCATTTTTCAGATCTCTTCCCTTCTCATAGGGTAACCATTTCTTCCTTGTAAAACCTTGTTAATGAACAGGTTACCAGTAGAGTTGAGCGAACCCGAACTGAAAAGTTCGGGTTCGTACCGAACATTACGTTTTTTGGACCCTGAACACGGACATATCACTGTATGTTCGGGTTGGAGTTCGGTGTTCAGCGATTTAATGACACGTTTTGAAAGGCCGCAGGGCAACCAATCAACAAGCATTTGACTCGTGTGCTCTTAGAAGCCATCACAGCCATGCCTACTAATGACATGGCTGTGATTGGCCAAAAAGGGGGGAGATCTATTGTCCCCCCCAGCCCCCACCCCTGAGCGGTGGGTGGGGGCCCTAAATAACAATAAGGGGGGGGACCTATTGTCCTCTCCCCCAGCCCCCACCCCTGAGCGGCGGGTGGGGGCCATAAATAAAAATTGGGGGGGGACCTAATGTGCTCCCCGCCGGCCCCCACCCGTAAGCGGAGTGTGGGACCAAAAATAAAAATTGTGGGGGCACCTAATGTCCTCCCCTCTGGCCCCCACCCCTGAGCGGTGGGTGGGGGCCATAAATAAAAATGGGGGGGGGAACCTAATCTCCTCCCACCGGCCCCCACCCCTGCGCGGTGGGTGGGGGCCCTAAATAACAATAAGGGGGGGGACCTACTGTACTCCCTCCCCCCACCCCTGAGCGGTGGGTGGGGGCCATAAATAAAAATTGGGGGGGACCTAATGTCCTCCCCCCGGCCCCCACCCACCACTCAGGGGTGGGGGGAGGGAGTACAGTAGGTCCCCCCCCTTATTGTTATTTAAAATCCCCCCCCACCCTCCTAGGTGACTAGGGGTCCCCAAACCTCTAGTCACCCCCCTCCCCCCAAAACAATTACCCCTACCTACCCCCCTCACCCTAAAAATAATGAGGGGGGGACCATTAGTTAAGTACCTGTAAAAAAAATAAAACGTACCATTTGATATTTTCTTTCTTCTAAAATCTTCTTTTTTCAGCCCCCAAAAAGGCCAAATCAAAATCCAGAATAGCCAAGGCACTTAAAAAAATAAAAATCCTTCTTCACCCATGGAGGGCTCTGTGCAGACTGAGCTCTCCAGGGTGGGGGAAGGCTTATGAAGCCTTGCCCTGCAATTAGGTTCAGGGCACTCTGATTGGTGGGTTTAAGCCATCCAATTAGAGTGCTCTGACAGGTAAATGAAGAGACTGACAGGTAAGTCTCTACATTTACCTGTCACAGCACTCTGATTGGTTGGCTTGAAATGCACCAATCAGAGTGCTCTGTGTCATTTTACACAGCATAGGAAAGTTCTTTGGAATTTTCCCACGCTGTGTAAAATGACACAGAGCACTCTGATTGGTGGATTAAGTAACCAATCAGAGTGTTATGAGTCAAATTACACAGCGTGGGAAAATTCCAAAGAACTTTCCCACGCAGTGTAAAATGACACAGAGCACTCTGATTGGTGGATTTCAAGCCAACCAATCAGAGTGCTGTGACAAGTAAATGTAGAGACTTATGGGGGGAGGGGGTGACTAGGGGTTTGGGGACCCCTAGTCACCTGGGGGGGGGATTTTTATTTATGGCCCCCACCCTTAATGTTATTTAGAGCCCCCACCCACCGCGCAGGGGTGGGGACCAGAGGGGAGGACATTAGGTCCCCCCCCCTTATTGTTATTTGGGGCCCCCACCCGCCACGCAGTGCTGGGGGCCAGGGGAGGGCATTAGGTCCCCCCTTATTGTTTTTAGGGCCCCCACCCGCCACTCAGGGGTGAGGGTCAGGGGGGAGGACAGTAGGTCCCCGCCCCTTATTGTTATTTAGGACCCCCACCCGCCACGCAGGGGTGGGAGCCGGGGGGAAGGACATTAAGTCCCCCCCCCTTATTGCCTTATTGTTATTTAGGGCCCCCACCCACCACTCAGGAGTGGGGACCGGGGGGGGGAGGACAGTAGGTCATTAAGTCCCCCTCCCTTATTGCCTTATTGTTATTTAGGGCCCCCACCCGCCACGCAGGGCTGGGGGCCAGGGGAGGACATTAGGTCCCCCCTTATTGTTTTTAGTGCCTCCACCCGCCACTCAGGGGTGAGGGCCAGGGGGGAGGACAGTAGGTCCCCGCCCCTTATTGTTATTTATGACCCCCACCCGCCGCGCAGGGGTGGGAGCCGGGGGGAAGGACATTAAGTCCCCCCCCCCTTTATTGCCTTATTGTCATTTAGGGCCCACACTCGTCACACAGGGGTGGGGGCAATAGCTTTTTAGTTTTTGTTTACAGTGAACAGCCACTGGCTGCTTACTGTTTACTAGACACACCCCTACTTGCGGTATAGCGAGTGGGGGCTGAATTTACTAATACTAAGTAATCCTTACTTAGTATTAGTAAATGTGGCTGAAAGATCAATTGACCAATTTAGGTCTTTCAGCCTTTTGGTAGATAGCTCCCTAATACCATGTGAATTAGGGAGTTTTCTACTAAGCGGCTGCTTATTTTATGTTATTTTTACGTTATTTCCCTATCCACATTTGTTTGCAAGGCACTTGTCCTACTCGTTCCCCCATTTTACTTCTTTTTGCAGCCCTCTAGCCCTTTCCAGGAGTGTTTTAGAGCCATTTTGTGTCCAAAAGTTTGGGTCCCCACTTCAATGGGGTTGGGTTCCTTCAAAATGCCAAAATGCCAAAAATTTGCACCAACCTATTCAAATGGTCTTATAATTAATTTATAAAGAAGCAAATAATATTTAACGTATTTATTACCTTACAGATTAAAGCTTCTAATTGCCATTGTTAAGACATTTCTTTTTCTATATAATGCACCTTCAACTGTCTGTAGAGAATTAGCATTCTGTTTAAACTGTATTATCTCGACTAATATGATATTTGAAAACTCTAAAACATAGTTTTCAAAGCATTTAGCAAAATCTTTCATTAATGCCTTCAATAAACTGCAAACCATTAGAAAAGTGGACCCGGGCCAGTCTCGTCTTACCAACGCTGTTTGTTTTGTAAATGTTCCACTGAAAACAACTCTATGCACTCTATCTTTTAGCCACTTTTCAATCCAAGCACAAATAGCTAAACCTTTGCACAAATCCTTTTCAGCTGCTTTCCCCCCCAATTTGTACATTTGTTTTCTCCGTGGTAATAAAGCAAGTACTTTTGAAATATCTAAATAGGTAAAATCTACAAAATCTACATCAAAACCCTGATCTACAGTTTTACTCACGTCATAGAACATAATTAAGTTTATTTGACATGATCTATCTTTCATAAAACATATTGACACCCAGTAATTATAGGGTTGTTTAAAATGTATTCCTGAATTGTACTCTTTAACATTCCTTACTGTAATTCCTCTACAGTGGCCTTCAAACAGGTGTCACCAGATATTTCATATCGAATGCATAGAGTGTATCTTGCCTTTTTACAAAATATGAATCAGGGCTTTCTAAGCAAGGATCCAAATAGTTAACACTGTGTATTATGGAGGTAAGTAGGATCCTTAAATCCAAGGACTATTGTGTGACACACGGCTTTAAATGTTGTTGACACATTAGTAAATTAGGAACTTGTTGAGCCTTTATTCCTGCAAAATAGAATGACAGAAACCTTAGGGCATCAATTAGTGGCGGACAGAATTAGCTGAAAATTACCGTGCGTCATAGCTTCAAAGTTGACAAATCGTACAACTGATGTACATTATGTGAAATTATATGGTAGTAGCTTGTGAGTTACATGTCTGTCTGTTGCACTGGGTATATGTACAGCAAACGCTGTATTTGTATGATATCATTAGGCTGAGGCCAGCCCATGGCCTAGTCTAACTGTTACTTCGGGAAATATAACACAAGGAGGAAATAGAATGTCATGTAATTCAGGATAAAGTGCGTGTCTCTACATATTGGCATTGACCAACAGAGAAAGCCCAACTAATCCTGAAACCCTCAATGCGTGGTATAAGCTGGTACGCGCCACTAACCAGTGCGATGCAGAAAAATCTTTAGGGAACGATTTAGCGGTTGTCAATAGATTGAGCACTTAGTGGCCCAACATGATATCACGTATCAAAACATAATCAGGATCCATATTACCATAAGGGGCCTATGATTGGTCCCTCTTTGACAAAACCTGGGTAGAGGCCAGCCATAACATGGGAAATAAATAAATAAATAAATAAATCAAAGCAAAAACCAAGTCGGTTCCAGGAGACAGAAGAGGAGAGAGACGTCCAATAGCAATGACTGTATCTTTTTATGGTCTGTGCAATGTTACATTCAGCTGTCTGAACGTTCTTTAAGTCCATGATTAAATATAAAAAAGTACATTACATTTGAGCATTATACAGCTTTTTAATACACACAGGGTTATTCACTACATCGAGAATATATTCAAAGTGAATGTCAAATTTAAGGCAAAAACTGTCAAACTGGAAGAATTCTCCAAGCCAGCTATGCCTCCAAGTTGGCTACTTTGGCCTTAAACTTAAATTCATTTTGACTTCCTGACTCTAGTTTTCACTTTAGTGAATATCTTTGCTTTCAATATTCTTGACACTCGAGGCGTTTAAATCCCTCTGCGATCTGTAACGGAGCAAATAAAAAACAGATAGATATAGCTACCTTAGTGCTTTCCGTTTTGATGTCTTTAATTCCAGGGTTTTCCAAATGGAACAAGCGAGACTGGAGGCTGAAAAGAAGAATTAATGTGTGAGAAGAATACTCACTAATATGTTCATTTATACTCATTTAACCATTATATCACATATACACTCCAGCAACAACATGATGCACACTCATTTACAAAATCTTCAGTGTGATCCTACTGCCAAAGCGGTGACCGAGCTACAAGGAGCTCTTTAGCAATATGACAGACGGGGGTTTACAGAGAGGCTTTCGGAGTGTGCAGCAACTCGTCATAGGCCTAACTCTCAACATTATTGGAAATAAAGTCACAAGAGAGGCCTTTAGAGTGTACAGCAACTCGTCATAGGCCTAACCCTCAATCTTAATGGAAATAAAGTCACAAGAGAGGCCTTTAGAGTGTATAGCAACTAGTCATAGGCCTAACCCTCAATCTTAATGGAAATAAAATCACAAGAGAGGCCTTAAGAGAGTACAGCAACTAGTCATAGGCCTAACCCTCAATCTTAATGGAAATAAAGTCACAAGAGAGGCCTTTAGAGTGTACAGCAACTCGTCATAGGCCTAACCCTCAATCTTAATGGAAATAAAGTCATAAGAGGGCTTATAGAAGCATACCTGTGTGGCCATTTCCAGTTACCATGACGACGAGTACCTGGGTACACTGGGAACCAAAAATGTAGGGAACCAAACAATATTTTAATGTGGATCTGACATCCCTATATTTTTACACAACGTATAACTCTTACCTCTCTAGTTCCTGCTGCAGTTGATGTATTTTACCCTCTGTCTGGGTCAGCGGACTCTCATTTTCTGCCTCTTGGGCTGATCCCAGCCCTTCCATTAGCCATCGATCTCGAAGGGACTTCCTCTGTGAGAGGAATAGTGATTGGCAGGTTAATATCAAGGGGGCTCTGTCATCCAAACAGTGTTTACAGAAATATAATACACAGACCAAGTGGAAATTTCTTACATTTATTTTGTCTGATCGAAGGCACCAGAAAGCACCATGTGCTATTTACTCTCATACCTGGGAATTCCCCGTGTTGTAGTTGGTATGCAGCCTTGTTCAGACAGAGGGTTGGTGTAAACCTCGGCCCAGTAACATGCATATTTACCCATTACACTCTCCAAAACACTGCATACTTTAAAGGCGTGTATGCCCCAGTCCAGACAGGGCCTATTATTTTATATACCTTAATTATCTTTGAACATCCCCTGCACCAACTTCAGAAAAACAATTCAATTTTTGAGGAGTGTTCCTTTATAAGAAAGATTAAACTACATTATATCTACCAAATGCCCCTATTTAGAAGGGACAGTCCTTATTTTGGACCCAAATCCCCCTGTCCCTCTTTTTTATCCTATTGTCCCTCCTTTCTAGGAGCTCCATATAGTCTGTGTGTCTGAGTGTATAACAGAGCTCCACTGCAATAATACTCCCAGTAATGTGTCTGTGTGTATAACAGAGCTCCACAGCAATAATACTACCAGTAATGTGTCTGAGTGTATAACAGAGCTCCACTGCAATAATACTCCCAGTAATGTGTCTGTGTGTATAACAGAGCTCCACAGCAATAATACTACCAGTAATGTGTCTGAGTGTATAACAGAGCTCCACAGCAATAATACTCCCAGTAATGTGTCTGAGTGTATAACAGAGCTCCACAGCAATAATACTCCCAGTAATGTGTCTGAGTGTATAACAGAGCTCCACAGCAATAATACTCCCAGTAATGTGTCTGAGTGTATAACAGAGCTCCACAGCAATAATACTCCCAGTAATGTGTCTGAGTGTATAACAGAGCTCCACAGCAATAATACTCCCAGTAATGTGTCGGAGTGTATAACAGAGCTCCACAGCAATAATACTCCCAGTAATGTGTCTGAGTGTATAACAGAGCTCCACAGCAATAATACTCCCAGTAATGTGTCTGAGTGTATAACAGAGCTCCACAGCAATAATACTCCCAGTAATGTGTCTGAGTGTATAACAGAGCTCCACAGCAATAATACTCCCAGTAATGTGTCTGAGTGTATAACGGAGCTCCACAGCAATAATACTCCCAGTAATGTGTCTGAGTGTATAACGGAGCTCCACAGCAATAATACTACCAGTAATGTGTCTGAGTGTATAACGGAGCTCCACTGCAATAATACTCCCAGTAATGTGTCTGAGTGTATAACAGAGCTTCACAGTAATAATACTCCCAGTAATGTGTCTGAGTGTATAACAGAGCTCCACAGCAATTATACTCCCAGTAATGTGTCTGAGTCTATAACAGAGCTCCACAGCAATAATACTCCCAGTAATGTGTCTGAGTGTATAACAGAGCTCCACAGCAATAATACTCCCAGTAATGTGTCTGAGTGTATAACAGAGCTCCACAGCAATAATACTCCCAGTAATGTGTCTGAGTGTATAACAGAGCTCCACAGCAATAATACTCCCAGTAATGTGTCTGAGTGTATAACAGAGCTCCACAGTGATAATACTCCCAGTAATGTGTCTGAGTGTATAACAGAGCTCCACAGCAATAATACTCCCAGTAATGTGTCTGAGTGTATAACAGAGCTCCACAGCAATAATACTCCCAGTAATGTGTCTGAGTGTATAACAGAGCTCCACAGCAATAATAATCCCAGTAATGTGTCTGAGTGTATAACAGAGCTCCACAGCAATAATACTCCCAGTAATGTGTCTGAGTGTATAACAGAGCTCCACGGCAATAATACTCCCAGTAATGTGTCTTTAAACTACAATAAATGTGTTTAGAAATCAGTCAGTGTAAATAAGATACATTGTTCTTGATCTAAATTATATTTTAGTTGTATAAATTATTAAGTCACCTAATATTTTAAATGTTTGGAGTTATGGTATATTGCTGAGTATCAACTGCTAAGTTCCCCATTACGACTGACTTTAAAATAAAAATCATATTAGCTAATGTGCATATATATCCAACAATCAGGGCACAAAATGTACACCTTTTTTTTTATTGTGTTTGCATTAGCACTGATATATTTTAAAGGGATTCTCTAGTGCCATGAAAACAAACCCGCAGTGCCCCTCATCCCACGTCGCTAAAGGGGTGAAAACACCTTCAGACACTTACCAGAATCCAGCGCCGATGTCCCTCGGCGCTGGGTCAGGGTCCGCCTACACTCATCCCCCGCCAGCGAGACCTAATGCGCAATGGCTGCGCGCGCATTAGACCTCCCCATAGGAAAGCATTATTCAATGCTTTCCTGTGGGGATTCCCATAGGGATAGACAGCCACTAGAGGAGGACTTAACCCTGCGAGGTAATTATTACAGTTTATAAAAGCTGCAATAACTACACTTACAGGGTTAAGGGTGATGGGAGTTAGCTCCCAGACCTCCTCAATGAGTTGAAGTGGTCTGGGTGCCTACACTGTCCCTTTAATAAACTTTCTAGGGTAACAGAAGACGGATTTAGATACTGACTCTTGCTTCACAGAGAGAAGGAGTATTTTAACATTACTAGGTTTTTATATACAGTCAGATTTTCCATTTAATTGTTTTGTGTACAATGTGTTTAATGTGACGAGAATATACTTGCGGTCTATAAACCTTAATAACTATAATAATATACTTCTCGCAGCAAGAAGATTACTTTTAGCTACAGATAATGTTTGGGGGTTTGTTTATTAAAACAGAGAATTGACAACTTAACTAAACGTTTTGGCCAGTTTTAGCAATATCCCAGGGACGGGGTCTGACTGCCGTATTGACTGGTTGCATTACAGAGTACCTCCTGAGACTTTACGCATTTTCAGCTTTAAAATTGCTGCTGAGAAGCTTACCCTGTATCAGTCTTCTGAGACTAATTGCTTGTGGTAAGCTGTCTACATATTTGACTCTAAATCCTGGGATTTGGAATTTCAGTGAGAGAATTACAGCCCATGTGATTGTGGCCTTCCCAGACAGCAATGCAGCTAGAGGTGTTGGGGCCTAGTCTGGCTGGTGAGCTTTGTGGACGGGAGAAGCAGACGATCTCTCGTGGGACTCTCTCGGTACTCGGACCCGCTCATTCGGTGTGCAGGGGTTTCGTGGACTATGGACAAGGGTTCTTATTTCGGCCTGGACCTGGAGATGTGGCGTTTGGCAACGGTACTTTGCCAAACTCAACTCTTTCTATGTTTATTACAGCAGATTTACAAGCTTCGGGGTCGGATGATATTAAGCTTTCTTGCCCAGCCATCTTGACAAGGTTGCAGTCCATATGCCCTGGGTTTGCATGATACAGTGTATGTTTTATTTTGTTTGTTTTAGACTACCTTAACTTGGTGGTTTACTAAAAGTATGACTATGAAGACAAGACAAGTTATTTTGTTTTTTACTTTCTATGGGGTTAAGGTTCATTAATCTGTTAAAATTTCCAAAATTCTGCAGACATGCCCACATATGGGGTACGTTAACTTTTACCACTTCTTTGTTTCAATGTGACATGTATACACCTGTTTGTGCTTCTGTCATTGGACTATAACAAATAAATAAATAAAAAATATCAATTTTAGAGACAGTTTTCCCACAATTCCTGGATAGGTAAATACTCTGTAAATGAAGTATAGTATTCATTAAAGTTCTGAGATAGCAGGAAAGAGGCACAGCCTGATGCATTTTGCATATTTCACAGTGGTGGGATTCTCACCATCATATGACAGAGGTAAAGTAGGACTTTACAGTGAAAATACATGATATGTTAATAAAGGAACATTTAAAGGGGTATTTAATTTTACCTTAAGTTGCAGCAGTTTTAGTCTCTGTTGTTCCAGTTCCCGCTGTATATTTTCCACCTGAATGAGGATCCCGCGCTTTTCCTATAACAGAAACAGCAATAATCTCAAGTCGATTTGTGTATTAGAGTGCAAGCTGTGCAGGTTAGGCTTCATTTCTCCCATTGTTTCTCACTATATTAGAGTGTTAGAAGTGTAGCTCAGAATATCCCCCCTCTATGTATAAGAGTGCAAGCTCTTCAGACCCGATGCCCTATTTCTGGAGGCTCCTATTTCTGAGCATTACATCTTTACCTTTCTGAAATATATAATGTTTTTATTCCCTGCATTCTTGTCCAGTTGGTAGTTGTGCAAACATCTCCAAAGTATATATTTAGATTTTTTTTTTTTAGAGTGTAAGCCCAAAGGCCAGAATCTCCCCTAGTAGTTCCGCTAGTGTAGCTTCCTTGGACTGTTTTTTATTTCTGTCCACCTGGAAATTAAATGTTTACACTCTGCATTAATCCATTACCTTGGTGGTTCTGTCTGTAAAGCTATGTGCCCCAGTCTGTTAGATTGTAAGCTCTTTGGATCAGTGTTACAGTGATACCTACTGTGATTCCATGCAGCCGCTGGTTATATATCTGAGTCTCTTCCATCTTGACACTGCAGAGAAAGAGAGACAGGAGGTTACTCAAACAGCATTACTCAAATAACATTTCATTTAACACCGGACCGCTGTTAACCCACACACTGCCAGAGAAATGTGAGTGCAAGCTTGTTCAATGCCGAAGACCGGGTAGTCTTTTCAGTCTCAGATTAACTCATCGACTACTTTCAGTCTATTAACTTATTCACTTTCTTAACCCATTCACTCTCATTAAACCGCCATGCCTTTACTCATTAACACTTCCAGAGACCTGCAGGCCTATTCTTCAGTAAGCCATTCACTTACGGAGAGTAACTGAGTATCACACTATCCAATAATCCAATACCAAGGTCTTCCTATAAACTTCACTTGGTACAGAGACCAGCTGGGTACTAACGCAAACTTCCCTATATGCCTTTTACCACCCCAAATCACACGCACACCCTGGCACATCTCACCTGCAAGACACCAACCTATTCCACAGAGCTGTACAATCAGAACCTCAATCAGAACCTCAATATATTGACTGTGCACGGACTGTTTGCCTGTCAAAAGCCTGCACAGAGAGCTTTCTGTCTGCTACCACTGTCACAGGATATCCTGTACAAATGTTCTCTTTATTGTTACTTATAGAGAGGCAGCATATACCACAGCACAGTACAAATGATGGCGAAGATGTACAAGTAATATAAATAAATAAAGCTAAATAAATAAGTAAAATGAACAAAGCAGGTTTGATTTACAGAAGCAAGAGGCGGCGAGGCACCTGCTCTGAGAAGAGCTCACTGAGATGTCATTAAGGTTTCACATCCCCTAGGCTCTGTCTCGGCATGGGTTAATGCTGGGCTGCAGATGCAAGTCATTTGATTCTACACGCTCTGTATACCTGAGGAATGTTTGACACACAGTTCATGTGACCTTGGCACATGCACACGCGCACACACACGCACTTTAATGCACATACACACACTCACTGGGGTTGAATTGGTAAGCAGTGGATTGTAGTTAACACGTTTGCAAAATCTAGGCAATAATTTTTTTTTAAACAATCTAGCAGACTTGGAATTTTTTTAAATTAAGCTATATTGTCTTTTTTTTCCTGTTTAATTTAGGAAATAATCCTCAACAAGGTACAAACAAAAAATCCTTATTTATTTATAAATAAAACAAAATAGAGTCAGAAAACAGACACGCAATACAAGCTACAAATTATACTAAAAATGAGGATTTGTTCCTATTATATAATGGAATATTATTCTTAATTTGCCGCTTGCGTGGATTATAATATACTGGTAAAAGAATTTTAAATATTTTATTACAGGCACGGAAGCCAAGTTTATTTAACTTTAAATGCAAAGCGTCAGTTTGTCAGTTATATAACCATGATGGACATATAATGTGACTAAGTCACAGTTTTCCATTAGTGATTCAAGTTATTGGGCTGCTATTAATGAAACGTGTAATTTTGGAATTAAGGACACATTATAATGTTACTGGCAGATAAAAATTGTGCTGTAAAAAATATTTTTTATTTATTTTTATTCAAAAAAAAAAAATGTTTTACTGTAACTCGCAAGTTTAGGCTCAGCCTGGCATTTATTCCCACAATTCTGTTTGATTCCATGGCATCACGGGAAAAAAACAGTTTCAAGGTGACGGCTTCTTTTATAAACAAAATACACACATTTATTCATAGTTCTCTTTGTTAGGTCTAACTGATAATGTTTATTTATGTATATTCTATATCACATTACATCTATGCCATAAAAAAATGAAAGCACCCATTTAGGAAAGCATATTGTAGTGCTATCACCTAAAAAATATTTTTAACTTCTGAACGGAGTGTGACAAAAATGATAATTAATTATATTTCACATTTGTGCTTTCACAACAAAAACATAAAAAACATAATGAATCTGCATCATTGTGAAAAATAGTGAATAGATATCAGATTTTTTAATATTATTTTTTATTTATATTCAAAATTTAACATATACGTGAAGTCTGAAAAATAAAATTAAACGTAGGAATCCACTTTTAATTTTTTTTTTTATTATCCTGGAACTGTGTGCCACCATCTTAGCTCCCTGTCAGTCATTGTCCTTTGCAGCTGGCAGTCTGCATTGTGAAAAACCGTGGGGGAGCCATGGGTGCACCAATGTCCAGAATCCGGCCTTATATATATTTTTTCTATATATCAATCGGTTATAAGTAAAACAAGGATTATTGGGCTCCTTTTTAGCCATCCAGGGTTGGCTTTAAGCTGCCAAACCCCTGTCCTGATGTTAGGAGGTATGTTGTTGTGGTATAAAAAGCTGTACAAAGTACTAAAAGTGGCAAAATGAACCAACGAACTCACGCCTTTTACATTTTTCAGCACTTTTCAGGGAAAAAAGACAGCTAAATCTCTCATTTTTTTTCTGTTTCCCCTCCATCAAATCAATCTATTGCCACAAAGTATCTATTATTTATATATAGTATTTATTACTCGTTAACATTTATTTTCTTTCTATTAGTATGTAAAATCTCTAATAACAAAATGGTTTTTAAAAAAATCTATTTATAAAAAATTTTGGGAAAGAAATATACTGTCATTTTCTTTGTAAGTTATATATGTATATCTGCTTGTAGACTGCCTGGTTAACAGACATAAGTCAGCTATTTGTACATTTTCCTTGCCCAATCCTCGTCGTGTGTAAACATAGACAAATATTTCCAGTCGCCGGACACAGAACAAAAACATGTTTTTCCACATACAAGACATGTGACAACGCTTATTCACTAAACAGTCAAGTGATCAGAAATAAAAACCAATAGAATGCCCTCGGAACGTCTGGGTCATTTCCCCATCACGGTTATTTTGACATTACATATTGGAAATTTGGGTTTTAATTCACTGCAATTCACTGATTAAAGAATGATACACTTTATACTACTGCACATGCCATATACACTCTCCATACATTAAATACTTTGTTCATGTACAATACAGATCTTGTAAAATAACCCCCGAAAAACAACAAGTGTCCATGTTTATCAGATTCCAAGTTTTCCCCTCTGTCAGATTCTGTGTAATATCTCAGGATACTGTGTCAAACACTATCCCACTTCTGTGAATATACATTGTTTACACATTCCCTATAAACCGTGCCCATACCAAGTATAAACATTATTACACTTCCTGCACACACATATTGCACATACCGCACATACTGCACATACTAACACAGGCAAGACATACATTCCCTAAAAAACGACATTGCACAAAAGATTAACAAAGAGACACCTTCCAGTCCCACATACAGAGTATTCCCTTCCAATTACACTCTAAATACACACAATGCACACTCCATACACCATTATACCCCAATACATACATTGCATGTATCAAGCACTCAGTACACCCCAATACACACACACTGCACATCCACAGTTGCAAGAAAAAGTATGTGAACCCTTTGGAATGATATGGATTTCAGCACAAATTGGTCATAAAATGTGATCTGATCATCATCTAAGTCACAACAATAGACAATCACAGTCTGCTTAAACTAATAACACACAAAGAATGAAATGTTGCCATGTTTTTATTGAACACACCATGTAAACATTCACAGTGCAGGTGGAAAAAGTATGTGAACCCTTGGATTTAATAACTGGTTGAACCTCTTTTGGCAGCAATAACTTCAACCAAACGTTTCCTGTAGTTGCAGATCAGACGTGCACAACGGTCAGGAGTAATTCTTGACCATTCCTCTTTACAGAACTGTTTCAGTTCAGCAATATTCTTGGGATGTCTGGTGTGAATCGCTTTCTTGAGGTCATGCCACAGCATCTTAATCAGGTTGAGGTCAGGACTCTGACTGGGCCACTTCATAAGGTGTATTTTCTTCTGATTTACTTCTATGCTTTGGGTCATTGTCCTGTTGCAACACCCATCTTCTGTTGAGCTTCAGCTGGTAGACAGATGGCCTTAAGTTCTCCTGCAAAATGTCTTGATAAACTTGGGAATTCATTTTTCCTTCGATGATAGTAATCTGTCCAGGCCCTGACGCAGCAAAGCAGCCCCAAACCATGATGCCCCCACCACCATACTTCACAGTTGGAATGAGGTTTTGATGTTGGTGTGCTGTGCCTTTTTTTCGCCACACATAGTGTTGTGTGTTTCTTCCAAACAACTCAACTTTGGTTTCATCTGTCCACAGAATATTTTGCTAGTACTGCTGTGGAACATCCAGGTGCTCTTGTGCAAACTGTAAACGTGCAGCAATGTTTTGTTTGGACATCAGTGGCTTCCTCTGTGGTATCCTCCCATGAAATCCATTCTTGTTTAGTGTTTTACGTATTGTAGATTCGCTAACAGGGATGTTAGCATTTGCCAGTGACTTTTGTAAGTCTTTAGCAGACACTTTAGGATTCTTCTTCACCTCATTGAGCAGTCTGCGCTGTGCTCTTGCAGTCATCTTTACAGGACGGCCACTCCTAGGGAGAGTAGCAGCAGTGCTGAACTTTCTCCATTTATAGACAATTTGTCTTACCGTGGACTGATGAACAGCAAGGCTTTTGGAGATACTTTTATAACCCTTTCCAGCTTTATGCAAGTCAACAATTCTTAATCGTAGGTCTTCTGATAGCTCTTTTGTGCGAGGCATCATTCACATCAGGCAATGATTCTTGTGAAAAGCAAACCCAGAACTGGTGTGTGTTTTTTATAGGGCAGCTGTAACCAACACCTCCAATCTCATCTCATTGATTGGACTCCAGTTGGCTGACATCTCACTCCAATTAGCTCTTGGAGATGTCATTAGTCTAAGGGTTCACATACTTTTTCCATCTGCACTGTGAATGTTTACATGGTGTGTTCAATAAAAACATGGCAACATTTCATTCTTTGTGTGTTATTAGTTTAAGCAGGCTGTGATTGTATATTGTTGTGACTTAGATAATGATCAGATCACATTTTATGACCAATTTGTGCAGAAATCCATATCATTCCAAAGGGTTCACATACTTTTTCTTGTAACTGTATATATATCCCCATAGAGTGCACCCATGCATACATTTTATTACCCCACATACAGTTCACTCTCATACAACCATTCCACCTCCCATAATCAGTACACATCCATCCATACATATACTACCCAGGGTTCAAGTCTTATGGCAGGAGTGCCCAGGTTTTTTTCCGGCAGTTGGACACTTCATCAAAAATGTTTGTGTGCGTTGACTGCACCCATTTTTCACTGAGATAAAATATGGCCTTGTAGCTGTGTAATGCCTGTTAATACCGGGTTAATCGTTGTGCGCTCCTGACTTACTTCCCTCGGACCCCTGTGCATGACTTCACACACAGGGTAGGGGAAGAGTTATGCGCACTACACTTTCTGCGTCGCTCTGTGTCCCCGACGCTGCTTCAAATTTAACACGTCACGTGTCCCCAACTCTGCTTCGAGTTTAACATGTCATGTGCAGTCAGCAATTGGAGGTATGGTTACCACTGCAGATCTCACACAGGCCGCACCTTCATGTCCGGTGGGCCGCATGTTGGGCATCCTAGTCTTATGGGAACTCCTCAAGTTTGCAACCTTTCCCATTTATTATTTGCATTATTCCACCTTTAACCACCCACCCTCACATTTACATTTTGAGCCTAAGTGGCATTCTGTTAGACTTTAATAACCCCCTAACAATGATCCTTCAAGTCTCCTCATTAATGTGAGACAGAGTGCTCAAAGTACAGACTGGGAACTAGGATAAAATGCAGGTAGAGCATTTCTTAAATTGTTTCTCTGCAAGTTTAAGATGTCACATGCCCTGTATAAATGATTCTGTACTGTAATCAGTTCTTCTCCATTCACTGTAAGAATTCTAGGAACTCAGTTCCTTCTGCAAAAATAGTAAGTGAACTGGGCTTGCACTAGAACCCTGATTCAACCCCGTGCACTTAGTGCATTAGCACACACAGGAATTCTCCCTCACATTCAAAATCATAGATTCATATCATCCTCACACTTATTGAGTACACTCCATGCATGTATTTCACCTCACACACTCAGTCAGTACACTCCATACATACATTTCACCTCACACACTCAATCAGTACACACCACACATACAATTCACCTCACACACTCAATCAGTACACACCACACATGCATTTCACCTCACACACTCAGTACACACCACACATACATTTCACCTCACACACTCAGTACACACCACACATACAATTCACATCACACACTCAGTACACACCACACATACATTTCACCTCACACACTCAGTACACACCACACATACATTTCACCTCACACACTCATTACACACCACACATACAATTCACCTCACACACTCAGTACACACCACACATACAATTCACCTCACACACTCAGCACACACCACACATACAATTCACCTCACACACGCAGTCAATTCACTCCATGCATTTGGCCTCACACATTTAGTATACTCCATGTATGAATGTACGAGTGCTCTCATTCCAAAGACCAGAGCTTCTTTCAGAATATTAAGTCGTCATGCTTCATCAAAAAGTGCATCTTAGTGATATATCTGAATCAACAGACATAGATGAACAATGGCTTAAGACTCAGTGACGAACTTCCAATAATTCACAATGATTATGCAAATATAAAAATATCAAAATGCACCTTAAGGCATGAATTATATTCTACACACACGCACACTGCATCCTATACACAAACTGCATCCCATACATACATACTATATTTTACATACACAAACTACATTCCATACACACAAACTGCATCCTATACACGCATACTACATTCCATATACATGGAATATGTCTCCCCACCTCCATGTCTCCCCACCCATAATGGTGTGGGTCTTTTCTGTTTTCTAACCCCAGACCTTTTATTTTAGACTGGGCCTCATATAACAGCATTGATTAGCAACACCTAGTATTCACAAGCATTCAAGCACTGCAGAAACACCTAAGCAGAGGTATTATCTCTGGAAGGCTGCCCACGCTCCTCACCCCACCCCATGGTTGTTACCATACTTATAGACAGGCCCGCACTGGCCATCGGGCATACCGGGCAAATACCCGGTGGGCCGCAATGGCCATGGGCCGAGGCTGGAAGGGGAGATCACAGGATCTCTCCGGTCGGCCCATACAGGGCCCGCGCTATCCGAGCGCCGGCCCTGCTGTGTGCCTTCGTGGGCTGGTGGGGAGATCAAAGATCTGCCGCTGGCTGGGCAGGGAAAGGAGGACTCGGTGGAGCTCTACCCTGCAGCTCCTCCAGGTTCCTCTCGTGAAGTCGGAGAGTTGCTGCGGTTACCACGGCAACACTCAGATCTCGCGAGAGTGGAACTGCAGGGTAGAGTTCACTCACCACTAGGTCCACCAGGGACTGCAGCACGGCACCCTCCCAAGATAAAGGTAAGAAGGGAGGGGGGATATAAAGTTTATGTTTTTTTTATTTAAAAAAACATTTAATATATTTACATCTTGCCCCCTCACACACACACAATCCCTCCAGACATATTAAGACACACAGCACACTCACACTAATAGCACAATCACACAGCACACCCACAGCACCCTCAGACACAACACCTTCACACACAAACAGCACCCTTACATACAGCACCCTCAGACACGCACAGCACCCTCACACACACAGCACCCTCACACTATTAAGAACACCCTCAAAAACACAGCACCCCTCTTACACACACACTGCACCCCTCTTATACACACACTGCACCCCTCACACACACATGCTGCACCCGTCACACATACAAAACATCCAAACATATATATATATATATACTACAGCACCCCTCACACTGCACTGCTACACACATTATGCTCCAGATACACGCTAGTTCCTTTACCCAACTCTGGATCATCTAATCTATACACACATTAGATCCCTATATACACTCTGAATCCTCTACATGCAGACACACACACACACGATCTCCTATACACACTCTGGGTCCTTTACACACTAGATCCCCTACACGCACACACACTGCACCACATACACACACTACATTCCTGACATACAAACTCTGGATCCCCTATGCACACACTACATTCCTTGTAAGCAAACACATACTTCATTCTCTAAACACACACTCTCTACAACCCCTACACACACTTTGTCACCTATATACACACACACACTACAGCCCCTAGCTACACATACAGTTGCAAGAAAAAGTATGTGAACCCTTTGGAATGATATGGATTTCTGCACAAATTGGTCATAAAATGTGATCTGATCATCATCTAAGTCACAACAATAGACAATCACAGTCTGCTTAAACTAATAACACACAAAGAATGAAATGTTGCCTTGTTTTTATTGAACATACCATGTAAACATTCACAGTGCTGGAGTGAATGTTTACATGGTGTGTTCAATAAAAACATGGCAACATTTCATTCTTTGTGTGTTATTAGTTTAAGCAGGCTGTGATTGTATATTGTTGTGACTTAGATAATGATCAGATCACATTTTATGACCAATTTGTGCAGAAATCCATATCATTCCAAAGGGTTCACATACTTTTTCTTGTAACTGTATATATATCCCCATAGAGTGCACCCATGCATACATTTTATTACCCCACATACAGTTCACTCTCATACAACCATTCCACCTCCCATAATCAGTACACATCCATCCATACATATACTACCCAGGGTTCAAGTCTTATGGCAGGAGTGCCCAGGTTTTTTTCCGGCAGTTGGACACTTCATCAAAAATGTTTGTGTGCGTTGACTGCACCCATTTTTCACTGAGATAAAATATGGCCTTGTAGCTGTGTAATGCCTGTTAATACCGGGTTAATCGTTGTGCGCTCCTGACTTACTTCCCTCGGACCCCTGTGCATGACTTCACACACAGGGTAGGGGAAGAGTTATGCGCACTACACTTTCTGCGTCGCTCTGTGTCCCCGACGCTGCTTCAAATTTAACACGTCACGTGTCCCCAACTCTGCTTCGAGTTTAACATGTCATGTGCAGTCAGCAATTGGAGGTATGGTTACCACTGCAGATCTCACACAGGCCGCACCTTCATGTCCGGTGGGCCGCATGTTGGGCATCCTAGTCTTATGGGAACTCCTCAAGTTTGCAACCTTTCCCATTTATTATTTGCATTATTCCACCTTTAACCACCCACCCTCACATTTACATTTTGAGCCTAAGTGGCATTCTGTTAGACTTTAATAACCCCCTAACAATGATCCTTCAAGTCTCCTCATTAATGTGAGACAGAGTGCTCAAAGTACAGACTGGGAACTAGGATAAAATGCAGGTAGAGCATTTCTTAAATTGTTTCTCTGCAAGTTTAAGATGTCACATGCCCTGTATAAATGATTCTGTACTGTAATCAGTTCTTCTCCATTCACTGTAAGAATTCTAGGAACTCAGTTCCTTCTGCAAAAATAGTAAGTGAACTGGGCTTGCACTAGAACCCTGATTCAACCCCGTGCACTTAGTGCATTAGCACACACAGGAATTCTCCCTCACATTCAAAATCATAGATTCATATCATCCTCACACTCATTGAGTACACTCCATGCATGTATTTCACCTCACACACTCAGTCAGTACACTCCATACATACATTTCACCTCACACACTCAATCAGTACACACCACACATACAATTCACCTCACACACTCAATCAGTACACACCACACATGCATTTCACCTCACACACTCAGTACACACCACACATACATTTCACCTCACACACTCAGTACACACCACACATACAATTCACATCACACACTCAGTACACACCACACATACATTTCACCTCACACACTCAGTACACACCACACATACATTTCACCTCACACACTCATTACACACCACACATACAATTCACCTCACACACTCAGTACACACCACACATACAATTCACCTCACACACTCAGCACACACCACACATACAATTCACCTCACACACGCAGTCAATTCACTCCATGCATTTGGCCTCACACATTTAGTATACTCCATGTATGAATGTACGAGTGCTCTCATTCCAAAGACCAGAGCTTCTTTCAGAATATTAAGTCGTCATGCTTCATCAAAAAGTGCATCTTAGTGATATATCTGAATCAACAGACATAGATGAACAATGGCTTAAGACTCAGTGACGAACTTCCAATAATTCACAATGATTATGCAAATATAAAAATATCAAAATGCACCTTAAGGCATGAATTATATCCTACACACACGCACACTGCATCCTATACACAAACTGCATCCCATACATACATACTATATTTTACATACACAAACTACATTCCATACACACAAACTGCATCCTATACACGCATACTACATTCCATATACATGGAATATGTCTCCCCACCTCCATGTCTCCCCACCCATAATGGTGTGGGTCTTTTCTGTTTTCTAACCCCAGACCTTTTATTTTAGACTGGGCCTCATATAACAGCATTGATTAGCAACACCTAGTATTCACAAGCATTCAAGCACTGCAGAAACACCTAAGCAGAGGTATTATCTCTGGAAGGCTGCCCACGCTCCTCACCCCACCCCATGGTTGTTACCATACTTATAGACAGGCCCGCACTGGCCATCGGGCATACCGGGCAAATACCCGGTGGGCCGCAATGGCCATGGGCCGAGGCTGGAAGGGGAGATCACAGGATCTCTCCGGTCGGCCCATACAGGGCCCGCGCTATCCGAGCGCCGGCCCTGCTGTGTGCCTTCGTGGGCTGGTGGGGAGATCAAAGATCTGCCGCTGGCTGGGCAGGGAAAGGAGGACTCGGTGGAGCTCTACCCTGCAGCTCCTCCAGGTTCCTCTCGTGAAGTCGGAGAGTTGCTGCGGTTACCACGGCAACACTCAGATCTCGCGAGAGTGGAACTGCAGGGTAGAGTTCACTCACCACTAGGTCCACCAGGGACTGCAGCACGGCACCCACCCAAGATAAAGGTAAGAAGGGAGGGGGGATATAAAGTTTATGTTTTTTTTATTTAAAAAAACATTTAATATATTTACATCTTGCCCCCTCACACACACACAATCCCTCCAGACATATTAAGACACACAGCACACTCACACTAATAGCACACTCACACAGCACACCCACAGCACCCTCAGACACAACACCTTCACACACAAACAGCACCCTTACATACAGCACCCTCAGACACGCACAGCACCCTCACACACACAGCACCCTCACACTATTAAGAACACCCTCAAAAACACAGCACCCCTCTTACACACACACTGCACCCCTCTTATACACACACTGCACCCCTCACACACACATGCTGCACCCGTCACACATACAAAACATCCAAACATATATATATATATATACTACAGCACCCCTCACACTGCACTGCTACACACATTATGCTCCAGATACACGCTAGTTCCTTTACCCAACTCTGGATCATCTAATCTATACACACATTAGATCCCTATATACACTCTGAATCCTCTACATGCAGACACACACACACACGATCTCCTATACACACTCTGGGTCCTTTACACACTAGATCCCCTACACGCACACACACTGCACCACATACACACACTACATTCCTGACATACAAACTCTGGATCCCCTATGCACACACTACATTCCTTGTAAGCAAACACATACTTCATTCTCTAAACACACACTCTCTACAACCCCTACACACACTTTGTCACCTATATACACACACACACTACAGCCCCTAGCTACACATACAGTTGCAAGAAAAAGTATGTGAACCCTTTGGAATGATGTGGATTTCTGCACAAATTGGTCATAAAATGTGATCTGATCATCATCTAAGTCACAACAATAGACAATCACAGTCTGCTTAAACTAATAACACACAAAGAATGAAATGTTGCCTTGTTTTTATTGAACATACCATGTAAACATTCACAGTGCTGGAGTGAGATGTCAGCCAACTGGAGTCCAATCAATGAGATGAGATTGGAGGTGTTGGTTACAGCTGCCCTGCCCTATAAAAAATACACACCAGTTCTGGGTTTGCTTTTCACAAGATGCATTGCCTGATGTAAATGATGCCTCGCACAAAAAGCTCTCAGAAGACCTACGATTAAGAATTGTTGACTTGTATAAAGCTGGAAAGGGTTATAAAAGTATCTCCAAAAGCCTTGCTGTTCATCAGTCCACGGTAAGACAAATTGTCTATAAATGGAGAAAGTTCAGCACTGCTGCTACTCTCCGTAGGAGTGGCTGTCCTGTAAAGATGACTGCAAGAGCACAGCGCAGACTGCTCAATGAGGTGAAGAAGAATCCTAAAGTGTCTGCTAAAGACTTACAAAAGTCACTGGCAAATGCTAACATCCCTGTTAGAAAATCTACAATACGTAAAACACTAAACAAGAATGGATTTCATGGGAGGATACCACAGAGGAAGCCACTGCTGTCCAAACAAAACATTGCTGCACGTTTACAGTTTGCACAAGAGCACCTGGAATGTTCCACAGCAGTACAGGCAAAATATTCTGTGGACAGATGAAACCAAAGTTGAGTTGTTTGGAAGAAACACACAACACTATGTGTGGCAAAAAAAAGGCACAGCACACCAACATCAAAATCTCATCCCAACTGTGAAGTATGGTGATGGGGGCATCATGGTTTGGGGCTGCTTTGCTGCGTCAGGGTCTGGACGGATTGCTATCATCAAAGGAAAAATGAATTCCCAAGTTTATCAAGACATTTTGCAGGAGAACTTAAGGCCATCTGTCTACCAGCTGAAGCTCAACAGAAGATGGGTGTTGCACAGGACAATGACCCAAAGCATAGAAGTAAATCAACAACAGAATGGCTTAAACAGAAGAAAATACACCTTCTGAAGTGGCCCAGTCAGAGTCCTGACCTCAACCCAATTGAGATGCTGTGGCATGACCTCAAGAAAGCGATTCACACCAGACATCCCAAGAATATTGCTGAACTGAAACAGTTCTGTAAAGAGGAATGGTCAAAAATTACTCCTGACCGTTGTGCACGTCTGATCTGCAACTACAGGAAACGTTTGGTTGAAGTTCCTGCTGCCAAAGGAGGTTCAACCAGTTATTAAAACCAAGGGTTCACATACTTATTCCACCTGCACTGTGAATGTTTACATGGTGTGTTTAATAAAAACATGGCAACATTTCATTCTTTGTGTGTTATTAGTTTAAGCAGACAGTGATTGTCTATTGTTGTGACTTAGATGATGATCAGATCACATTCTATGACCAATTTGTGCAGACATCCATATCATTCATTATCTATCGTCCCCCTGGTTCCCCTCTCCTCTTCCTTGACCACTTTGCTGCCTGGCTACCCTACTTCCTGTCTTCTAATATTCCATCCCTAACTCTCGGGGACTTCAATATTCCTATTAACCCACCTTTGACCTCTGCAGCCTCTAAACTACTTTCAATTACTTCCTCCCTAGGGCTATCACAGTGGCCTAATTTCCCACCCATGTAGCTGGCAATACCCTTGACCTAATTTTCTCTTATGCATGTACAATATTTAATATCTGCAATACTCCATTTCCTCTCTCTGATCACCACCAGTCTCCCACCCATTCAGACTTTCTCCATTATAGATCCATATTGTGTTCATACAGCGCAGCCCTTGCCCTCACCAAACAGTCATACTTTTCCTCTGTCATTAGTTCATGCTCCCACAATCCCAGTTGTCTCTTTGACACCTTTAACTTTCTTCTTCACCCTGCTGTGACCAACCCCCAAACTAACCTTCCAGCCAGGAGCTTTGCATGCTACTTTACCAACAAAATTGAACAGCTAAGAAAATAATTCTCCCCACCTTGCCATTCTCTTTCTCAGCCACATGTAGATCATGCCTTTCCAACCCTTCAAACTTTCTCCCCGGCTACTGAACAAGAGGTGGCTGCGCTTCTCTTTTCCTCTCGCCCCATCACTGGCGCACTCGATCCTGTCCCAACTATCAGATTTCGCTCTCCTTGTCTTGTGCCTTCCTTAACACACGTCTTCAACTGCGCTCTCCCTTCTAGCGTTGTCCCTGCTGACCTTAAACATGCCACTCTACCAATCCTGAAAAAAAAATCTCCTGACCAGTCCTCCCCTCTAACTATCGTCCCATATCCCTGCTCCCTTTTTCCTCAAAACTTCTGGAAAGACTTGTCTTTACCCATATGTCTCACTTCCTCAATTCCAACTCTCTCCTTGACCCTCTTTAATCTGGCATCTGCCCTATCCACTCTACTGAGACTGCACTTATAAAAGTTACTAAGGACCTAATCGCAGCTAAATCCAAAGGTCACTACTCCATACTAATTCTTCCTGACCTCTCTGCTGCCTTTGACACCGTTGATCATGCTCTCCTTCAAACTCTTCAATCACTCGGTGTCTGTGGCTCTATCCTCTCGTGGTTTTCCTCTTATCTCTCCCAACGCTTATTCAGTGTCTCCTTTACTAATGATACCTCTATATACACAAACTGCATCCTCTACACACATACTCCATTCCATATAAGCACACTGCGTCCTATACCCCTATACTACATTCCATACACACATACTGCATTCCATATATACAAACTGCATCCTATACACACATACTACATTGCATATATACAAACTGCATCCTATACACACATACTGCATTCCATATACACAAACTGCATCTTATACACACATACTACATTGCATATATACAAACTGCATCCTATACACACATACTACATTGCATATATACAAACTGCATCCTATACACACATACTGCATTCCATATACACAAACTGCATCTTATACACACATACTACATTGCATATATACAAACTGCATCCTATACACACATACTACATTGCATATATACAAACTGCATCCTATACACACATACTGCATTGCATATATACAAACTGCATCCTATACACACATACTACATTCCATTTACACAAACTGCATCCTATACACACATACTGCATTCCATTTACACAAACTGCATCCTATACACACATACTACATCCAAGCTGAGCTATAATGCATTTACAGTAACCTGCCCTTAGCACAAGGACAATACAAACTTTCGTGGGTCCACAAGTTTCTTATTCATTTACTTGCAGGAAAACAAGCCAAACCAAGATTTGCTATTATTGCATAAGCTTTTCAGATGATTTAATATTTTCGGATAAACTTTTAAAATGATTTAATATTTTGGTATATTGATATATTTTTGATATTTGATCGTGGTCGGCCACCTACTTGCAAGATCAAAAACAGTTCCCTGGTGCTCCCGAATGCGGGACATCAGGGAATTAATTCCGAACAATTTCAAGCCCCCAAAACTGTCCCGCCGAAAGTGAAACAGTCGGGAACCCTATCCATGTATTATTACCTGTTCATTATGTTAGCATATGGAATTCTGAAACATGATGTACCAATAAAATAAAAGGCTGAGCATGAGATATATATATATATATATATGCACATACACACAATAATGTATACAATACTGATGGTGAATATACAACTAATATTATCATGATTATATATTAATTGTATAACTAAAGAATGGATTACCAAACTAGCCCAAATGTATGTAATTTGGAAAGAGTCAAAAAAAGTTTAAGAATCACTGAAATAGGGTATTTTGGGGCTTCTGAGTCTCCGGAGATCTTTAGCTCCCAAAACATTAAAAAGAAGTCTATTGAAATAAATCAATAGGTTCCTACGCAACAATCTGTAACATGTTAGTGATATCATAACACAACAATTCACATTGTGAAAGCTTGTAGGTCTCTGAGATAACTGATTTCTGAAGAAATATAAAGGAAACAGATAAATGTGAGAGATAAACTCAGAAAAGAGGGTTATACAGAGTATATAGCCAGAGGGGGAGAGATACAGGAAAAGATAAGAGATGTTATCATTAGTTGACTACATCCGAAACTCTGCATGCCGAAACAATAACAGCGGTACTCTGCAGTACTACTGTGCACAGACATAATGACACCAATATTACTAAAATACTCTGCAGTACCTGCAGTACTCTGCTGCATTCCAAATGCTGGGATAATCACAAAAAGAGATACATACTGCTATACTCAGTCTAGCAAACCAGTCACAGTATGCATACTGCAATACTCAGAAATACTCTCCAATACTACCCAACACTCTGTAATACTCCGGATAATGAAACATTAATAATTACTTGCAAAAATATAATTTTCAGGGACATAATAATTGGTGGGGAAATATCTTCTTGATCCGAGGAGATATCTGACTGCCATTCTGGGGTCAAGGAGGAATTTTTTCCTAGTTTGTTGCCAAATTGGAAGTGTTTCAAAGCGGGGATTTTTTGGTTTTGGGTTTTTTTTTGCCTTCTTTTGGATCAACAGCAAAAACAGATGTGAGAAATGCTGAACTTGATGGACACGTGCAACTATGTAACTATGTAATAACAGACCTGGTACTGCAACATATTGCTAAACTCAGCATAGCAAAATAATCACTGTGTGAATACTGCAATGCTCAGCAAAATACTCTGTAATAATCTGCCTATCAAGACAATCACAGTGAGTGTACTGCAATGCTCAGCCACATACTCTATAATACTCTGCCTATCAGGACAATCACAGTGAGTGTACTGCAATGCTCAGCCACATACTCTATAATACTCTGCCTATCAAGACAATCACAGTGAGTGTACTGCAATACTCAGCCACATACTCTATAATACTCTGCCTATCAAGACAATCACAGTGAGTGTACTGCAATACTCAGCCACATACTCTATAATACTCTGCCTATCAAGACAATCACAGTGAGTGTACTGCAATGCTCAGCCACATACTCTATAATGCTCTGCCTATCAAGACAATCACAGTGAGTGTACTGCAATACTCAGCCACATACTCTATAATGCTCTGCCTATCAGGACAATCACAGTGAGTGTACTGCAATGCTCAGCCACATACTCTATAATGCTCTGCCTATCAGGACAATCACAGTGAGTGTACTGCAATGCTCAGCCACATACTCTATAATACTCTGCCTATCAAGACAATCACAGTGAGTGTACTGCAATGCTCAGCCACATACTCTATAATACTCTGCCTATCAGGACAATCACAGTGAGTGTACTGCAATACTCAGCCACATACTCTATAATACTCTGCCTATCAGGACAATCACAGTGAGTGTACTGCAATACTCAGCCACATACTCTATAATACTCTGCCTATCAGGACAATCACAGTGAGTGTACTGCAATACTCAGCCACATACTCTATAATACTCTGCCTATCAGGACAATCACAGTGAGTGTACTGCAATACTCAGCCACATACTCTATAATACTCTGCCTATCAGGACAATCACAGTGAGTGTACTGCAATACTCAGCCACATACTCTATAATACTCTGCCTATCAGGACAATCACAGTGAGTGTACTGCAATACTCAGCCACATACTCTATAATACTCTGCCTATCAGGACAATCACAGTGAGTGTACTGCAATACTCAGCCACATACTCTATAATACTCTGCCTATCAGGACAATCACAGAGAGTGTACTGCAATACTCAGCCACATACTCTATAATACTCTGCCTATCAGGACAATCACAGTGAGTGTACTGCAATACTCAGCCACATACTCTATAATACTCTGCCTATCAGGACAATCACAGTGATTGTACTGCAATACTCAGCCACATACTCTATAATACTCTGCCTATCAGGACAATCACAGTGAGTGTACTGCAATACTCAGCCACATACTCTATAATACTCTGCCTATCAGGACAATCACAGTGAGTGTACTGTACTATGCAGTGCATACCATAACAACATATTGCAATACTCAGTTACATACTAGCATACTCAAATACTCTGCATACTGTATAGAGCAAGACTACAGAACTCTAACACCCTACATGTCCCGATTCTTTGCTCCCAGAGTAATGTTGACAGTGGCGGTTACCATAATACCTCTTTGTGGATATATGCTGTATATAGACATTATATATGATTTGTCCTGGGATAGCTTTGCCCCCTCCCCATAAAACATTGTTTCAATCTCTATGTAAAAAGCAAGAATTAGAATGGGCATTGTAGGCAGAGTTAGACACCTTCTGGGTACCAGGGTGAAATGTGATGTTTCTAAAGTGGCTTCCTGTGGGACTATGCCTGTATATTGTCTTATTGCTCTCTGAGCATGTGGGCAATATGTAGCATTATCAGACAGACAGACAGACACCCTGTAGTTATAGTGACCTGCGTTAGTGGGGTTCTTACAATATCCTGAAACTGTAGCAGTCCTGGATGTCACACACCCTATCACTTAGAAACTGTCATTGTAATCACTGGATATCACACACTGAGATCGCAGGTTATCCTCATTACACACACACTGTACCAGCTTTAACCCCTTAAGGACCAAACTTCTGGAACAAAAGGGAATCATGACATGTCACACATGTCATGTGTCCTTAAGGGGTTAAACACGGTCTCCTCGGCCTCCAGTCTCTCTGTATTAAAACATCACTCACAGGCACTCTGAGCCCCATCATAGAACATCAACACAAGGAATCTGTGACAATCTGTGATACAGTAGCACCAGCAAGCTTTATACTGAGTTCCAATCACAGAACATCAACACAAGGAATCTGTGACAATCTGTGATACAGTAGCACCAGCAAGCTTTATACTGAGTTCCAATCACAGAACATCAACACAAGGAATCTGTGACAATCTGTGATACAGTAGCACCAGCAAGCTTTATACTGAGTTCCAATCACAGAACATCAACACAAGGAATCTGTGACAATCTGTGATACAGTAGCACCAGCAAGCTTTATACTGAGTTCCAATCACAGAACATCAACACAAGGAATCTGTGACAATCTGTGATACAGTAGCACCAGCAAGCTTTATACTGAGTTCCAATCACAGAACATCAACACAAGGAATCTGTGACAATCTGTGATACAGTAGCACCAGCAAGCTTTATACTGAGTTCCAATCACAGAACATCAACACAAGGAATCTGTGACAATCTGTGATACAGTAACACCAGCAAGCCTTATACTGAGTTTCAATCACAGAACATCAACACAAGGAATCTGTGACAATCTGTGATACAGTAACACTAGCAAGCTTTATACTGAGTTCCCATCACAGAACATCAACACAAGGAATCTGTGACAATCTGTGATACAGTAACACCAGCAAGCTTTATACTGAGTTCCAATCACAGAACATCAACACAAGGAATCTGTGACAATCTGTGATACAGTAACACCAGCAAGCTTTATACTGAGTTCCAATCACAGAACATCAACACAAGGAATCTGTGACAATCTGTGATACAGTAACACCAGCAAGCTTTATACTGAGTTCCAATCACAGAACATCAACACAAGGAATCTGTGACAATCTGTGATACAGTAACACCAGCAAGCTTTATACTGAGTTCCAATCACAGAACATCAACACAAGGAATCTGTGACAATCTGTGATACAGTAACACCAGCAAGCTTTATACTGAGTTCCAATCACAGAACATCAACACAAGGAATCTGTGACAATCTGTGATACAGTAACACTAGCAAGCTTTATACTGAGTTCCAATCACAGAACATCAACACAAGGAATCTGTGACAATCTGTGATACAGTAACACCAGCAAGCTTTATACTGAGTTCCAATCACAGAACATCAACACAAGGAATCTGTGACAATCTGTGATACAGTAACACCAGCAAGCCTTATACTGAGTTTCAATCACAGAACATCAACACAAGGAATCTGTGACAATCTGTGATACAGTAACACTAGCAAGCTTTATACTGAGTTCCCATCACAGAACATCAACACAAGGAATCTGTGACAATCTGTGATACAGTAACACCAGCAAGCTTTATACTGAGTTCCAATCACAGAACATCAACACAAGGAATCTGTGACAATCTGTGATACAGTAACACCAGCAAGCTTTATACCGAGTTCCAATCACAGAACATCAACACAAGGAATCTGTGACAATCTGTGGTACAGTAACACCAGTAAGCTTTATACTGAGTCCCAATCACAGAACATCAACACAAGGAATCTGTGACAATCTGTGATACAGTAACACCAGCAAGCTTTATACTGAGTTCCAATCACAGAACATCAACACAAGGAATCTGTGACAATCTGTGATACAGTAACACCAGCAAGCCTTATACTGAGTTTCAATCACAGAACATCAACACAAGGAATCTGTGACAATCTGTGATACAGTAACACTAGCAAGCTTTATACTGAGTTCCCATCACAGAACATCAACACAAGGAATCTGTGACAATCTGTGATACAGTAACACCAGCAAGCTTTATACTGAGTTCCAATCACAGAACATCAACACAAGGAATCTGTGACAATCTGTGATACAGTAACACCAGCAAGCTTTATACTGAGTTCCAATCACAGAACATCAACACAAGGAATCTGTGACAATCTGTGATACAGTAACACCAGCAAGCTTTATACTGAGTTCCAATCACAGAACATCAACACAAGGAATCTGTGACAATCTGTGATACAGTAACACCAGCAAGCTTTATACCGAGTTCCAATCACAGAACATCAACACAAGGAATCTGTGACAATCTGTGGTACAGTAACACCAGTAAGCTTTATACTGAGTCCCAATCACAGAACATCAACACAAGGAATCTGTGACAATCTGTGATACAGTAACACCAGCAAGCTTTATACTGAGTTCCAATCACAGAACATCAACACAAGGAATCTGTGACAATCTGTGATACAGTAACACTAGCAAGCTTTATACTGAGTTCCAATCACAGAACATCAACACAAGGGAATTCCACAATTCAGACATAGTAACATTCAGCAAGCTTCTTAGAGCCTATTCTATCACAGAACATCAACAAGGACCTGTGACAATTGTGGATACAGTAACACCAGCAAGCTTTTATACCGAGTTCCAATCACAGTACCATCAAACACAAGGAATCTGTGACAAATCTGTGATACATGCAACACCACAGCAAGCTTTTATACCGAGTTCCAAATCACAGCATCATCAGCCAACACAAGGAATTTCCGTGACAATCTGTAGATACAGTAACAATTCAGCAAAGCTTTATACTGAGAGTTCCAATCGCCAGAACATCACAAGGAATCTGTGACAATCTGTGATACAGTAACACCAGCAAGCTTTATACTGAGTTCAAATCACAGAACATCAACACAAGGAATCTGTGACAATCTGTGGTACAGTAACACCAGTAAGCTTTATACTGAGTTCCCATCACAGAACATCAACACAAGGAATCTGTGACAATCTGTGATACAGTAACATCAGCAAGCTTTATACTGAGTTCCAATCACAGAACATCAACACAAGGAATCTGTGACAATCTGTGATACAGTAACACCAGCAAGCTTTATACTGAGTTCCAATCACAGAACATCAACACAAGGAATCTGTGACAATCTGTGATACAGTAACACTAGCAAGCTTTATACTGAGTTCCAATCACAGAACATCAACACAAGCGAATCTGTGACAATCTGTGATACCAGTAACACCAGCAAGTTTTATATCGAGTTCCGACCACAAGTGTTCACCGTACCACAAGCGGACCCAGACAATCTGTGATACAGTAACACTAGCAAGCTTTATACTGAGTTCCAATCACAGAACATCAACACAAGGAATCTGTGACAATCTGTGATACAGTAACACCAGCAAGCTTTATACTGAGTTCCAATCATTTAAGGCTGAATAAAGTGAGCCATGAAATGCATTAGTTCTGGGAATAATTATCTGTCTCATAATTTACAGATGAGAAGCAGTTTTAAGGCTGTTTGAATTATCTGTCTGTCTGTCGGTCTGTCTATCTAGCTATCGATCGATCTATTTAGTCCAAAACTGAATTGTATTGTTTGGAGACATATCTTTTCACCATCACATTGTATATAATAATATTATTATGATATTAAGTATCAGATAAAGGAACACTGATAACTGTATTCCCCCTCTCCCCTCAGTGTATTAATGAACCCACAATGTTCCCACATTCACTCTCTCAGCATAGAGACATGATTCCCATACTTTTCCCAACTCCTGCTTTTCAACCTGTTCCATATTTCATTTCGCTTTTGTTTGAACAGCTGTTACTGTAACTTCTTTTCCATGTCCTCTCCCTCCCCCTTTTACAGCCCCACCCCATATCAGATGCATTTACCCCTCACAAGCAGTTACCCCATCATATGCATTTAACCCCTCATAACATGTATTGACACTCATTAGATTAATTTATCCCCCCACTCCCATCACATGTATTTACTTCCCCATCAGATACCCTCTGTCCCCAGTTTTCTCACCCTGTCTGATGACTCTGCTCCAGCTCAGCCAGGTGACAGCCAGGGCTGCCCCTCCCGCAATGCCCTCTCCTGTGTCTCACACTCAGTGTGGGGAGGTAAGGGGGAGGCACAGGGCGGAGGGACACCAGGGGGAGGCGACACCTGAGCTTGTTTCACCGGTTCCACAGAGTGAGGAGCAGGGAGGGGCCACACTCAGTATATTAATCAGGGGACAGGGAGACCATGGGATGCTCGGGGCACAATGCCAGGCTGGGTATCTGTATATCACAGTGCCAGGCTGGGTATCTATATATCACAATGCCAGGCTGGGCATCTGTATATCACAATGCCAGGCTGGGTATCTGTATAGCACAGTGCCAGGCTGAGTATCTGTATATCACAGTGCCAGGCTGGGTATCTATATATCATAGTGCCAGGCTGGGTATCTATATATCACAATGCCAGGCTGGGTATCTGTATATCATAGTGCCAGGCTGGGTATCTATATATCATAGTGCCAGGCTGGGTATCTGTATATCACAGTGCCAGGCTGGGTATCACAGTGCCAGGCTGGGTATCTATATATCACAATGCCAGGCTGGGTATCTATATATCACAGCGTTGTATTGCATCTATATCACAATGCTGTATTGCATCCGTATATCACAATGCCAGGCCAATCTGTATATCCCAATGCCAGGCTGGGTATCCGTATAGCACAGCGCCAGCTGGGTATCTCTATATCACAGTGCCAGGCTGGTATCTGTATATCACAGTGCCAGGCTGGGTATCTATATATCACAATGCCAGGCTGGGCATCTATATATCACAGTGCCAGGCTGGGTATCTATATATCACAGTGCCAGGCTGGGCATCTGTATATCACAATGCCAGGCTGGGTATCTGTATATCTCAATGCCAGGCTGGGTATCTGTATAGCACAGTGCCAGGCTGGGTATCTCTATATCATAGTGCCAGGCTGGGTATCTGTATATCACAGTGCCAGGCTGGGTATCTATATATCATAGTGCCAGGCTGGGTATCTATATATTACAGTGTCAGGCTGTGTATCTATATATCACAGTGCCAGGCTGGGTATCTATATATCATAGTGCCAGGCTGGGTATCTGTATATCACAATGCCAGGCTGTGTATCTATATATCACAGTGCCAGGCTGGGTATCTATATATCATAGTGCCAGGCTGGGTATCTATATATCACAGTGCCAGGCTGGGTATCTGTATATCACAGTGCCAGGCTGGGTATCTGTATATCACAATGCCAGGCTGGGTATCTATATATTACAGTGTCAGGCTGGGTATCTATATATCATAGTGCCAGGCTGGGTATCTGTATATCACAGTGTCATGCAATGCCAGGCTGTGTATCCATATATCACAGTGCCAGGCTGGGTATCTATATATTACAGTGTCAGGCTGGGTATCTATATATCATAGTGCCAGGCTGGGTATCTGTATATCACAGTGTCATGCAATGCCAGGCTGTGTATCCATATATCACAGTGCCAGGCTGGGTATCTATATATTACAGTGTCAGGCTGGGTATCTATATATCACAGTGCCAGGCTGGGTATCTGTATATCACAGTGCCAGGCTGGGTATCTGTATATCACAGTGCCAGGCTGGGAATCTATATATCACAATGCCAGGCTGGGTATCTGTATATCACAGTGCCAGGCTGGGTATCTATATATCACAATGCCAGGCTGGGTATCTGTATATCGCAATGCCAGGCTGGGTATCTATATATCACAATGCCAGGCTGTGTATCCATATATCACAGTGCCAGGATGGGTATCTGTATATCACAGTGCCAGGCTGGGTATCTATATATCACAGTGCCAGGCTTGGTATCTGTATATCACAGTTCCAGGCTGGGTATCTATAGGGCACAGTGCATGCAGGGTATCTAGATATCACAGTGCCAGGCTGGGTATCTATATTCCACAGGGCACAGTGCATGCTGGGTATGTATATATCACAGGGCATAGTGCCAGGCTGGGTATCTATATGTCACAGTGACAGGCTGCATAGCTATATATCACAGTGCCAGGCTGGGTATCTGTATATCACAGGGCATGCTGAATATCTGTATATCACAGTACCAGGCTGGGTATCTGTATATCAAGGTACCAGGCTGGGTATCTGTAGATTATAGGGCATAGTGCGAGGCTGGGTATCTATATATCACAGTGCCTGGCTGGGTATCCGTATATCACAGTGCATGCTGGGTATCTGTATATCACAGTACCAGGCTGGGTATCTGTATATCAAGGTACCAGGCTGGGTATCTGTAGATTATAGGGCATAGTGCCAGGTTGGGTATCTGTATATCACAGTGCCAGGCTAGGTATCTGTATATCACAGTGCCAAGCTGGGTATCTGTAGATCATAGGGCACAGTGTCAGACTGGGAATCTGTATATATCACAGGGCACAGTGCATGCTGGGTATCTATATATTACAAGGTTGTGTGTGTCTTACAGGGGGGCACTGAAACATTTAATAGGAGGAGAGAGTGAATGAATGAGCGAAAGAGAGAGTTAGTGACGGAGTGAAGGAGTGAGAGAGTGAGGGACAGGGTGAGTGAGGAATAGAGTGAGTGAGGGACAGGGTAAGTGAGGGATAGAGTGAGTGAGAGACAGCGTGAGTGAGGGATAGGGTGAGTGAGGGACAGGGTAAGTGAGGGATAGAGTGAGTGAGGGACAGGATGAGTGAGGGATAGAGTGAGTGAGGGACAGGGTAAGTGAGGGATAGAGTGAGTGAGAGACAGGGTGAGTGAGGGGTAGAGTGAGAGAGGGAGTGAGAGACAGGGTGAATGAGGGATAGAGTGAGTGAGTGAGTGAGAGACAGGGTAAGTGAGAGACAGGGTGAGTGAGGGATAGAGTCAGTGAGAGAGGGAGTGAGGGACAGGGTAAGTGAGGAGCAGAGTGAGTGAGGGACAGGATGAGTAAGAGAGTGAGTGAGGGACAGGATGAGTGAGAGAGGGAGTGAAGGACAGGGTAAGTGAGGGATAGAGTGAGTGAGGGACAGGTTGAGTGAGAGAGTGAGTGAGGGACAGTGTGAGTGAGTGAGAGAGTGAGTGAGGGACAGGGTGAGTGAGAGAGGGAGTGAGGGACATTGTAAGTGAGGGATAGAGTGAGTGAGGGACAGGTTGAGTGAGAGAGTGAGTGAGGGACAGGGTGAGTGAGTGAGAGAGGGAGTGAGGAACAGAAAGGCATTGAGTGAAGGACAGCGAGAGAAATGGAGTCAGAGTGAAGAATAAGGGGAGGTATACAGAGTGGTTGAGGAAGTGAGAGAAAGTGAGTGAGGAAATTGTAGAGTGAGTGAGTGATAGATTGAGAGGATAAGTAAATGATGGAGGTGACATAGAATAAGAAAGAGATTGAGTGAGAAAGTGAGTTATGGAATAAGACAGAAATTCGGTGAATGATGGAGTTATTGAGTGAGTGTGTGATTATTATTATAGTTATATAGCGGTAACAAATTCCGCAGCGCTTTACAATGGGTGGACGAACAGACATGTAATTGTAACCAGACAAGTTGGACACACAGGAACAGAGGGGTTGAGGGCCCTGCTCAATGAACTTACATGCTAGAGGGAGTGGGGTATAGTGACACAAAAGATAGGGGTAGGAATGAGATATTGAGTGTGTAATGGAATGAGATATTGAGTGAGTGTGTGATGGAATGAGATTGGCAGGGTTATTTATGAAAATTTGAATTTAAAGTGTATTTCAAATTAAAGGTAAAACTAGTCTAACAGACCACCCAGTCACTCAGGACTAATACATGTCTCTCAACCATCACCTCCCTCTAAAAAGGACTATAATCACATATATACCCCTCAGCCCAGCGGCCCAGGAGACAACATGGACTGGCAGGGAACTCATAGAGGCATGGCGCGCCTAAACGGAAGTAACTTTCAAACCCTCTGGAACTCCTGATTGCTTCGCAGAGTTGAGGCAGGTCGGTAAAAGTTTGTTAAGGGTTCTTTTGGTCCCAGAGTCAGAGCTCTTTTTCGAGTGGTGACAGAGGAGTTAGTGAGGCATTGAACGAATCCCAGGACTTGAGGGAGCTCCATATATCGAATGAAAGGGCCATCAATACCCAGGATTTAAGGGGGAGCTCCATGTATCTATGAAAAGCTCCCCACCAAGTGCTAAGGAATTCTGTGCCGGATTGGAGGATGATCGCGGCTCAGTGAAAATTTTACTTCTAGCTAACTTGCGCAAGCCACCTCCGATCCTGTTCTTTTTGGACAGAGTGGACGTTCAGAAGAGAGCATTGCGGGGACAGGATTTGTCTAGGGATGTGGACACGGGAACCCTGATTTAATTATCTGATCAGGTACAGACACCTAGGCACCGGGTTTGTTGCAATATGCATTGTTCTCCTGGGAACCTCCTGTTGAGAACCCAGGTATAAAAGTGTGCCATCCACACAATAAAGACAGCTCTACTTCATCCTACACTAAGTCTCGGCTAATGCTTGGGGTGAATCCGCTATAACAGCTATAATAACTGAGGGAAATGGAGTCCTTCTTGGCGACACTCAGGGCCCCTGCAAGTAGGCCGCCACATTGACGATATATAAAGATTCTCTTCATTAGCTATGCTTTCAGTTTGGCCTTAAATTTGAAATTCACTTGGAATTCTCACGTTAGTAAAAACCCTGTGTGAGTAAAGTGAATTGCAGGGCAATGAGAATTGGAGAGGGAGATGGAGAGATAATGGGATAGATTAAATTGAAGAGGTTTCCATTGAGTGAGAGATATCACTCCTCTTTATGCCCTAATGTTTGGAAATCTCTCTCACTATAGTGCATTGGCAGGAAGAATAAAACAGAAAACAGGAGCGGATAACAGGTAGATCCCCATCTATTGCAAAACTACAAATCCCATGATGCTTTACCAACCTTACAGCTGATAAGACAAAATGTGAGTCCTCGTTCTACATCGGCCGGTGATAGAAACTTTGTGAATCTGTGCCCTAAAAAGATGAAAATGTCTCATACGTGTGTATCTACCCTGGCAGTTTATTCACCCAGTTTCATTGTCACATTAACTGGGGGATCCCACATTTTAGCCGAAATATCCGAGTTATTAAAATGGCTGGCTTGGTGAACTTTCCTAAACTCACCAATTTTGATATAAAATGATAAAGTGCCAAATCTAGTAATCCAGTCCCTAAAAATCCCTGGTTTAGTGAATAGCTCTCTGTAAGACAGGATAGATAGAGCGAGAGACAACGAGAGGCAATAACAAAACGCAAAGGGAATGGAAAAACAGAGAGAGAGAATAACATGGGGGAGGGAGTTCTAGAGAATTAGAGGCAGACTGGGATGTATTAAATTGCCCTGCATTATTCATCCCTGCCTGGCTATTGATCTCACCTCTCTCCTGACACTTCAAGTGCCAGCCGCAGGGAGCACCGAAGGGCAGATTTGTGACAAACAGAGGGCAGAGAAAGCCAAATCTCAGCGAATCTGAAGAGCAAATGGGGCATGTTCATATCAAACCAAAATGCAAACGTTCATATCAAACCAATGAAGATTCCAGAACGGTGCCGGAGGGCGAAAACAGGGGCCTGGCCGCCTCTCAGTGAATACACTAAATCAGACTCCAAAATAAAGTTGGCAGATTCACATGAGCTCCTGTCTTAGAGCAGGGAGAATTCCCGTAAGGACCCGTGATAAGGGATGGCTTATTCCAGTAAACACCTGTGTTAAAAAAGGTCATATTCCAGCCACCAGGTGTGTTATAGCAGGAGAAATTCCAGTAAGGCATCCCAGCTCCAGTATTAACGCAGGAACGATTAATGTCAACACTAGTGTTTAATAACTGTTAAATAAAAGCAATTCCTAGGGTTAGTATAGATATATTAAAGGACCACTATAGGCACCCAGACCACTTCAGCTCAATGAAGTGGTCTGGGTGCCGGGTCCCCCTAGTTTTAACCCTGCAGCTGTGAACATAGTTTCAGAGAAACTGCTATGTTTACACTGCAGGGTTAATCCAGCCTCGAGTGGCTGTCTCCCTGACCATTTATTCGCTGTGGAACAGGGCCCTAGTCACCGTTTAGGTATAGCGTTAGAAATACATATTTGTTTTCCTAACGCTATAGTGTTCCTTTAAGGGTTAATACATGGGACAGAAGCAAAGATAGCTGCATCTTATCTGCAGGAGGGTGAAGCAAAACTGATACGTTATGGAAGTGTTTATTTATTTATGGGACAGTTCTTATATAGCACTGTTAGCCAGAGAGCAAATTCTAGCAATTAATCATAGCCTGAGTACAGACAAAGGTGTGTATAATTATATGTACAGTATCCTGCCCGTGGGCTTTAATGGAAGATTTGTAGCACTTTAAAGGACCACTAAAAGCACGCAGACCATTTCATCTCAATAACATGTTCTGGGTGCAGTAACCCTGTAGTTTTATAATGTAATTTTGTAGTAATTGCAATGTTTACATTGCAAGTTTAAAGGATTACTCTAGGCACCCAGACCACTTCAGCTTAATGAAGTGGTCTGGGATGCCAGGTCCAGCTAGGGTTAACCCATTTTTTTATAAACATAGCAGTTTCAGAGAAACTGCTATGTTTATAAATGGGTTAATCCAGCCTCCAAATCCTCTAGCGGCTGTCTCATTGACAGCCGCTAGAGGCGCTTGCATGCTTCTCACTGTGAAAATCACAGTGAGAGCACGCCAGCGTCCATAGGAAAGCATTATGAATGCTTTCCTATGAGACCGGCTAAATGCGCTCGCAGCTCTTGCCGCGCATGCGCATTCAGCCCAGGAGGAGGATCGGAGGCGGAGAGGAGGAGGAGAGCTCCCTGCCCGGCGCTGGAATAAAGGTAAGTTTAACCCCTTTCCTCGCCATCCAGCCTGGCCGGAGGGAGTCCCTGAGGGTGGGGGCACCCTCAGGGCACTATAGTGCCAGGAAAACGAGTATGTTTTCCTGGCACTATAGTGGTCCTTTAACAAATCTCTAATGACTTTCCTCTGGACAGCCACTAGAGGTGCTTCTCTGTGAGAACCAAGTCAGACACAGTTCTTATTCAAATGCTGCTAAAAGTGCAAATGGCACAACTTGGCCATTTGCTGCACATGTATACTAGACTCCCGATGATTCCCTATGATGGCTGAAGTGAAAAAGGCTCTTTTAATGGAGGAACCGGCAGTCTCCTTCATAGACATAAGTGTTGTACCCTCGGGCATGCGCAACAGTACAGCGGCGCTGGCTCCTGGCATATGAAGTGCCTCGCAAACAAGATGGCGGCACCCTCGAGGGACATATTCAAAATATAAAGAGACACCATAAGGCACGGTTTGCCAGACAACTAACCTGTTAGTAGGAGACTATACATTTGTAATTAAAGAAGGCCCATGAGCTTACAATCAAAATCATGGGTAGAAGCATTACAGATACATGTTATTAGGATGGGGACTACATGTTATCTCCAGAAGTTAGAAGCTGGATGTCTTGCGAAGGAACTGAATTCCAGCCTGCCAAAGGTGTGAAAACAGAACGAATTCCAGCAAGCCCCTGAGGGTGATGTGGACACATTCCTTCCTGTCCCGAGGACACAGTTGAAGAGATATTAACAAGCCCGAACCTGTCAAATATCCAAAACTTCCAATGACTTTCCATTTTCCTGTCCCTATCCTTCTGACATCCGGTGTGCCTGTGCCCTGACCCTAAATGGGCATTCCAGCAGGAAAATCTCCTTTCCAGTTCATAACCTTTTATTAGTTTGCCCTTTGAGAGTCAGTGAATCATGTTTCAACCAGTGCATACCTACGTTGCAAAACATTATATACAATGTATGCCCTTATATTGTCAGACAGGTTGAGCTCTATCTACCTGTCTTCAAATTTTATTGACAGTTCTCGTATTACCCCAAATGGCTTGTGCGATAACTTGCTGCTAGCTAAGACCCATAATGGGCATGATGTCAGCAAGGGTTGGGCTATTGTGACCGGTCATTTCCTCTCAGTGACATCATCGAGAAGCTACTGCAGGCTCCAACGACATGCATAGTTTATAAGCAGGTGACCCTGTCAGTCCGCATTAAAGGGTTACTTCAAGCACCATAACTAATTCAGTGATTTGAAGTGGGCATGGTGCCTGGAGTCGTCTGTGTGTGCAGCATTTTTCTATGAAAGATTAACCCCTTTTCTGTTGGATCCAGGTACAAGAGTTCTGGCTAATATGAATTCTGTGCAAAATTGGAATCTGATGCCAACATGCAGAGGATACTGGCGTCATACAGCCAAAGGCAGCATGGCACCCCTCTGTGTCACCTAAGTTATCCCCCCGGCCTGTCCTCCACAACCTCCCTCCACCTCTAGCAAGGGGGTGGGGGTGACATCACTAGAGGAAGACTGTGCTGAGGAAGAACTTGGTCCTGCCACTGGAATTGGGGTAAATTTTATTCTATTTTTTTTTTATAAATGTTGATATTTGGGGAGGTAGACCAGGCTAGGATGAGTTATTCCCACCACAACCAGGGCTTTCTTAACATATTGTTTTTTTGTTGTTGCAGGAACCCTGTGAGCAGGGCCGGATAAAAATAGGGGCTAAAGGAATTGAAGCTGCAGGCTCATGCCAATTAAGCAGGCCCATTGATTTAAAAAAACACACACTATAGATATATACATGTACATATATATATTTAATTTTTTTTACATTTTAACTACTCTTTACTTGCTTTTGTCAGAGGAAATGAAGCATTGGAATGTAGGAGGGATGTAGGAGGAAAAACCTTGTGCGGACTGGTTGACTATAAATTAGTTATGGTAACATTGACAGTGCACTGTCCCCTTTTACTATACTCACTACATCCACCTTTATTCTGTCCCAGACTGCATACCAGGAACTTCTACCGGCTAGTAAGAAGGAGAGGACAAGTGAGTGCTGGTGGATACCAGTGAACTGCCCCAAAGAGCATAGAGCGAGTGCATCATTAGATGAATTCTCTCTAAGCTCATGACAGGTGCATTGTCGCCATATGGGCAGGAGGAGCTGTCTACTACCTATACCAACCCACCCCAATAAAAAATACTGACACTCTTAGGTATGGGTCAATATGTCCACAGCTTTTATTTATTATATTCATAATAATAATAATAACAATAACATATAAATAACTTTTTTATTTATACATAACCTAGTATAACAATACGTAAATATAACATGAACAAGATCCAAAATTTTCCACACGATCCTGGCAGGGGTATACCTGGATACCCCTACACCACCCGGGTTCTGAGCAACCAACGAGCTCGAAACCCACCAACATTTTACCAACAGGTAACCAACCATATTAATCAACCTTTTTTATCCCAGCCCGCCGCTGTGACCAAGCGGGCAAGACTTAACCCAACGCTTAAAGGGAGGGACCAACTAAGTCAAATTAGTAATGGGGATTTCTAAAATGGCCGACATTTATATCAGCCCAGCCCCTTAACCCTAACCCACCAAACACCATCAGGCTCCCCCTAATCCCGCCTCCAAGCCCTGTCAAGGCCCCCTCTGCTAAGCTGTGCTTTCTTCTTGAGGCTACAGGGTGCTGGAACAGTGCTATCTGCATAATATGCCATTAGTTCCAATTTTAGCATAGGGTATGTGTATTCTTATAAATGCATCCTGTGAGTTCCCTCCATCACCACTGCCACCAGATAGATGACACTTGGAAGGTGTGACTGTTTCAGTGTTTTCTGTCGATAATATTCTGTAATCAGGCCAATTGTAATTGTAATCGTAAACGTCCGTACTGGGCCCAACGTTCTCTTAATCCGGCCTTGCCTTTAAGGATAGATTACCTACGATTTCCTCAAGGCCCCAAGGCCATTTCAGTCTGCCCGTGTGCTTTCCAATATGTGATAATGAAAAAAACATCTGGAATTTTAGAATAATCAAGTTTGAATACTTTGTTTATTAATTACTGCAGGTAGATTTGTAAGACCGACTATGTGTTCTGCACATACCACTTCTTCATGCTGATGGCTGGTACAAAGTATATAGATCTGATAGACTTTATGAAGGAAATAATTGCATTAATTAATAAAGACAAGACAGTACCTCTTAATTAATTGAATTTCCTCCTACAGGGATAAATGTTACATAGCACAGGCCAGCGATTTATGTATGCTGTTTATTAGCGTGAATATGTTATAAACACGTTCGATTTTAGCAGGTTTCAGATCCATGCTAACACGCTGATTAATCTGAATTAGTGAGTTAATTTAACACAAATATTACAAGAATCCAGCTCAGGGTGTTAGTAAATTCATACTCGCTGACATGGAGGTGACCGTGTCACATTGAGTGACAGATTGCCATCCAGCCCAATAAAATATGTAATATACTCAATAAAGGATGAATTAATGAGCTGATTAGTGTATTACATGGCACACCTCGTAACTAAATGCCTAAATGACAAAAGTGTCACACACAAACTCTCTGAGAGCTTTCGACATGAGCAATTCCTTGTGGATCAATGACTTCTTCGACCCCTTTGGCAATTAAAGGGTTTCCTCTAATTACAAGTTGTTTGTTTGTTTTCTAAATAAGATGTATAAACCGCAATTATCTAAAGCAACATGCCAGTGTTTTTATATTGCATCGTATAATATTATCACATAATTTGTCTCACTGACTCCTAAAATGACAGAGCTATTCATTACAAAGGAAGCTGCACATGTATAGAGGAATACATAATGTAATACAAAATGTCAGAGTTGGAAAAAAAAAATTGGCTTGAATTTTTTTAGCAATTTCTCAAACTTCCCAGTTTGTTGAATAATCCTATCCTGTATAAGACACAGATACACATCCCTCTCACCTCCTCCTAATACACAGACACTTCCTAGACTTTCATTTCATGTAGGTCCCAGCATGATTTTAAGTAACCCTGTGCCCATTATAGGTGCAGTGTGTGTATTATTGTAATGTAATTTGTTAATGGTCTTGTGTGCTTTCTTGTCCTGCGTGTGTTCTGTACCAACTAGGTCGATTTGGCTGTGAAGCCTGTGCAGTGCCATCTGTTGGTTGCAACAATTATGTGCATTTCCTGAAGGGTAAGGTTAGTTAATTTACATATTTAGCTAGATATGCATATTATGGTTTATGCAGACAGTGGACTTATTGCTTACACTCTTTGTATTCCCCACCCCTTTATAAATATTGTTTTGTATTATTATTGTTGCCTGTACAATTCCCTATATACCTATAGACTGTAAGCTCGTTTGAGCAGGGTCCTCTTCAACCTATCGTTTCTGTAAGTTTTCTTGTAATTGTCCTATTTATAGTCAAATCCCCCCCTCTCATAATATTGAATACGGAATGTTGGCGCTACATAAATGGCAATAATGATATAACAATTAGACGAACCAGCAGATAGAACTTAGACAGATGGATCTGTCACACGGCTCCCTCCTTGTGGGACACTCCGGAAGACCCGGCTTGACCCTTTGGCGGGTCAGCTTGGGGATGACCGGACTAGGAGGTGGTGGGGATGTCAGTTTGCCGGGACAATCCATTCCCGTTCTGCTTACCGGGTCGGTAGCTGATGGTGAAATTATAAGGTTGGAGGGCTAAACTCCACCGCAGTAGTCGACCATTGTCTCCTGAGACCCAGTTAAGCCAAACAAGGGTATTGTGGTCCGTTATAAGGGAAAATTCCTGCCCGTATAAATAGGGGCTCAATTTCTTCAGTGCCCAGACCAGGGCTAAACATTCCTTCTCCACTGCCGCATAGCAGACTTCCCGAGGTAGTAACTTTCTGCTGAGATATGCGACAGGGTGTTCTCCTCCGTCTTCCCCGACCTGGCTTAGCACAGCCCCCAGTCCATACATGGAAGCATCTGTGTGGACGAGAAAGCGTTTGTTAGGGACTGGGGCAGCCAGGACAGGGGCATTCACAAGAGCCTGCTTCAGGGCCTGAAACGCGGCTTCACAAGCTGGAGACCACAGGACCTGCTTAGGTAAATTCTTCTTAGTCAGGTCAGTCAGGGCCTTGGCGATAGTGCTCTAGTCAGGGACAAAACGTTGGTAGTACCCTGCTGTCCCCAAGAAGGCTAACACCTGGGTCTTAGTGATAGGTGTGGGCCAGTTAGCCATGGCCTCTACCTTGGCTGGCTCAGGTCTCTGGCTCCCACACCCCACTCTGTGACCCAGGTACTGCACTTCAGCCACACCTAGATGACACTTATCTGGTTTCAAGGTCAGGCCAGCGGCCTGAATCTTGTCCAGAACCACCCTTACATGGACCAGGTGTTCCTCCCAGGACTCACTGTAGACGCAATGTCGTCCAGGTATGCACAAGCAAATTCCTGGAAGCCATCGAGGAGTCTATCCACCATACGTTGAAAGGTAGCCGGAGCATTCTTCATCCCGAATGGCATGACTTTAAACTGGTACAGGCCAAATGGGGTGACGAAGGCCGACTTGGGGATAGCATCCTCGGCCACGGGGATCTGCCAATAGCCCTTACACAGGTCTATGGTGGTCAGATAGCGTCCCCTGGCAATACGGTCTAATAATTTGTCTACCCGGGGCATTGGGTAGGAGTCAGTGGTGGTCCTCTCGTTGAGCCGCCGGGTGGTCCCGTCTTTCTTAGGCACCAGGACTACAGACGAGGCCAAAGGACTGTCAGAGTGTTCGATGACTCCAATCCGAGTCATCTCCTGTATCTCCTTCCGCATCCCTTCCCGGACTGGTTCAGGGATACGGTAGGGGGGCTGTTGCAGGGGGTTCTGTCCAGGGGTACAGCTAGGGTAGTGTAGCCGGGCTCTTGGGAGAACGTTGCCTGCTTCTCCCACAGAAGCTGTCTTGCCTGTACCTTCTCTGTGGGGCTTAACCGATCCCCTAGCTGTACAAGACTAGTGAGGTCAGTCTGGGGGTCCTTCTCTAATAAATCGGGCAGGGGTAGATTCTCTGGGTCGTCTGCAGCAGGGGCACACACTGCAGCGACATCCTCTGGTCTCTCCTGATACTCCTTCAGCATGTCCAAATGAAAGGATCGCTGAATCCTCTCATCCACACAGCTGGCTATAAGGTAGGTAGTATCAAACACCTGCTACGACCTTATACAGGCCCTGCCAAGATGCTTGCATCTTGTTCGTCTTCACAGGCTTGAGCACCAAAACTTTCTGCCCAACCCGGAAGACCTGCTGCCGGGCACCCCGATCGTACCACCTCTTCTGTCTCCCCTGGGCCACCTGGAGATTCTCCCTTACCATCAGGGACAGTACCTCCATGCGGTCCCGGAGTTCCAGAACATATGGTACTATGGGGGTTCCCTCCTGCTCTCCCTCTCCCTCCCAGTGTCCTCTAATGAGATCCAGGGGTCCGTGGACCCTACTCCCATAGAGTAACTCAAAGGGAGAGAACCCAGTAGATTCCTGGGGCACCTCTCTGTAGGCAAATAGCAGAAGAGAAAAAACAGAAAAGAAGGCTGCGCCACAGAAAATAAATAAAACAAAAGAAGATAAAAATCGATGGAAAAATAAAAAATAAAAAAATTAAATATTCTGTACAAAAGTCCCAATTAGCATAAAAGAATAAAATAAATAAAATATACTCACAAATAGAGTGCAGGACTTACTGCACTCTGTTGGTCGCGTGGGTGACTATTCCAATTTGATAAAGCCTGCTGGCGAAACGCGTTATTGGTTTTAATATATTGTATTAATAAATAATTTTACATATATTACCTTTTTACACTATTTTATTCTATTTACTGTTCCTGGCATATCCTAAGGTGGGGATTATACCACCCACGCGACCAACAGAGTGCAGTAAGTCCTGCACTCTATTTGTGAGTATATTTTATTTATTTTATTCTTTTATGCTAATTATTTCTCCGGAGAGCACTATCGGCTGTTTTTATTTCTTTTTATGAGAATTGGATACCAGCACCCCCCAGGAGGACAAGTACCCCTATAAGCGGAGGGCAATCCGCTGTGTGCCTATCATACTAGAGCTGGTCCTAGCTCATGGACATGTGAGTGTGCAATTTATATTTTAACCTCACTATTATTCTTCTGTACATTCTGCACGATTAGTCCTTTCCCATTGTGTTTTTCATATCGTGAGACGGACAACTGTTAACAAAGAAGACACTACATCAGTTAAGACACCACCTACTATTGGGACTTTTGTACAGAATATTTAATTTTTTTATTTTTTATTTTTCCATCGATTTTTATCTTCTTTTGTTTTATTTATTTTCTGTGGCGCAGCCTTCTTTTCTGTTTTTTCTGTATATTCGTTCTATAGAGGGTTAGAGGGTGACCCCCTATTAGGTTGCTGCCTTTTATTTTATTTTGTTTTTATTTTTATTTGTTTTTATTATTAGCGCTAGCCGTTCCAACTTTTTCTGTAAATAGCAGAAGATGCAGGAATCGCTCCCAGTCTCTGCAAGTGTCAGTAAAGGTCCTCAACATCTGCTTGAGGGTGCCATTAAAGAGCTCGCAGAGACCGTTGGTCTGTGGGTGATAAGGTGAACTAAGCAGCGGTTTAATGCTGCACACCTTCCACAGCTGCTGGGTGAGCACAGCGGTAAACTGAGTTCCCTGGTCGGAGAGGATCTCCTTAGGGAACTCTACCCTAGTATAAATGTTAACCAGGGCATCAGCTACTGTCTCTGCCTCTATATTGGACAGCGCTACTGCCTCTGAATAACGCGTGGCATAGTCCACCACGGTGAGAATATACTTCTTACCCGATGGACTAGCCCTGGCCAGTGGACCCACAATGTCAACAGCTATGCGGGTAAAAGGGTTCCCCAATTATAGGCATCGATATAAGCCTAGCTTTTGGGTGATCCCCCCGCTTACCTACCCGTTGACATGTGTCACAAGTACTGCAATATACCCGCACATCTCGGTTAAAATTGGGCCAGAAGAAGTTTTGGGTGATCCTATGAGCTGTGCGGCGGGACCCTAGATGTCCGGCTAACGGTACATCATGCCCAATCCGCAGAATCTCTTGCCGGTATTTGGCCGGTACCACCAGCTGCCGATTCTGCGGAGGGGTATTCTTTTTCTGGGAAGGTTTAGGAATCCGATACAGCCTATCCCCCACCCACTCGTAATGCTCCCCATCTACTCCCTCTTCTCCCGCATCTGCCCTAGCCCTATACTTCTCAAGGGTCGGATCCTCCTGGGTTTCCCTCCCGTACATCTCTGGGGTATCCCAGCCTAAGGGGGCCTGATCTAGGGTACAAGTCAGGGTAGAGAGTCTTACCTGGGTCTCAGCAGCAGGTGGACTGGTCTCGACGGCACGGGTTTGGGCACGGATCATCACAGCGTTGACTTCAGCGGGACCCATCGGGGCGTATGCCGAAACAAGGGGAGCCAAATCATTTCCCAGGAGGACGTTAGCTGGCAAATCCCTCATGATCCCCACATTCACGTGCCTAGCGCCCACTCCCAATCCAAATGTACCCGGGCAACGGGGCAGGCGGAACACAGCGCCCCCGGCTACTCTCACAGCCACAGTGTCTCCAGTGTGCTGGTTTTCAGACACCAAGTGCTTTTGGAGCAAGGTCATGGTGGCACCGGTGTCGCGCAGACCATTGACCTCCTTCCCGTTCACTTTAACTAGTTGCCGGTGCTGCTGTCTATTGTCCCGGTGGGCGGCTTGGACGGGGTCTGCCTCGTGCAGGATGCCCCAACATTCCTCCTCCTCTACGCAGTGGGCAGCAGGCTGAGGGTTGCGTTGGTTCCCGCTGGTGGGTCTCCTCCAGGACTGGGCTTGGTTAGCTGTATTCAGCAGACACTCCGGCCTTTTGTGTCCTAGCTGCTTGCATCCGAAACACCGGATGGGCTGGGAGTAGTCCCGTGAGTTGAACCGGGGTGGTTGAGGATAGTTAGTAACTGGAGGGGGTGCTGGCGTGCGGTACGTCGGGTTTTGGTAGCCGGCAGCGGCTGGGGGTGCTGCTGGTCGGTACTCCACTCTGGCAGGAGTCTTAGTGGTAGCATTGTCCAGTTTGCGGGCATCCATATACTCGTCTGCCAGGCGGGCTGCTTCATGCAGGGTGGAGGGTTTATGGTCTCAGATCCACTCCCTGACTCCTGGAAATAACTTTTCAAAGCAGGAACATCTGTAGCACCTCTTCCCCGGATATGGCTTGGCACCCTGCCATCCAGTGGGCTGCTGTGCGGTGTACCCTGCATGCCCATTCAACGTAGGAATCCCCGGCTAGTTTGGCAGTGTCTCTAAACCACCTCCTGTATGCCTCCGGTGTAACGGCATACCTGGAGAGCAGAGCTTCTTTTACGGCCCCATAATCCCCGATCTCCTCGTCAGGAATGGCCCGAAAAGCCTCACTGGCCCGGGCCGGATAACTTTCTGGACAATATAGTGACCCAGTCTTCGGTGGGTACCTTGTGTAGGGCACATTGCCTCTCAAAATCAGCAAGGTACCCATCAATCTCTCCTTCTGTCTCAATGAAGGGTTTAAACGCGGCAAACTGCACCTTTCTGTTTTCCACCGGGGTTGCTGGGACTTGAGCTGCTGCAGCGCCGGTTTGGCGGAGTAGGTTGGCCTCCACAGCTGCTATGACCCGGTCGATGATCTCTGTAGTCGGGTTGGGACCATAATGGGCCAGCCTGATTCTAACCGCCTGGTCAAAGCTTGCCTCTTCGGGGGTTCTCTCGGCTGTGCTGGGACGATTGGTTCCTTCTGCCCCAGGTACTCCATCCATTTCGTTCAGGATGGCAATAATCTCCCTCTTCCTGAGGTTACTGGCTTGTCGGCCTCTTTGTTCCAGCAGGTCTTTAAGGATAGCTCTTTTCAGACTTTCATACAGTATTTCCATTAATCCTGTATGTGTGGTTGTCTCTCTGGGTGATGAGGATCATCCCGTCGCTTGCCACCAGTTGTTAAGACACTCCCAGCTTAAATGAGTAAAACCGCAGTTTAGGTGATCTTCCCCCTTTAGAGACACAGGCTCTGTTGCTGTAGACCGCCAAACTCCCGAACGGAGTATAAGGGAATACTTCAAACTCCCGAACAAAGAATCAGCCGAACTCTTTCTCTCCTAGAATAGGCGAAATAGTACTTCCAAGTAGTAATCCCCCCAAGCTCCGTCTTGAGGGTAAAACAGGAATCTGCTTTAATGAGGGCTACCTGCCTGGTATTTATGCAGGTCTCCCATCTGGTGGACACTCCCCTAGGGGACTAGTTGGGAGACTGGGACACATAATGTACAGTAGCCAATCACAGTGGCTCGGCTTTAAACACTCCCCTTTGCACAAGTAAATCCCTCCTCTCTATCCTGGAAATAATTGGGAAGAAATCCAATTATTTCCAGGGATAGAGGCAAACTGCCATTTTACATAGTATAATAATAACACATAAAAATCCATAACTGTAAAACTACCAAATGCTTTTAGTACGTGTAACGTATCCCCTGACAGCCTGGGTCTGAGCGCACATTACTACTGAATAGCGCTCAGACCCAATGCACACAGTTCAATCGCCATGAAGTCTTTCACATTGTTCTTTCGGTATACAATTGACTCCATGGGACGACTATCTGGGTTAAGTCCATTTGTGTAATAAAAGTCCCAAACGGACCGGCGTTCGCATGCCCGTGGATAAGAAGGGCGGTCGGCAGTTTCAGCGGTGTTCGGTAGAAAAAGTGTCCGTTTTTAGTTCCATAGTTTGAGTGCCGAACACCGCTGTGCATTTGCGTGTTTAAAATGGCTGCCGCCTCATGGTCGACATGCGAACGACGACCACCCTGCATACGGTTCTAATCAAGAGGTGTCTGTGGTTAACCACAATGTTCTAATTGAGGCCAATAGGTTAACCAGCAGCACAATTCTCCTCTGGGTGGCCATCCGTTCGGTAATTTTATTCGGTATAATCTGAAATAGATGAACAGGGACGTACGGGCAGGTAATTCCACGAAAGTATATCAATTAGACGAACCAGCAGATAGAACTTAGACAGATGGATCTGTCACACACTCAGACACATTGCTGGGAGTATTATTGCTGTGGAGCTCTGTTATACACTCAGACACATTGCTGGGAGTATTATTGCTTTTTGTCGCTCTGTTATACACTCAGACACACCAACAATATGGAGCTTCTAGAAAAGAGTGACAGAGGGATTTGTTGCCAAAATATGGACTGTCCCTCCTAAATAGGGACACTTGGGAGGCTTACACTACACAAAAATACAAACATATAATATATTTACACACCAGACAGTATATTGCCATTTGGGACCCAGGGCCTTTTTGTGCCTAGTCTGCTATCAGTCTGTCCCTCACACAGGTAGCACTTGAAGCATTCGCTCACTACTTCAGTGAATGAGCATGAGTGCAAGTGTTGATTACTACAAGAATTTTATTCAATAAAAAAACAAATAAATAAATAAACAGGTTAAACATAATGAAAGATGTGACTTAAATAAAAATCCCAGCAGTATAATCTGTTGGTGCCCTTTGTCACCAGTAACAATATTATTTGTGGAGTGCCTATCTTCATCTTTCACTAGACTAGTTCCTGCGTGACATTATAGGGACTGGTTCGTGAAGAAATCTTACACAGCGGGACACCGAGAAGCCATCTTTTTATGATAAAAGTAAAATTAATTCAGTTGCATTTTTCAATTAAATATTCCAAATATATTTATTAGTTAATACATTCTACGGAAGGACTTTAAAGTGTTACTGCCACCTGGAAATGTATTTCTTTTTTTTATAATTCTTTATTTTATTTGTGCAAGGTGATAACACATCAGGCTTACAATGCCACAACAGCCAGAGTAAGCAGTTATGCAGACATAGTGTTACAGTAGTTAGGCATTAGAAGATACTGCACAGTTTTATATATATTATTGTCGTGTGTCTGGTGGTTTCACCAGTTCCGCTTGTCAGTAAATGTGTGGTATAAGGTTAAGTCGAACCATTTAGATTAAGTAGTTATGTTAAGGCTTATGCGGAACATGCATTATAAAGTATGTGTAACATAGCTTAGTCAAATAGCTTTACGTAAGAGTATTAATCATGCTTATACAGTATATGAATATGGTTAAATTCCCATTGGAGCTGCAATCACAGTCTTTGAGACCTGTATGGCTTGTGACGAGGGATGTAATAGAACCAAATTAAAAGTAAAAGAGAAATAGACATGGCAGGACTAGTGTACACCCGGTTAGCGTTTTCAACACAAGATATCACAGTGTCTCAGGCCTCGTGGCTCTCTCGTCGTGGACAGCCTGCTCTGTTCTATCATTCCATGTTTCATCCAATTCCCCTCGCTGGGTGACCTACGAGGCAGGCAGAGATTATACTGGTGGGAGCGCTGGGGCGGCTTTGTGAGAGGGTGTCCACCCAGAGCTGGGCCCGTGTGGCGTCCAGTGCCTTCATTTTGCGCGCCCAATGGCTCGGAGCACCTGTATCTTTCTCATATGGGTTACAGCGATGGGTCTCCCACCGAATAGCAGTGGGCGGGCGCTGGTGTGGCAGTGTGGGGCCCTGGTTGTTGTTGGGCTCTGGTGAGTATAAGGGTAGAGGAGCAGGTGCTTGCTTACCCTCGGTGTCCGGAGGGGGCGCGCTCACTCCACATGGCTCGGCTAGTTGATCTGCAGTCCCCTGTTGAGAAACTGAAGCTGCTGCTCGTGCCTCCAATTTAGCCCAGAAGTTGGTGAATATTGCCTCCAATCTTGCCAGGGAGCGCTCTACAGAAAAGCTGAGGCTATTACTGGTCGGTAGTGGAGTTGGCTTTGCTGGAGGATGAGTGTCCGCCATTTTGAGGGTTCCCGCCATGTGCAGGTGAGTGTCCCTTTCTGACCACAGGTTTTGTCTGGAGCAGTCCAGGGGGGGACCGGGATAACCCCCGCCGGTCCAATGGGGGGAGGGGAGGTATGGACTGAAGCAGTTCCGTTCAGCAATCAGGAGAGCGGGGAAATCGGCCGCCTTTCCCCCCACCCGGTCACTTGCAGGCCGCAACTTGTCTCCGCGGGCTCACTGCGTCTCAGAGGCTCGTGAGTGGGGTCAGTGTGATCAGCAACTTGTCCCCAAGTAGGCTTATGGGTATAGAAACCCGGATTCAGGCTGGAAATGGGGGTATTACCCCGAAAATTGTCGTTTTGTGCAGGAGCTCGCTCAGCATGCGGCTGCTCAGCTCCGTGTTCAAGCTCCGCCCCCTTTTTTAAATTTTTTTATTTTTTTATTCTTTATTTTGTTTGTGCGTTATTTGGTTTCATGTATTATATTGACAGATACAGGAGTTTAGAATATGCATTACACGGTAGTTAGTCAATTTGTACAGCACACATTTTTCTTTTTACAACAGGTTGCATAACGGTTGCTTGCATTAGTGCTTACATATGTAACTGGGTATATAAACCGTCCTGTAGTAGTGTTAGCCCCTCTTTCTGCTCTGTATGGTTTGGGTCACATGTTTGTACTCTTGATGAGGTTTTGGATCACTATGTGTAAGTGCACTAGTTTGTGGCGTTCATGAGAAGTCAAGGGTGGTCTACCCGTGGTGCTATTTTAGCTGTGGTCACTCTTTGTGAGCCGGTCGTCTGTGATGTAGCGTCGTTGTGGGGTCACGGCTTTTACCACGGTAGTGGGGGGCCCCTAACCTAGGGGGGCTGCGGGGGGTAGGGGGAGAGGGTGCAGAGAGCTTGTCCGGAGCCTCCCAGCATTAGTGTGGTGTCATGTGATAGTCACTAAGCATGTGGGTATCTCTTAGTGTATGTGGGTGAATGATTGGCACGGAATGTGTGGGTCAATAACAGAGGTAATAACTAGTATAACTAAACAATTATATGAAACGAGCAACAGTCAGTATGCGAGTTTAAGAAAGTCTACTTGAGCCAGAATGGCCAGGCTTGCTTGCAGACCGTGTCAGGTTTCCGAGTCTGTGCTCGGGGGATGAATGGTCTCGTGGTGGCTGGATCTCCCATCCGGGCTGGTCCTGTTTGGGCTGTTATCTGGAGAGCGTCCGATGGTCCCAAAAGTGTGAGGACTGAGAGTATGTCTGCCTCCGATGTGGCTCTGTGGATAGTCCCGTTGTGCGGAATCAGCAGGGTCCGCGGCGTGCCCCATCTGTACTGTATGCCTGCGGTTCTCAGGCGGCTTGTTAAGTGTTTTATTGATCTCCGCCAGAGTAGTGTCGCTCGGGTGAGGTCTTGGAAAAAAAGTAGGTTGGCGTTTTCGAATGGCAGGGGAGTCTTGCCTCTGATTGCCGCCAGTATTGCTGCTTTATCTTGTGTTGTGGCACACTTTAATATAACGTCCTTAGCCTCCGCGGCTGGTGTGGTGTTCCCAGTTTGCAGCCGAAATATGCCTTCTAGGGCGAGTTTTCTGGCAGTAGTTGGCGGTAGTATGGAGGCAAGAAGCCTCCTCACAAAGTGGGGCAACTCCTCTGTGGTGATTTCTTTTGGGACTCCTCTGAGCTTAATGTGGTTGCGACGCAGGCGGTCCTCCTGGGTGGCCACCTGCGTCGCCAGTGCCTGGTGGGCTGTCTGCAGGGACTGCAGGGCTGCGGTGAGATTTGTTGTCCCACTGGTTAGTGATTGTATGTCCCCTTCTATGGCACTCACCCTCTCCGCAGTTTTACGTACGTCCGTCTTGAGAGTGCCAATATCCGCGGCTAGCAGGGTTTGAATTTCCTGCATCCATGTTTGCAGGTCTTGTTTTGTAGCAAAGGTATTCTCGCTCAGCTCTGTGCCAGCCAGGGGTGAATTGGGTCGCTTGTCCTCAGGCCCTAGCTCCAGTGCGTGTGCCCGCTCCGATAGTGGTGGTGGGGGGCCTACTGTGGAGGATCTCGTGGCGGTCATTTTGGAAGGTGCTTGTCGTTGCAGCATTTCCCCGATGTTCGGCTGGTCTGCTGCCGATGCCGGGTACTGCTTTTGCGTGCGACGCCCCATGGTTGCAGTGGGGCTGCTGTGTGTTGCGGTAGCCGTCCCCTCCGAGTCTGGGCGGTATTCCGTCCCGATGTTGTCCAGGAGAGTCTCCAGGCCGTAGCTCGTGGGAGTGAGGTAGGCCCGGTGTTTTTGTTTCACCTTTCTGGGCTTCGTTTGGTGAAAGAAGGGCATTAGTCGACTCCTCTCAGTTACCCCGTGTTCGGGGTGGGGTTGATGTCTGCGGATGGGTTAAGATGCCCGTGATTTTCTCAAGTTTATCGTTGCGAGGTCGGGAGCTGATGAAGATGGCGTCCGTTCAGCTCTGCTCCCAAGCCCCGCCCCGTGGAAATGTATTTCTATGAATCAGTTTAAAACAATAATGGAAACAGATTTATATGATTGTTGTCTAACCAAGCTATAGCAAGTTTAGCTGAAATTGGCACGTAAAATCTGCCAGTGTTTGCGTGTGGAGGCAGCCATCTTGGAATTGTATCTTACTTACTATTGAAAAACATGGCTGCAGAGATCATGTGATATCAGCAGCCAATCGGAGTCTGCTATTTGTAGAGTCGCTCCCAGCTTTTCAATGTACAGGAAATAGGATATGGTTCATTGACTTCCCTGTTGATGCTCTGATCTTAAGTAATTTTTTGTTTTGTTTTACTATATACAGATTTTAAAAAAGATAAACACAAAGTACAGACATTGTAACATGATAAATAACAATATATATATATACACATGTAAAGGTGCGCTTTACCCGGGTAACTCTGTGTCAGTCTACGCCATAGTGGTGTGGGTTCCAGTGTTGAAGCGAATCTACTGGTCTTGAGTTATTCAATGTCTACCAGGGTAGTGTAGTGTCTCCATTTAGCCATGGGTCCCAGGTCTTGTGGTATTGTTTGGATGGTTCATGTATCTGACCTGTGAGGCTATCCATATTAGCACAGTCTTGTATCTTTTGGACTATGGTGGTGTGTGAGGGTATGTGCAGTGTGGACCATCGTTCCGCTATTGCCCTACGTGTTGCCAATGCTATGCGTGTGATTAACTTGTTCTCCGCTCTAGTGAAGGAGTCCAGGGGTTTGGATAGCAATAGCAGCCCTGGATCCAAGGGACTCGGTTTGTCAAACAGTCTGGTGATTGGTGCCGTGATACTTCGCCATAAGGGCTATAGTTTGGGGCATGTCCACCAACAATGGAGGAAGGTCCCCACCTCTCCACACCCCTTCCAGCATTGATTGGTTGGTGCTATGTGCATTGTGGCTAGGCACTGGGGCATTAAATACCAGCGAAATAACATTTTGTAAGCCTGTTCCTTATGCGACACGCAGATGGATATAGAGGCTGTGGCCTTCCAAATATCTGACAAGTCGGAGGGATCCTGGGGAAGACCTAGGTCTTTTTCCCATACTGTTATGTAGGAAAGCGTTATTTGTGTTGGGTGAGTCGCTAAGGTGGAGTATAGGTCCGAAATTTGTCCTCGTCTAGAGGGTTGCTTCATGCAGTCCAGTTCGAACTGTGTTAAGGGGGCCGTGTCTGCCTGCTTGATAATTGGTGAGGATAAAGTCTGAAGCATTTCTGAGCAAGTCGACACATAGAATTTAAAGTTGAGTTGTGATGCAGGGGTTAAAGCTACATGTGCAGATAAGATATATATATATATATATATATATACACACACACACACACACACACACACTATTTCCAATTACATGCATTTTTTGTTGATGCTGGCTGCATCCACTAGGGGCTCCCCCTGCCTGGATATTAAATGCACCGATTCCAGTCTATAATATCAGTAAACGTGTAAAAACTGAATTTAACGCTGACCGTAAATAAAAAAAACACAAAGAAAAAACAAAAAATTTATAATAAAATTCTATGACTTTCATAAATATCTTTCTGTAGCAGTTTAACTATAATTAAAACATTTAAAAATGATGAATTATTGGCAAAATAGTCTCTAAAATTTGAACGCGCATTAGTTACGATGGCGCTTTAGTTTCAAGAGCAAACGGCGCATTAGATTGGAGTACGAATTCAGTACGAACAAATGGAAAGCACACTGCAGTAAAGACAAACCGCACATGCGTACTACTCTCTCTTGCTTACCTAGAGTTGCTCCTCACTTGACAACCTATTCCGACAAGGACTGCTTGTAGATACTTCGAAATTTGCATCGCTGCAACAGGGATGCAAAACTTGGTTTCTGTGTATGGTAAAGCTGTACCTCGTAGCTCTAGTATTTTCTTGTACAAATGCTCAGGTTTTAAAAATGTTAATACGCATTAGATTTGATGGCGCATTAGATTCAAGTAAATACGGTATTTCTTTGTAAAATGTAAGATTTGAATCTAATAGACAACTTAGGAGCTAAAGTCAGAGAGATATAAATACAATTATTTATATAATACCAATAAATAGATAAACCAAGACAAACCGTTAATTTTTGGGGAAAAAAAAACACATTTCACATACGGGAACTGTAGGTGAAAAGGGCCCTGGCCAAACAAGTTTATAATCTAAAAGAGGTACGATCCAGTTTTATCAGACTTGGGTACCATGGCTTAAGAGTAGTTATAACAATTATTATTATTATCACTGGTATTTATATAGTGCCAACAGATTCCGTAGCGCTTACAATATTATCAAAGGGGGAGATTTAACAATAAATGAGACAATTACAAAAACTTACAGGAACAATAGGTTGAAGAGGGCCCTGCTCGAACGAGTTTACAGTCTATAGGATGACTCATAAATCCCAATATTCTACCCACCTCTCATTGTCTATTTCTCCTCGGCTTGCGGACACCTCCCACCCCCACCCTTCTTTCCCCATTGCTTGCTTTCTTTATATGATATTTTTTTTCATATTTACTTCCTTGATTAAATTAGATGTCTCTTACATTTATTGTCGAACCTGAATTTTTCTTCCTAATATTTACTGCTATCTGTCAAAGTCTATTAAAAAGGAATTTGCAATTTGTACCCAAAATACTAAGGGTGAACACATTTTCAGATTTAACAGCTAAATTTTCTGCTACATGACTTTTTTAATGGACAGTCACCTGAAATGATATAAATCCCAGAACATATAAAGGAGTGATATTTTGAAATTATAGTTGTACGCATAACATTAGATACCTGTATACAAATATGTTTGATTGTGAAAAGATGCAAAATCATTAGAGGACAACTTGTCCAGGTTAATAAAATTGATGAGTTAGTGCCAGTAAGTAATATACATACATCTGTGCATGTCCGAGTGCAGACATACAATGTACATATATGTGTAAGTTTAGTGTAATATACAGGGCTCCAAAATCTGGTATTGTCCATGAGGGAGATCCGGGCAGAGCCTGCATAAGCCAAACACAGCCCTGGCCAATCAGCATCTCCTCATAGAGATACATTGAATCAATGCATCTCTAGGAGGAAATGGCAGTCACACAGTGCAGCACTGCCCCAGGAAGCACCTCTAGCAGCCATCTGAGGAGTGGCCAGTGGAGGTATCCCTAGGCTGTAATGTAAACACTGCCTTTTCTCTGAAAATAAAGTGTTTACTGCAAAATGCCTGAAGGGAATGACTATACTCACCAGAACAAATACAGTAAGCTGTAGTTGTTTGGGTGACTATAGTGTCCCTTTAAAGTTTTTATCTCCTGCCCTGTAAACTAAACTCTACAGGAGGCTCCTGCATGGTCTATTAGGCTATTCACAGAGCAGGAGATGAAAAATCTTAAATTAAAGAGACTATGCAATAAAGGAAGATTAAACATTAGATCTCTTTACAGTAAGTGTTTAGGAAGTCTGGGTAAGTGAAGTGCAGGAAGGTGACTAGGGCTGTACAAACAGTGATTTAACTCCTAAATGGCAGAGAATTAATCAGTGAAACTGCATGGTCAACTTCTATACACCAAAACTACTTAATTAAACTAATATTGTATTAGTATAGTGTAACGGATCACCTGGCACCCCGACTGGGTACCTCCGTTGAAAGATGCTCCTAGCGCTTCCTGAGGACTCCAAGCACTGCAGCCGACACCACAATCACCGAACCAGAGAAGCGTATACCTTCTCTCAAGCATATGAATGCTGTAGACAGTTGAATAGGAACCATATGAATAGGTTTACTCTCCTAGCAGTCAAACTGGAACAGCATACAATAAATCCTTCCCCAATAATGAGGCGACACTTCACTTTGAGGGGTTAAAACAGGAACTCTCTGTACTGTCACATACAGTCTCTTTTATAATCACCAAACACAGTACAAACACAAATTACAAAACATAACCAATCACATCACAGTTACATCCCACATATTCCCTCCCTTATACAGAAACTCAATTATACATACAGTTAAAACATACTTTTCTACCCAACTTTCATAACTCCAAACCATACATCACATTCACATAAAATTACATATTCACAATCAATCCATTCAGGGGACAACATATTCAAAAATGGCACAAATCAGACAAGGGGTTCAAAAGTTAGTAAAAAGTCCTTTGTGACTAAATGAAGCATGGCTTTCTGGCCCAAACCAGTTTCAGAGTCTTCTATCCTGGAGATAAGTAATTCAATTATCTCCCAGGACAGACACAAGACTCCATTAAGCACATAGTTGCAAAAAGACACAAAACACTTTAAAATACATAAAGTCACCTTTTACACATAACACACAGACATTTCACATATCCCCAGATAGCTGGGATCTGAGCACACATTATTAGATGAATGGCACTCAGATCACACAAATAAGCCTTTCTGCAGAGGAAATAAACAGTTTAACCTGCAGGGCCATAGTCCAAAGGGAGCAGGCGAGCAACCAGGCTTCTCCAGTTCACAGTGGCGAGGTTGGTTTCGCCACACTTCTCCCCTTTACAAACTAGACTAACAGGGTATCTGACCTCCTGCCGGTCAGTGCCCTGGTTAGTCCAGCAACCCACCCACAAAACAGAAACAGCAGTACAGCCCACCCACAATAACTGGTTACTACACCTGGGTAGAGGAGAACTTTGTCCATGTCCAGGTGCCTCCCCACGACTGTGTGGGCAACTGTTAGGCTGCCTTGGTGGGTTGCTGAGTGGGCAGAGACCAGCGGTACTCTGCCCTGATGCCAGTGCTACCACGGAAGTAGCCTGGTGGGAGCCTGGTTGTGGGAGGGAGGGACCGACTGTCTCCCCTCTGGATACACCGCTCTGTGGCTGGGGAACAGGACCGACTGTCCCTACCCCTTGTGCTGTAAGTGCAGAGACTACGGTTCCATCTGCACTGTTGGGGGTGTAACATCTCCCCTTGCTGGGTTAGGCTGCCGCTGGAGAGAGGGTGTAACAAGCTCCTCTCTCTGAACTGTAAACTGCCGCTGGGGAGAGGGAGTATCAGGCTCCTCTCCCTGACACTCTCTCTGCTGGTGGAGAGGGGGACCAGCTGTCTCCCCTTTCATTATTTTGTCCTGTGGTTGGGGTGCGAGACTGACGGTCTCTGCTCCCTGCAGGACACTCTGCCGCTGGGGAGGAAGGACGGCACCTTCAGCTCCCTGGGGTACACACTGCAGCTGGGGAGGAAGGACTGCACCTTCAGCTCCCTGGGGTACACACTGCCGCTGGGGAGGAAGGACGGCACCTTCAGCTCCCTGGGGTGCACACTGCCGCTGGGGAGGAAGGACTGCACCTTCAGCTCCCTGGGGTACATACTGCCGCTGGAGGTCTGGGCCGACCGCCCAGCATCCCTGTAGGGCCGGTTGAGAGACCGCCGTCCCATCTCCACCTGCCATCTGTGGGTCTTCCCAGGACCAGTCTGTGAGGTCCCTCAACATTTGCGAGTAAGGACCACCTGCTTCCGCACCTGGCAACTCTGGCTGCTGCTGGGGATCTGGGCCGGTCCCATCTCCACCTGCCTGTTGTGGTTCCTCACAGGACCAGTCTATGAGGATCCCTACTTCAGGTTCCTGCGGCCGCCTCAGGGAGAGACGGCTAGCCTCCTCGGATGCAGCCTCTACTCGGCTGCTGTAACACTCCTTCCGCTGAGCATACTCTCTCTCTTTCGCCAGCCGGAATTCTCGGGCCAGCCTTGTGTTTCGCTCGGCCGTGACCTGGTTCCAGATCACCCGGCGTGCCTCCATGGGTAAATCATCCCCATACTGGGCCACTCGCTGCCTCACCTCGGCCATCCAATCATCGCCAGAGCCTTCCATACTTGTCTGCTCCAAGTCGCTGGATACCTCTGCTCCCAGGGTCGCTGCACGTGTGCTAGCGTTGCCCTCAATTTGTAAATCCAAATGAACTGTGTCTCTGAGCTGCTTTACCTCGCACTAGGATGCCATCCCACCGCTGCCACCAATGTAACGGATCGCCTGGCACCCCGACTGGGTACCTCCGTTAAAGGATGCTCCTAGTACTTCCTGAGGACTCCAAGCACTGCAGCAGACACCACAATCACCGAACCAGAGAAGCGTATACCTTCTCTCAAGCATATGAATGCTGTAGACAGTTGAATAGGAACCATACGAATAGGTTTACTCTCCTAGCAGTCAAACTGGAACAGCATACAATAAATCCTTCCCCCAATAATGAGACGACACTTCACTTTGAGGGTTAAAACAGGAACTCTCTGTACTGTCACATACAGTCTCTTTTATTCCCAATCCACAAACATAGTACAGCCCACAGGGCGTTACAAAACAACCAATCACATATCAGTTACATCCCACATATTCCCTCCCCTTATCCTGAGAGGAAACTCAATTACACATACAGTTAAAACATACTTTCTACCCAACTTTCATAACTCTAAAACCATACATCACATTCACATAAAATTACATATTCACAATCAATCCATTCAGGGGAACAACATATTAAAAAATGGCACAAATCAGACAAGGGGTTCAAAAGTTAGTAAAAAGTCCTTTGTGACTAAATGAAGCATGGCTTTCTGGCCCAAACCAGTTTCAGAGTCTTCTATCCTGGAGATAAGTAATTCAATTATCTCCCAGGACAGACACAAGACTCCATTAAGCACATGGTTGCAAAAAGACCCAAAACACTTTAAAATACATAAAGTCACATTTACACATAACACAGACATTTCACATATCCCCAGATAGCTGGGATCTGAGTGCACATTATTAGATGAATGGCCCTCAGATCACACAAATAAGCCTTTCTGCAGGGGAAATAAACAGTTTAACCTGCAGGGCCATAGTCCAAAGGGAGCAGGTGAGCAACCAGGCTTCTCCAGTTCACAGTGGCGAGGTTGGTTTCGCCACATATAGTGTTTCATTTTCTCATGCCAACTTGTTTTGATGTGCTCATCTGTTTAAATAAAGATTTAATACAAAAAAAAAAAAACATTCAAAGTATTGGTGACCTAATGCGCATGAGCAACCAGAGCCATGGGCACATTCACGCTTCCTGATTGAATCAATGCTTTCCTGTGGGGGCGTCCACGTCACATCAAGAAGTTTTACCCAGTTATTACAGCAGAAGCACCTCTAGTGGCTGTCACACTAACAGTTGGACTTAGCCTTGCAATGTAAGCAGCATTATGTCTAAAAAAAAAACCAGGGCCACTTCCCCCACTATTACACTGAGATGAAGTGGTATGGGTGACTTTAGTGTCCCTAAAATTCTGCTCTCCACAATGAATGTAAATTAAGTAAATTCAGGCATATTTTACCCAGACACACGTGTGCACAGACATGTTTGCGCTATGTGGATAAATGTCACTTTTACAAAGGTAAAAGTGTGTACAGGTGTGCTCTACTTGGGTATAATTATAATAGATAATAGCCCCATTATCGATAATAACCAATATTATAAATAATAAGCCCCTAGAGGGACAAAGGTTTAAAAATAATATCAGGAAGTATTACTTTACTAAGAGGGTAGTGGATGCATGGAATAGCCTTCCAGCTGAAGTGGTAGAGGTTAACACAGTAAAGGAGTTTAAGCATGCGTGGGATAGGCATAAGGCTATCCTAACTATAAGATAAGACTAGGGACTAATGAAAGTAGTTAGAAAATTGGGCAGACGAGATGGGCCGAATGGTTCTTATCTGCCGTCACATTCTATGTTTCTATGGTATCTGGACAGTTGTGCTATATACACTACAATCTCAGTGCCTGTGTATTCTACAAGGTAATGTATGTAGAGATGTGTTCTACATGGGCAAGTATCTATACAAGTGTGCTCTACACAGGTAAATATCAGCACATGATGTGTATTCCATGCTGGGGAAAATCTGTATAGGTGTGAAATATCAGTACAGGTGTGTTCTGCACAGGTGTGTTAAATACAAGTAATATTGTACATCAATGGTGCCCAAATGCTAGATCCCCAGTTGTTTTAAAACTACAATGCTTTGTCATTCTAAAGACCTTCTAGAGGCATGCAAAGCAGCATGGGAGTTGTAGTTCTATAACATATGGGATCTACCTCTTTGGCAGACTTGGTGAATATACAGTTATATTCTATGTGTCTAAGTGTCATGTGTGCACTACAGAGGTAAATGGCAGTGCATGCTTGTTCTATACAGGTATGTGAACTACAAATGTGTTATACTCAGGTGACGTGTGTTCTATGAAGGTAGGTGTCTGTACAGCTGTTACCCACATGAAAGTGTAGTTAAATGTTTACATGGGGGTAGGTAGAAAAATGTTTATTCAGGAAAAATTTACCGGGAAGTGATGGTATGGGTGTTTATACGTGACTATATCAATGCAGGTATCTTTAAATTCTGTCTTTGCCCTTCTCTGTCCTCAGTACCAGGCAGTCACAACCAGTCCTCAAATGACACAATCAGCTCATTGTGTGAGAAGGTGACAGAACAATCTCAAGGTGACAGAGGAGGGAGAAGGAGCATACGGAGAGAAGGAGAAAGTGGAACAGACGGAGAGAGTTACAGGAGGAACGAGAGAACAGAGAGGAAGAAAGTGATTAAGGTAAGATCACATACTGCATGCTGCTGAGCTGGGTGGAACTCGTAAAAAGAAATTATCATAATGGGGAAAGTATAAGGGGAACATCGGAGATACAGGGTAACTAAGTAAAGACGCCAGAGGGTTTATACATTAGGGTGAGCACCTTTCTGGTGTTACGAATGTGAACAGCATAATTAGAACGGAGATTACTGTAATTCAGACATATACAGAGTTATTTACTAAAGTCAAAAGTCAAACAGAATTTCACATTTACAGCAAGAATAGCCAAACTGAAAGCATAGCTGACCTACAGATAGTTTTCTAGCTCAGCAATTTTCACCATAAATTTGAAATTTACCTTAAATTCTCACGTTAGTAAATAACCCTGATAGCATTCATTCTCTATACAGTTCCATGTTGGGCATTTTGTAACGGCTCAGGAAAGATGATACACCTGTGCTATCTGTGTTAAGTGTGCAGAGTGCAGTCCACATCATGGGTGTTAGTGAACAGGGAGTAAATCTTACTTGTGAATCACCATTGCACGTCCTGGGTGTTAGTGAACAGGGAGTAAATCTTACTTGTGAATCACCATTGCACAAGTGTTAGTGAACAGTGAAGGAATCGTACTTGTGAGGAGGGCAGTGCACATCCTGGGTGTTAGTGAGCAGTGAAGGAATTGTACTTGTGAGGAGGGCAGTGGACGTCCTGGGTTTTAGTGAGCAGTGAAGGAATTGTACTTGTAAGGAGGGCAGTGCACGTCCTGGGTGTTAGTGAGCAGTGAAGGAATCGTACTTGTGAGAAGGGCAGTGCAGGTCCTGGGTGTTAGTGAAAAGTGAAGGAATTGTACTTGTGAGGAGGGCAGTGCACATCCTGGGTGTTAGTGAGCAGTGAAGGAATCGTACTTGTGAGGAGGGCAGTGCACGTCCTGGGTGTTAGTGAGCAGTGAAGGAATCGTACTTGTGAGGAGGGCAGTGCACGTCCTGGGTGTTAGTGAGCAGTGAAGGAATTGTACTTGTGAGGAGGGCAGTGCACGTCCTGGGTGTTAGTGAGCAGTGAAGGAATCTTACTTGTGAGGAGGGCAGTGCAGGTCCTGGGTGTTAGTGAACAGTGAAAGAATCGTACTTGTGAGGAGGGCAGTGCACGTCCTGGGTGTTAGTGAGCAGTGAAGGAATTGTACTTGTGAGGAGGGCAGTGCACGTCCTGGGTGTTAGTGAGCAGTGAAGGAATCGTACTTTTGAGGTGGGCAGTGCATATCCTGGGTGTTAGTGAGCAGTGAAGGAATCGTACTTGTGAGGAGGGCAGTGCACGTCCTGGGTGTTAGTGAGCAGTGAAGGAATTGTACTTGTGAGGAGGGCAGTGCACGTCCTGGGTGTTAGTGAGCAGTGAAGGAATTGTACTTGTGAGGAGGGCAGTGCACGTCCTGGGTGTTGGTGAGCAGTGAAGGAATCGTACCTGTGAGGAGGGCAGTGTACGTCCTGGGTGTTAGTGAACAGTGAAGGAATCGTACTTGTGAGGAGGGCAGTGTACGTCCTGGGTGTTAGTGAGCAGTGAAGGAATCGTACTAGTGAGGAGGGCAGTGTACGTCCTGGGTGTTAGTGAGCAAGTAAAGGAATCATACTTGTGAGGAGGGCAGTGCACGTCCTGGGTGTTAGTGAGCAGTGAAGGAATTGTACTTGTGAGGAGGGCAGTGCACGTCCTGGGTGTTAGTGAACAGTGAAGGAATCGTACTTGTGAGGACAGTAATTCACGTCCTGGGTGTTAGTGAGCAGTGAAGGAATTGTACTTGTGAGGAGGGCAGTGCATGTCCTGGGTGTTAGTGAGCAGTGAAGGAATCATACTTGTGAGGAGGGCAGTGCATGTCATTGGTGTTAGTGAACAGTGAATATGTTTCTAATTTTGAAGCAAACAGTACACTAGCCATTAGTGAGCAGTGAAGAACACACATATCCAAGGAAATCTATTACAAGTACTGGGTGTTAGACTTGTTAGGAAGGCATTGCACGTTTTGGCTATTTGGGTAGAGGGCTCTTACATTGCTCATTCCTACTACAAGTCCTACTCCTTAGTGTGTGAATTCCGTGCACATACTATCCATCTAAGGGCACTCCATGTGCTGGGTGTGGGGCTTAAGTCATTGTGAAAGCTGCTGAGAGTTAGATGTGTGTTAGGAGGAACAAATGTATAGGAACTAGTGTTAAGAGCATTGTGTGAGAGGGAACTGGTGAACAAGCATTATGCTAGGGGGAACTAGTGAAAGAGCATTGTGTGAGAGGGAACTGGTGAACAAGCATTATGCTAGGGGGAACTAGTGAAAGAGCATTGTGTGAGAGGGAACTGGTGAACAAGCATTATGCTAGGGGGAACTAGTGAAAGAGCATTGTGTGAGAGGGAACTGGTGAACAAGCATTATGCTAGGGGGAACTAGTGAAAGAGCATTGTGTGAGAGGGAACTAGTGTAAAAGTACTATGTTAAGAGGAAGTAGTTTAATAGCATGATGTGTGGAGGAACCCACTCAGTAGTAATGTGAAGAGGTATAAGTGGAAGGTGCAGAGTCAGAGGAAAGACAGACATAAGAAAATGTCGTGTATGAATTTTATGACACAAATCTTTTTTGCCATTGGCACATCTCAGATTAAACCAGATGCCTAATGACATCACTATGACATCATGACACCTGTTGTTTTTTTTCCAGACTGGTTTTATCAATAAAGTTTTTAATGAATGAAGAGAAAGAAAAATAAAAAAAAATTGAGAGAAAAAATAAACCACTTACATTTGTCCAGCATGGCAGTTCTTCATAATTAATATAAATAGCAATTATAACATCACCCTCCACCCCCTCCCACACACACGTATTACACAGCACGGTTTCTTTTGACAGGAAATATTGTAATCATCCCAAATTACCTTTTTCGATGACAGAACCCAGGCTGTGTGGTTACAGCTGACAAATCATGTTTTAATATCACGGTTTTGTGTTTCGATATGTCATGTGGATGGGTATATTTGTAAAGAATTTTGGGGGGGATTAACTGAATATGCTTGTTTGTTTTTTAATCTGTTCTGAAAGAAGGGAATAATCACAGGGCCGCTCTGTTAATATGCTGCCCTGGAGACCCCCTAATATCATAAAGGTAAACGTCTAGTGAGTATCTAAGGAAGAGATTGAGGGATGAAAAGGAGGTTTTTGTTTTGATTTCTTGGTTAAAGCAGTGTTAGATAATTCCTTGTGAAATATAATGGGCAAATATGTGAAGGATTAGGATTCGTCCAAGGTTGAATGATAATGTCTCTAGTGATGGATGCAAGAATGGTCATTAATTTACTCTTTCATATAGGGTGGGCAGTATACCTCCCATTGTATGCGAAAGAGTAAACCTGGTGTTAATTCTGATATAGGCAAGGTTAGACGTTGTAGGAATTGTTTTAAATCTTAGCAGAAGGTGGGGATGAAGGTGAAGTGGGGGGAGGACCGTACGGGTCAGAGAATCTGTAATAGGTGTCACCGTCTTGTAGTCCCATTCATTAATTAACATTTCCAACATTAAGTATGGGATTTATTCACTAAACAGTGAGCTGTGGCGAATGGAAAACTAAATTATAAATTTTAGGCAAAATGTGCGGATTTGGGAAAAAAGATAAAATATAGCTATTGGCACTGCTTGTCGATATTAGCTTAAAGAGTGCGAGTTGGTTTTAATTTCACTGCAATTTGATGTTTAAACATTGTGTGATTTGGTGACTCAGTAAATGTTAGTAAGCCTTTATCAGGATTTATCGTTGTAGAGGGGTGAGATGAAAGGCTAGTGAAAGGCCTATGGATATAGATTGTAAAAGCAAACCTCCCAAGTGTCCCTATTTAGGAGAGACATTCCCTATGTTGAGCCCAAATTCCTCTGTCCCTCTTTCCTACCCTAATGTCCCTATTTTTAGGAGCTCCATATTGTTGTTGTGCCTGAGTATATAAAAGAGCTCCACAACAATAATACTCACAGAAATGTGCATTTAAACTACAAAAAATGTGTTTAGAAATCAGTCTGTGTAAATAAGATACATTGTTCTTGTTCTAAATGATATTTTAGTTGCAAAAAATATTGTCACCTAAAATTTTTCACAACAGCTCAGCATCTGGCCACACCACTACTCACAATTAAAGTGTCCATCTTTGATCATTTGAAATGTTGGGAGGTATAAGGGGAAGTTCACTAAAACCAGGAATCTGAGAGCATTAAGCAAGAATTTGCATCTTTTTGTCAAAAAAAGATTTTTTTTTTTAAATTCTGCTATCTGGCTTGGCTATTTTTGGCTTTAAATGTGCAAACCCATTGTCAGTTCTCTAAAGTATCCAAATTACAACATAAATATTAGCGTGCCAGTGAGGGAGCCTTTGAAAACCTTACAATATCTGTAGCTGGATAGTGAGGTAGTGAGATAGTGATGAGTAATAAGTAAGTGTCAGAATGTTAATATAATGTTAGAATGTTAAAATATTAACTGTTAGAATCTTAGTGTTTCTGAGCAAGTAAAACATTAATAGTGAATTATTTTTTCAGGTACTTGACTAGATTTCTCGACTTCCTGTACGTATAGACTGGGTATGTGAAGTGGTTGTGGTAGTCCAGTAATTACACTCTGCATGGAACGCTGTAATGAGGACCATTAGGTGTGGGGAATATATGCAAATTAGAAAGGTGTTTACTGTGCAAATGATGCTTCTGTTTATAGAATCATTATTTAAAGTTTTATCATGTCTTTTCTTGTTTGTGATAAATTACTCGAGCACTGGCCGCATATCTTGGTTTTATATATATATTGGTAAAACAGTTCTTGTAAAACTCATATCCAGTACATTTTACAAGCCAGAAAAAAAAACACATGTGAGTTTATAGACAGAGGGATGTATAACTAGATACAGATACCAAGGGAGTAGAGAACTTCAATTCAATACCAGCGGCACCTCCTACAATGCGCTCCATGTGTTAGAAGTGTAGGGGTATATGTGCAAGAGTTAGTGTAATATTGTAATTATGTATTTGATATTGGTTATTCTATTATGTCTGTGTGTATTTAGTAGATGTGTATCTGTGTATCTGTTAGATATTGGTTTTACAGTTGAATATGTGTATTATATGTGTTTATGTGTGTGTATATTAGTTAACCCCTTAAGGACAGAGCTTCAAAAGCTTGTCTTTCACTTAATGACAACAGCATTTTTTTTCATTTTTGCTGCTTGCGTTCAACTGCAATTTGCATTTTACGAATTTATTGCACCGACACATATTATATACCGTTTTTTTAAAGGACAGAAAGGGCTTTAATTTGATGTAATATATATATATATATATATATATATGCTTATTTATTATAAAAATATACAGAATTATGCATAAAAAAAATTTGTGTTTTTTTTTACAGTTTTTGCAATAATAATGTGTGCACAATTAGTGCAGGTTAATGAAAGTAAATTCATTTAGTTGTTCTGATTTACAGAATATATAATGTGTCTGGGATTTTAAGTTTTTTTGGTAGTTATAGGTCACAAAGCACAAGGAGTAAAATAAACTTTTAATGTGGAGCGCTTTTAGAATTTGGTATGTTTGTCTTGTAAGCTTAATAGCCATAAAAGAAAACAAAATTGCCACACAAAAGTATATATTTATATAAAGTAGACATCACAGGCTATTTACCTGAGGTTGATTTGACACTTTCTACGTAGCCATTTCACCGCCAACCTCTGCTAAATATTGGAGTAAAATTGTGGGTTTTTTTGGTTTTTGGCACACATACTTATAACAAAGAAATTCTCATGTATATTTTGTAAAATTGGTGTGTGCTATTCCTGAACAAAATTTTATTTTGTGTTCAGTTACATCTGCGGAGTAAAATGACACCCCCATTGTATGTCTTTGGCACTATTTCGTGAAGCTACAGTGCCATATAGGAGACCTGTCCTTTTAGGTATTCACAGTAGAATTTTGAGAGATGGATTTAATGAGCCTTAGCTTCCATTTGGGTTTTATAAAATTTTGACTGTTCAAAAAAAAAAAACCACAAAGGCCTACCATTTGTAAAAGTAGACACTCCAGGGTATCTCATAAGGTGCATATTGTGCCTTAACATGCCCCCATTTTTTCACCAATGTATGCCAAAGTATGTGGTAAAAAATAATTTTGTGCATTTTTTACATACGGATTGCATTTTTGCTGGGCATTTTGTATATTTCATATGTGCTACTAAGTTCAAACCTCCCAAATTATGCTCAGCTAAGTCTTCTGAGTAAAAAGACACCCCCAATGAATGTCTTTGGCACTATTTCATGAAGCTACAGTGCCATGTAGGAGACCAAGCCATATCAGTTTTTACTGAACTTTGAATTTTGACGCTGGGCCTATGTGCAATTTCCAAGCATCTTCGCAGGTTTTAAATTCAAACTACCCCACAAAGACCTACCATTTTTTAAAGTAGACACCCCAGGGTATTTCAAAAGGTATATTTTGAGCCTTAGCGTGGGATCATTTTTCCGCTAGCTTGTACCAGGTGGTAATAAGCGTTTTTTCTGCCTTTTTGATATACAAAGTGAGTTTGCACAGTATATTTTGCAAACCTTATGTGTGCTACGACTGTATAATACTTCATATGTTGCTCAGCCTTTTTTTTTTTTACCGTTAACTCCTAACTAGCAGTAAGCAGCACTAACAGTAAATTCCCCATTTTACCATAACTCCCTCCCACCCCAGCTAGCAAAATATATATAATTATAAAATATTTAAATTAATTAAATAAAGAAATTGAACCCCTGAGGGTTAAAAAATTAATAAAAGTTAATCCTCAGGGGTTAAAAAAAAATTGATCACAGTATAATACTGTGATCTGTATTTGATCACTGTAGGCAGTGATCGACTGGCAGGGAAGGGGTTAATTTTTATTTGGACTGGGTAAAGGGTTTTTTTTTTTTTTTTACTTAAACGTTATTAAAACTTTTTTTAAGCTTAATTTTTAACTTTTTAAAGTTTATTTTAAAACTTTTTTTAACGTAATTCCCCACTAACTTCCACCCACCCCAGCTAGCTAAATATATCATTTTAAAATATTTAAATTAATTAATTAAATAAATTTAACCCCAGAGGGTTAAAAAAAAAAAGAATTAACCCTCAGGGGTTAAAAAAAAAATCAGATCATAGTAAAATGTAATCCCTGCCAATTGATCACTGTAGTCAGTGATCAATTGGCAGGGAAGGGGTTAATTTTTTTTGTTAAAATGGGGTGGGATTTTAAATTAACTTTATTTTTTTCCGGCAAGGGGCAGGATCATCACTGTTCCGGCTCCCTGCACTTCACACAGAACCAGGAAGTGCAGGGAGGCGGAAGGTAAGTATATGCAGCACATGTGTTTGCTCTGACATGCGGTCAGAGCGAGCACATGTGCTGGGCAGCCTGATCAGGTGCTCCCGATCTGCCTCTAATACACAGGTAGACCGTAGCACCATTAACCCTGCGATCGCCGCGATAGCGGCGATCCGGGGTTAATTTTACCGCGTGACGGACAAGGTCCGTCACTCGTCATTAAGGGTTTCCCCTGAGTGACGGACCTCATCCGTCATTCGTCCTGAAGGAGTTAAAGGGACACTATAGTCAAGAGAACCAGTACAGCTCATTGCAGTCGTTCTGGTAAGTATATTCAGTCACTGCATGTTTTTTAATGTAAACACTGCCTTTTCAGAGATCACTCATGATAGCCTCCCAAATGCTTTCCTATGGGAAAGCATTGGATTGGTTGAGATCGTTGTGAGAAAATCAGCATTTTCTAACTTTGTTCGTATGATATTTCGGATTTTTTGTTTATATTTAATTTATTTTTTCAGTAGTTTTCAAACTACCGAACGACCGACCACCCCTATGGCTCATTATTACTAAAGGAAACCTTCAATTAAGTGCTCTCTATGTGAAGCCGCCGTTCGTATAGCCAAAAGCCACTTGGAAGAGAAAACGGCGGCCATCTTGTTTGCACGAAAGGAGGCAGCGGGACTTGGTCGTCGAGTGTCTGGAACTAAAATCGGACACTCGACTTCCCGAAACACCGGTCAAATTGACGAATGCCTGCTTCCTTTTCCCGAACAGCTGGAAGAACGCTGTTCGGTAGTTTGGTTCCCACGAACCAGGGGAACAATCGTTGCTATGAGCCAGAGGGATCCATTTGTGCATTTGTTTGGTTTTATGACTTAACGAAATAGACCGACTGCACAGCCTAAACACATGGAACTGTTTATGGGTAGGATCCTCGTGTGCGGTCGGTCAAAGGGGACTTCCATGAAATTCGAAAACCCCTGAACCAATCTGGATGATTTCTGGATATGTTGGTCACCCAGCTCGGGGCTTTCAGGGGATGTGACATTTGTGGTGGTCCTGTATGTTTTCCAAGTATTGTGAAAATTGACCCAATTATCTCCAGGCAGAGAGGAGGGAATTAACTGTTTGTACTAGGAGTGTCACTGTTTGTCCCTGTATTGTTATTGGTTGTACTAAGTTGTGTCCCTGTTTTCCACCAGGTCCAGGGGGTATTCCTCTGGCCTGGAGAATCGCATGAAAGCCAGTGTGGCACAATAAAATTTCATTCCTGTTACACCCTTCATCATGTTTCGGCTGAAGTTTGGGTACCTGAGTACTGCTTTGGGGAAATTCTGCTTGGACGCTGCTTCTACTCTGGAATAATAGACAAATGGAAATCCGAATCTATAATCACTCTTGCTCTTAGCCGTTCGGGTAAAAAACGATGAATCCCTAGCTACCACTTCAGGGTTTGTCACAATCGTCAACTTTGATGATCTCAGCCATGGAGGTGGAGCCAGTGTAGGTGAGTAAAAACACATTTCCCATGCTAGCGGAGGGGGACCAGTGACCTAAATAGCTTAACACTATAGTGTCAGGAATACATGTTTGTGGTCCTGGCACTATAGTGTTCCTTTAAATTATGCAAAGAGCCCAGAAGGTGACAGAGCTGCTTTAAATATGGGTGTGTTTACTAGTGTTTGTTTATAAGATATGTTTGTTATAATGCTATATACACTGATCAGCAACAACATTACAATCACTGACAGGTCAAGGGATGGAATATATTAGGCAGTAAGTGAACAGAATAGTCAGTCACATATAAGATGTAGTTTATTCAGTTTTATGTGTGTGTGTGTTAGTGTATTAGATGTTGGCGTTTTGGTCCGGTGTGTGTGTGTGTTAGTGTATTAGATGTTGGCGTTTTGGTCCCGTGTGTGTTAGAGTATTAGATGTTTATTCAGTTGTATGTGTGTGTGTTAGTGTATTAGATGTTGTTTATTCAGTTTTATGTGTGTGTGTGTGTTAGTGTATTAGATGTTGTTTATTCAGTTTTATGTGTGTGTGTGTTAGTGTATTAGATGTTGGCGTTTTGGTCCCATGTGTGTGTGTGTGTTAGAGTATTAGACATTTATTCAGTTGTATGTGTGTGTGTTAGTGTATTAGATGTTGGTTATTCAGTTGTGTGTGTGTGTGTGTGTGTGTTAGTGTATTTAAAGTTGGCTGTTCAGTCCTATGTGTGTTTATGTTAGTGTATTAGATGTTGGTTATTCAATCCTATGTATGTGTGTGTTAGTGTATTAGATGTTGGTTATTCAGTTGTATGTGTTTAAGTTAGTGTATTAAATGCTGGTTATTCAGTTGTGTGTGTGTGTGTGAGATGTTTTTTGTTATAGATGTTTGTTATTTAGTTTCATGTGTTTATGTGAGTGTATTAAATGTTGGTTATTCAGTTGTGTGTGTGTGTGTGAGATGTTTGTTATTCAGTTGTGTTTGTGTGTTCGTGTATTAAATGCTGGTTATTTGGTCCTATGCATGTGTGTTAGTTTATTAGATGTTGGTTATTCAGTTGTGTGTGTGTGTGTGTTTGTGTGTTAGTGTATTAGATTTTGGTTATTCAGCTGTATGTGTGTGTGTTAGTGTATTAGATGTTGGTTATTCAGTTGTGTGTGTGTGTGTGTGTTAGTGTATTAGATGTTGGTTATTTAGTCCTGTGTGTGTGTGTGTGTTAGTGTATTAGATGTTGGTTATTCAGTTGTGTGTGTGTGTGTGTGTGTGTTAGTGTATTAAATGTCGGCTATTTAGTCCTATGTGTGTGTGTGTGTGTTAGTGTATTAAATGTCGGCTATTTAGTCCTATGTGTGTGTGTGTGTTAGTGTATTAAATGTCGGCTATTTAGTCCTATGTGTGTGTGTGTGTTAGTGTATTAAATGTCGGCTATTTAGTCCTATGTGTGTGTGTGTTAGTGTATTAAATGTCGGCTATTTAGTCCTATGTGTGTGTGTGTTAGTGTATTAGATCTTGGTTATTCAGTTGTATGTGTGTATTAGTGTATTACATATGGGTATGTCTATATATTAGCTCAGTGGTTGGTAGTTAATAAGTACTTTATTCCTCTGTTCACACAAGGTGACTCTGACTTTTCATAGTGCAGTTCCGATATTTAAGGTGTTTGACTCTGCGTACAAGACTTGGAGCTCTCTACATGTGTATGTATGATCATATAGTTTTTCTTTTGGTTGTATTTGTGTTTGCTTTGACTTTCTGCTGTATATTGAAATAATCTCTCCAGGTCTGTGTAGAAGCACATAGTATTCTCCTGTATGTATACCGCTATGTTGGTGTTGATAAATATGTATAATTCATATACATACACACACACACAGACACACACACACAGTGTGTATATATATATCATTATTATTATTATTTTTATGTATTCTTTTATTTTTTCTGGTACACGCCATTCTGTATATTTTTGTAGCATACTGTTAGTTTCTATGCGGAGCAGGTCCAGAATTCTAATATACAGAATTGCGATGTAATCGGAATGCTTTAACATGTATACAGAGCATGTATCTGTATTGCTGAGTGAATGCTGTGTCTGGGTGCCATATTCAGCATGTTTTGCAGGGCTAGTCACTAGAGAGGGAATTTTAAAATGAATTTCAATATTTAAAGATAAAATAGCCCGACTGGTTTATCTTACAGTTCTAAAGTTTCCAGTCTCAATATTCTTTGAATTCCTGACCATTTTCACTTTAGTGAATAATCCTGTGTTTCTGCACAGACTGTTTATGAACATGTATCTGTACAAAAGTCCTTTTTTGTGTGACTGATTTATGTGTAAAGAATTCCTGTATGCAGGATATCCGTGTATGAAATTCCTCCATAGGTATGTATGTGTACTGCATTCCTGAGTGTAGGACTGCATACAGATTTCAGTGTTCTGTGCGTGTGTCTGTTTTATTGCTTATCGTGTGATATCTGTGTATTATATGTGGCTGGAATTCTCTACACATACAGGAATTTTATACACATACACAAACACACAAAAACAATCAGGGATTTTATCCACAGATACACATTCACAGGAATTCTATACACAGACATACATTCTGTCCACAGATACACATTCACAGGAATTCTATACACAGACATACATTCTGTCCACAGATACACATTCACAGGAATTCTATACACAGACATACATTCTGTCCACAGATACACATTCACAGGAATTCTATACACAGACATACACTCTGTCCAGATACACATTCACAGGAATTCTATACACAGACATACATTCTGTCCACAGATACACATTCACAGGAATTCTATACACAGACATACATTCTGTCCACAGATACACATTCACAGGAATTCTATACACAGACATACATTCTGTGCACAGATACACATTCACAGGAATTCTGTACACAGACATACATTCTGTCCACAGATACACATTCACAGGAATTCTATACACAGACATACATTCTGTCCACAGATACAGGCATGCTGTACACAAAATCGCATACATTTGTAAAACTAAATGCATGCATGCTTTACTCTGATTTTTGACTCTGCACAGTGCCTATAATACATGCAGCCTCCACACTCAGCACAGAACCTATAGTGCATGCAGCATCTACACCAAGGGTATCCAAAATATATGTAGATCCCCAGATGTTTTAAAACTACAACTTCCATGATGCCTTGTAATTATAAAGGCATGCAAAGAGACACAAAGCATCATGGGAGTTGTAATTCCATGGGACATGCACCTCCACACTGCATACAGCCTCCAAACTATGTGCAATACCAATAGTGTATCCAGCCTCCACACTCCGCGCAGCATGCATAGTGCATGTACTATTATAATACCCATACTGCATGCAGCTTCCACTCTGCACACAATGCTCATAGTGCATGGAGTCGTCACACTCTGCGTAGCACCCACAGTGCACTACAACCACACCCAGATTCATACATACACCCACTCATATTCATATATCTGGTCAAACATGGATACATACACTCACAGACAGACACACTGACAAACATCCACACAAAGACAAAAACTGTACCTCCAACATTTCAAATGTACAAAGAGGGACACTTTAATTTAAGTGGTGTAAGTGGGGTTGTATCCAAGGGGGAGCTGTTCTGAGAACTTTTAGGTGACTTCCCAATAACTAAAATGTAAATTAGAACAAGAACAATGCATTTTATTTACACAGACTGATTTCTAAACACATTTATTGCTGTGGAGTTCTGTTATACATTCAGACACACCAACAATATGGAGCTCCTGGAAATGAGGGACACTGATAGAAAAGAGGGACAGAGGGATTTGGGCCCAAAAAGGGATTGCTCCTACTAAATAGGACACTTGGGAGGTATGATGGCTACAGGCTTTTGGCCAGACATAAATGCCCGTGACTTCTTAGGGGGAGCATTTGCCCTAATGGTTCCCTCTGGATCTGTCACTGTAGTGCATGCGATTTCCACTGTCCGCACACACTCTCTGCAGCAGCCAGTACAGTACCTATAGTACAGCCTCCAGTTGTTGTACGACGTTACTATCCATACTGTATGCAGCTCTCTTACCAACATTCTGTTCCAATTTATCTTCTGCACTTGACACATTGGAATAAAATGCTGCAGCTTTGACATAGGCTAACATTTTGTATTTTTTAGGATTCTAGAGAAAGGGGTTAATACAAGAGCCTGTTGCATAAGATGTATTCATGTAGCATTTTTGGACAGAACTCAATGAGCACTTGTTGACTTTGGTCAAGGTCACTGGCCTAAAAGTCCCCGACACGTATTGACAACAACAAGAGATGACAGCAGAGGGAGCTCTAGAGCCGCATTTGTGGTAATCGTACACATTTTTAGAAAAACGGACACACAGCTCAATTAGTATAGAGGCAGATACAGTGCAGGGAGAGGATGTGGTGTGTTGCTGCAGAATGTACGTTCCAGAGTTACAGCGGAAGGAATGATGGTGGCACTAACAGGAAAATGGAAACCGGTTTCACAAAGCTTACTCGCTTAACAATCAATACTAAGCTAACGTAGAATTAAAGAATATTCTTGTACTAACAAGGGCAAGCCTTACATAAAAAGGAAATTTAGGCCCCACGCATCAAAAACAAACAAACAAACAATGTATAGTAACTGAGAAATTCTACCTTAACAAATACTTAGTGATTTTTCAACTATAATGATCTCATGTTTCAGTTGGTAAATAGCAGCTGTTTCAAAAACAGCACATTTTCCATCCATTACGGAAATTATCACGGCGCCACGACCCTCCTCTCTTGGTTTGTAACAAACATGAGAGGGATGAATTCATGACAATTTCACATAGTAGCTGCTGCCTGGTGGTGTAAGCCCGTCGGTTCTCAGACAGGCTGCAATATGAATATATAAGTTCTACAGAATGTTTAAAGAATTTGTTTGTTGGTTCCTTATCCAAGTATAATTATTGAAGTGTTTACCAGGTGCACAATGCCATTGAGGGAAGTATAAATACAGTTAACTCCGCTGCCCTTCTATGTTCATCTCCCATGATGCACCGGTTGTGCTCATCCACTCTTTGGCCTCTACAGAACATTATCCTATACAGTTTATTATGACGTCTAATGTCTCCGGTACCCCTCAATGGCATTAGCCTCTGTGATGAGTGAATATTTAGCTCTGACGAGTAGACGTGTGACATGACGTGGAACCACCGCGTCCTGCTTTCTGTGTGACATCATTGGTTCCCTGTAAGACACTGTTTGGCAGACACTGCGCAGTATCAGGAAACCTAATGTCAGCAGATTAGTTAGATTATACTCCCAGGTCTCAGCTGCCACCATTTCCATTTTGTACCTCTTCCCATAATGATATTGGAGTTGAATAGCTAAAAACACCACAACTCCCATCAAACTAGAGCAGAAGAGGAGATGTATGTTGCATTTTTCTCCCTAATTCACTGACACCCCGCTATTTGTGCACAATGTGGTGACAAGTACATTTTAGGACGGATTATGTCAGTACTTGAATAAAGGGATTTCACTATTCAATAGTATTGTCTGTATTTATATCTTACTTTTTTGTGCTACATGGGTTTATTTTTATTTTTTTTAAGAGAGAGAGGTGGTTTATTGTAAATCAAAATAGTAAAAAAATTTCTACTACTCAGATATTTTTCCAGCTCAACTACTTTGACGTACAATTTGCCATTCCCATTGTTAGTTCTCTAAAATGCATTTTAAGTGAATAACACCACTGTCTCCTGACTTCAACACCTTTCATAATGTTATGTAATTTACCTATTGTTTGCTAAATGTTTTGTCACTTCGTAAAATCAGCTTTATCACAAATAAGCATTGCAATGTTAGCATCTACCATCCTTATCTACATTTTATCTTTTCTATGTGTGCATCAACAGGTATCCCATAACATCTCATGGCATCGGAAAACCAACACTTAGACGTCTGTCCTTCGGTCACTGATGGTCCAGTTGTCATGAATCAGGCTGACACTGAATCCTCCCATAACATGCAAGGTCCCCAAGTATGCAGTGAAGATTCTAGTCTGAAGCTCTCCAACTACTGCACTGCAGATAGTGAACACCAGGGGGCAGCAGAACATCTCTTACCAACACAGAAGGAAAGTAGTGTAGAGGAACCTGTATTAAATAGCAATGAACGAGTAAAAAGAGAGGAGGGGGATAATAATAAGGAGCAGATAGCAGGACTGGAGGTAAATAGTGAGAAGCAGAGAATAGAACAGGAGGAAGGAACCAGCAATAAGCAGGAAACAATTGGGGCTGACACAAGTGGCAACAATCAGGAAGTAATCCAGGTTGAGGCAAGAACTCAGGGTCAGGATGGGACAAGTGACCAGAATAGTGAGTGGGCTACTGGACCAGATCAGGATGGGGCAACAGGTGAGATACATGAAACAGGCCATGGTGAGCAAATTGCTATTAAAGAGCAGGAGAAGGCAAAGTTAGAGAACCAGGAGGGGATACGTAGAGAGGAACATGCAACAGACACGCAGGAGACAGGTACATTTGACAGTGAACCTGAGCAGGTGAAGATACGTGGAGAGGGACCAGACGTAGGGGGAGATGGGGCAAGGAGTGTAGAAACAAGAGAGGGAGAGACCGAGGCTGTAAAACTTGCCTCAGAAGAAGGAGAGAAGCCAAAAGAAAATGGTCAAGGGATGGGGGAGCCTGGTGGACATGGCGGATCCTGTGACATAGAGATGGAGGGAAAACGAACAGAATTATCGCCGGCAGAAGCAAATGGTGAGCATACAGAGCAACAAATAATTACAGATATATTAGAAACGGCAACAGGAGACCAAAGGGAATGCCTGGATCAGAATGTTAGAAGGGGAGGTAGCGACGCACAGCTGACAGGAGACACAGGAGAAGGGAAAGACGGCCAGACTATAGGAACCTTTGAGGATGTACCTGGTACCTGTGTAAAGGAAACAGGGGCACAGATGAAAGAAGTAGAGGTAAATGAGGCAGAAGAGGGGAGAGTTCCAGGTGAACATGGGACAAGTGAAGACGTTTGCTCAGAAGCCCAAGTGACAGCGGGAATGATAGGTGCTGACATACAGGTGACAGCCGAGGAGACAGGTGAAAAGGTGACAGCACAGGGTACAGCTGCAGACGGATATGTGATAGGAAAGCATATACAGTTGGCAGAAGAAGAGACAGTTACAAGTATACCTGTAACAGGAGAAAGGATAGATACAGAAACCCATGCAGATGTGCAAGTGACAGGTACAGTTATACAGCCGACAGGTGACAACTCAGCTGTAATAGAAGACATAAGCTCCTCAGGTAACCAGACACAGGAGTTGTCATTTGCAAGCACTCAGGGTGCTGTTGAGGAATTTACAGGTGCACAGAAAACAAACATAGAAGTAAAGGTAGACATAGCAGGTGAGTTTGGAACAGGTGGACAGGTGAGTACTTCAGGTGAGAAAGCAGAAAGGGAGGTGACACCTGATTCTGTCCCTGGCTGGGAGGGGACAGAAGGGACAGACCGCCCAGCAGCATGCTGGGAGAAGGAGTGTCCGTCTCTTACCGGGAGAGAGGAGAAGGTAGACACTGCTGGGCAGGGAGAAACTCAAGAAGAGAAAGCAACTGAGAAGGAACTGAGCTGCAAGACAGCAGCAATGAAAGACAGGGAATTTGTAGAAGTGGGGGAGATTCCCCCGGCCGAGACCCCCATTGAAAGGGAAATTCGACTGACCATGGAAAGGGAGAATGTTCTGCGCCAGGAAAGGGGCATCAGCTCGCCTGTGGGACAGTCTGAGTTTGTGGAAGTGCGAAGGAGGACATTATCAGTGGAGGTAGGACTACCTGCTGGCAAGGAGCGTCAGCTGGCAGGCGCCCAGATGCAGAGGGACATCCAGCAGGAGACACGCAGGGAGCAGGACCTGGTGGAGCTGGGCAAGGTGATGGGCACTTATGACCGTGGACCTCAGCAGGAGCTGCAGGAAAGAAAGCAGCTCTTTGAAAACTTTGCAACAGGTGAGCACTTAACTTCTAGTTTTCTCCTAGCCCAAACTTTCCTGCTCTTCACCTCTGCCAGTCATCTGACTACCAAACAGGGACGATGACTTCATCTCCTGTAGTCGCATTACGAGATTATCCGACTATTCTCCTGTCTCCAGGGCAATGAGATAAGAAGCCATTCATGCATAGAATGAATATACCACCTTCAAAAGCATTACAAAACCTATTCCTATTTTTTAATTCACTAAATTTTGATTTGGTTTTATGTTTAACACATTTCACTGCTATTGAATAAACTCTTTTAAATAAAAAATATATATATATTTTAAAAAACAGATTCCTTACTCCCGCCCCAATAAAAGATTATAGCTAACATTAGCTTGCATTAACCCCTTAAGGACACATGACATGTGTGACATGTCATGATTCCCTTTTATTCCAGAAGTTTGGTCCTTAAGGGGTTAAACATCCACAAATCGACAAGCAGGGGACATTGCAAACAAATTAACCATGTGACGATGTGATCTTACCTAATGGGTGATCCATGACGCAACCTGTTTTTAACCTGTTATGAACCAAACCCTATCTGTCCCCAGTCCACCCATCATGTGCTTGTTGTTTGCCTGGACTCCCAGGGGAGCAGTGTGTGTGTTGACATGTGCTGCAATCAGTGGCACGTCCTACACTGCTCTCTGCATTGCCTAATACTGAGTTAAACTACTGGGCCCTTTATCCTCCCTCATTTATCCTTTCACCACCTCCTCTCTCAGCTGGGAGAAACCAGGCTGCCTGCACACCTCTTCCTTATTACATCCAATATCATTGTGACTCTCCTCTCATTTTCTGCAGGGTCTCTCCTATAATATGTGGTCATCTGCTAAATGGGAAAAAAATAACATAGATCCAATGGGAAACATCGCATGGTGTAAAGGGTAAAAGTATGATATTGGCTGTTATAGTGGGGAAACAGGATAATATGTTAGGGAATAGCATAGAGCAGGTGTGGGCAAAATGTAGCCCTCCCTTGTCACCGAACTACAACCCCATAATACTTTGCCTGTTTACAGTCTAGTATACTTACTACGAAGTATATTAACCTACAAGAATAACTGCATAAAGTTGATCAAAGAAGGAAAAATGCACAATTATCGAGGTGGCGGATGGGATATAATTCTGACTGAAAAGTAACATAGGATTGGGATGTAGGACACGGCGGGGGGTAACATATAATTTATTAGGGGAGGGAAAGCACAGGATTTATTGGAGGGTGAGTATAGGTGAGTATTTATTAAAGGGTGAGATAGGTCAGTATTTATTAAAAAGAGTGGAATAGTACCGGGTTTATTATAGGATGATTTGTGAAATAGCACAGGATTTATTGGAGGGTGAAATAGGTCAGTATTTATTAAGTGATGATTTATTAAATTATCAAATAGCACAAGATTTAATAAAGGGGTAAAATAGTATAAAATGTATTAAATTGTGAAATGCCATAGCAGTAAAAGCGTGAAGTACATATAAAGGCTGGGCCTGCTTAGGTTTATCCAGGGCCAGATTAAGAGCCCATTGGGCCTGGTGCTGGTGATAAGCCTAATTACAGAATCTTATCGACAGAAAACACTAAAACAGTTATACCTCCCAAGCGTCATGTATCTGGTGGATGTTGTGCTGGAGGGAAACTCACAGGATATAGCTATACGTAAACACATAATATCACTAATATCTCAACCAAATCCATACCCTCTAACAGCGGCATCCCGTGAAGCAGCATGTTGTTGGGTGGGGTAAAATGGTGGCCCACTGCCACGTAAACAGCAATGCCCAAAGGGTTGGATCTGCCCAGAAATAATTGGAAGGTTAGCCCGGCGTGAATACATGCCAGTCTGCCCGCCAATCATGCAGGCTGTCCAACTAAGGGCATACTATGCAGACAACACCCTGAGATTGGCGCAAATGCATCCAATAAGTGGCGTAGCTAGAGCTTTTGCCGCCCGGGGCTGTCCCTGAGCTTGCCGCCCCTATCTCGACCCAAATACAAAATCTTTTCCATCACAAAAGATTTTTTCATTGAAAAAGTTCCAATACAATTGTCAGTTTCACCAATAAAGTGGCAATGTAGAATTATTGGTGAAACTAACAGTTGTATTGGCACTTATTGAAGAGGGCTTCTGTGAGTGCATGGAGAGAGGGGGGCTGTGCAAGGGAGGGAGGGGGACTGTGCGGGGGCGGGAGGGGGACTGTGCGGGGGCGGGAGGGGACTGTGCGCGGGGCGGGGGGAGGGGGACTGTGAGGGTGCAGAGAGAAAGGGGGTCTGCGCAGAGAGAAAGGGGGAGAGAGGATCTGTGAGGATGCTGGGAGGGAGGGTGTCTGTGGGTGCATGGAGAGAGGTGATCTGTGCAGGGGATGGGGAGGAGATGTGAGGGTGCTTGGAGAAAGGGAGTCTGTGAGGGGGGAAGCCTGTTCAGGTAGGGAGGGGGTCTGTAAAGATTTAAAGGGGGGACTATGCAGGGAGGGAGATAGGGTATCTGTGAGAGTAGGGTGGTCTGTTCAGGGAGGGAGAGGGTCTGTGAAGGGAGGGGGTCTGAGCAGAAAGAGAGAGGGTTTGTGAAAGGAGAGTGGAACTGTGAAGGCAGGGGGGACTGCAGGGAAGGAGAGAGGGGATCTGTGAAGGTGGGGGGGACTGTGTAGGGATGGAGAGGGTCTGTGAAGAAAGGGGGGCTGAACAAGTAGGGAGAGGGTCTGTGAAGGGAGGGGGTCTGAGCAGGGAGATAGAGGGTCTGTGAAGGGAGGGAGTCTGAGCAGGGAGAGAGAGGGTCTGTGATAGGATAGTGGAACTGTGAAGGTGGGAGTACTGTGCAGGGAGGGAGAGGGTCTGTGAAGAAAGGAGGTGCTGAGCAGAGAGAGGGTCTGTGAAGGGAGGGGGGCTGTGCAGAGAGGTAGATGGTCTGTGAAGGGTGGGGGGCTGAGCAAGAAGGGAGGGAGGGGTGGCTGTACAGGTGAGAGCATACCTGCCAGACAGCTCTCCATCTTCTCTCTCCTAGGACAGGAGGCACAGGAAGCGACCTAATTTCCCATCCCTCCTGCCCTCTTCCCTTCATACTGAGCCCTGCATGGAGGAGACCTGGCAAGCAGAGCAGACTCGCTGCCAGGTCTCACTCAGGAGGAATTATTTTTCTGTCTGGAACTTGCCGTCCCCAAATAATCTAATGATGTGCTCGCTCTAAGCTTTCTGGGGACTGTTCCCTAACACTCACTGGTCCACCCCTCTTCTAACCTTCTTACTAGCAGGCAGATGCACCTGGTATACAGAAAAAACAGAAACATTTGGGATATGGCTGTAAAATTTAAAAATAAGGAACAAAAAAAAATATATAGTGTAATACAATTTGGTAAGCAACTATGCGCTTAATGAAATGCACTCACAGGATAAGAATGGTAATTGCGCTCAAGGGTGCCTCCCCCGATGTTGTTGGGGGGCTCTCTTTTTTCCTCCTGTTGATCTGATAGGGTGGATGTAAAACAGGACTTCAGTAGGTAGTAAAAAAAAAGGTCAGCAGCTTTACTGGAAGATGAACAATCACCCATAAATAATAAAATATAAACAGCAAAGGTCCTACGCGTTTCGTTCCCAGTACTGGAACTTCCTCAGGGACCATACAAGTTAAAATCAAATACAAATCCTGGTATACAGTCTGGGACAGAGAAAATGTGGATGTAGTGAGTGTAGAAGAAGGGACATACCACAGTGTTGGCACGCAAAGTCAGACTTACATTGTCAGCCAGGCCACACGTTTTGTTCCTCTACATGTCTCCTATGTTCCCGTACTTCTTTGCCTCTGCACAAAGCAAAAGCATGTAAAGAGTAGTTTAAAAAAAAAAAAAAAAAAAGGCGCTGGATTTATCAACAAAATATTTTAGTAGAACATTTTTTTCCAGATCAGCTTTTTAGCTTGAATTTTCCACTCAGTTTTAATGTTTCCACTCAGTTTGAATTTAAAGTTTAGTAAATAAGCACCCTGAGTGATAAACAGGCGTTGTGTTTGGATGTAAACACACTAGTAAGAACAAGGCTACAGAGAAGGTGTGCCTCGTGTTAAAGTACTTAATTCTGCCTGTGAATTCTAGATTGCGAAAAGGCATAGAATGTTAAGTACTAAACAGAGCTATGGGATCAATTAACAACTGAATATTTAAATTAAGTCTGAAGTAGCCAAGTTGTGTGCCTATTAATTATTTATTATCGGTTTGGGAGGTCACTCACTTAAATGGAAATTGTGGAAAATTGAAAAGGGAATTGGAAATAGACCAGGCTAGCTGAGCTGGATAATTTTTAAGTGCAACTATTCTGGCCTAGTTTTTGTAGTCTGGTTTTCCTTTAATTTTAAGCTATCACAGGCCGTTTAAAAAATTGCTAGATATATAGCAAAAGACAGACAAGTCTCACAGGATAGATGGATGGATGGGTGGGTCTGTTGGTGCGTGGGTGGGTGAATGCCGACAGTGTTTTCACAACTAACATTTGGGACAAGCACGTGTAAACATTAAACATGCAATAATATAATATATAAAAGTGCCATTTGTATTCATGGATATTTACCTGTATTGGCCGAGTTGTTTCTAAGCTAGAAATTTAAGCTCATTGAGCAGGGCCCTCAACCCCTCTGTTCCTGTGTGTCCAACTTGTCTGGTTACAACTACATGTCTGTTCGTCCACCCATTGTAAAGCGCTACGGAATTTTTTGGCCGCTATATAAGTAATAACATAATAATAATAATTTAGTCTATTGCAGTGACCTAAAAGTGATACTGCCAACAATTCAAGGTTTAGTGAATAAGACCTGTGTGTCTTGTCCATTTCAATTCATTTGGAAAAGGAAGATATTTATCCAAGATTGAATGATACGGCTCATTTTGTGCAAAGGAGTAGGGTTCTCTCAAGTACTTAATGTTTATTTTATACTAGAGAATTTCCTGCAATATTTATTTAAAATCCAACCACTGCCCTTTCTAAACATACTCAGTGTGCAAACTCCTCATTGGTTTCTGGAGCAGTCATTCATTATCTAAAAAACTCTTCCAACCCAGGCTCCTGTCCGCAGCGGGATAAAATGGAAAATAATGAGGCTCGAATCAATATGTGACACAAGTTCTCAGTCTTTATTCAATAAACATCAAATTATTGTGAAAAGTAAATTGAAAACCAAGTTGCAACGTTCAGGCTTACACAGCCGGTGGTTAATGCAGAGTTGAAATTTGTTTCCAAATTAAATATTTTTTTGCATTTCAGTTTATAATTCAAGCCTGTTTGATGTTTAGTAAATAAACCCCTTAGCTTTGCCCTAACGATCCATTGTACGTGCAATGGATATCTTGATGGGATACCTGTGCTAAAGCAGAAGTTGCATTATTTGAGGAAGAATTGTTTAGGGGTGCCCAAAAGGTAAATCCCAGGTGTTTTGAAACTACAGCTTCCATGATACTTTGTAATTCTAAGAGCATGCAAAGCATCATGGAAGTTGTAGTTATACAACATCTGGGGAGCTACCATTTGGGCACCCCTAGTTTAGAGGAACCCCCCCTCACAACCCCCAGTGCAATAAAATGTAATAAAATAAAGATTTACTTAAGTTTTTCCAGTGCCACGACTCCATTAGAGCTGTTTACCTCTCTGCCTCCCGGCAAAGTCGTGGCGTGGTCCCAATATGTGCTCCTCATAAGAGTTTTACATTGCAGGGTTAAGAGGAAAGGGACACTGCACCCAGACCACTTCATTGAGATGGGGTGGTCTTGGGAACTATAGTGTTCTTTTAAAATGATGTTGTTTCTAAAGCTAAAAATTATCATAAAGATTTTCTCTTTGCCTCTCCACTGGCACAGTATATACTTACAGAAGAGCCAATGAGCCAACGCTTTTCTCAGCAACCTGTGTCACCTCTTGGAAATGGCAAATTGTTGGCTAAAGCCACCAAATTGTCTAGGAAGGCTGTAAAGCTGGATATCATGCCCTTGTGTTGTTTGTAATGTCTTGTACCTAGTATTTTATTAATTGCCTGAAGCTTACAGGTTCAGCTCATGTCTATTACTATGAAACCACAAGCCATCAATTAACGATTAACTAACACCTTGTGCCCCATTGTTTCTTTGTTTCTACATAGTTCCCTCGGAACCTCCCTCCTCAAAGAGACAAAGCACATCTTCACAGATTGTGGTTGCCGAGGTTCCTATGTCTGTGGCCCCTGCAATATTCAACAATGTGGCTCCAAGTGCTCCGAATGCTGGTGTTAAGAAAGGACCCTCCTTTACAGAAGCCAATGGAAGTAACATTATCCTAATAGAACACAGCTCGATTCTCCAAAGGTCTGCCCCAGTAAACTACTCAGCCGCATCTGCCCCCGCGGACCTTCCTCGCCCAGCAGATGTTCCTCGCCTCGCGGATCTTCCTCGCCCTGCCAAGTCAGATTCTCCCCAGCCTGCTCCTGGAAGCCCTTATCAAATATTGCTCTCCCCCAGCCCTCGCTCGCTGCTGGAGAAGGAGATTGAAGAGGTGAAGGAAAGAGAGAGGGAACTCAGGAGGCAGAGGAGCAGTGTGTATGGCAGAGATGAGATTCTGTTGGATGACACCAAACAGAAATCTGACGACAGAGGGGAAGTCCTTAGTGGGATCTACCAACCAGGTGAGAACAAGACATTGCCCATTGCAGTACGGGCATGGAGCTCAAATTCTTGTAAGCTTTACTAGATGGTTAACTGAAGCTCAATTTGTTGGGGGCAGCCAAGGTAGACACATGCTCAGAGTTAGTCACTAAGAAATGAAGAATTGCTATGAATTCACACAGAAATTGCAAATTTAAAATAATTGAGCTGAAAAAATATGCAGAATATTTTTCCCTATTTGAGCATTCTAGCCCAAAATGGCCAATTCCTATGTGAATCCCCTACAATTCATGGTCTAGTGGATAATGTCTAGTTTTTTCATTAAACTGCAAACTGTATAGGTTATTTACTAAATCGTGACATGTTAGGAATTCAGCAGGCAATAGAAGATATTGGGTCATAATATACAAATCTCCAAGCATTATAGGGACACTATAAGCACCAAAAGAATTTTAGCTTAATGAAGCCCTAGTCACACCTCTGTGCATGTGACTTGCACAGCCTTCCTTAACACTTCCTTTAAAGTGAGATCTAATGTTTAAACTTCCATTATTGCACATTGTGTAAATTAGAATTTCTTATTTCCTGCTCTGTTAATAGCCTTCCGTACCCTGCAGGAGCTTCTGTGTGTGATTAAAGTTCAGTTTACTGAGCAGGAGATACAAACTTCTAAAGCAAGTTAACATCTTATTGAAAATTAAACCTTTTTTTCATGCAGGCTGTGTCCCTCACAGCCAGGGGAGGTGTAGCTAGGGCTGCATAAACTTAGTGATTTAACTCCTAAATGGGAGGTAATTGAGCAGTGAGACTGCAGGGGCATGATCTATACACCAAAACAGCTTCATTAAATGAAAGTTGTTTTGATCTCTATAGTAGCACTTTAATAAAGTTGTAGTAAAAGCAAAAAGTGTTAAAAATTCCATACAGATTTAAGTAAATAAAAAAAATCACCCACACATCCCAATACAAACCGTTGCCATAAATTAACATTCAATGTCTTTAAAAATATGACTGAATTTCTGTTTTTCATTGTTAATTAACAATTAAAAGACATCATTAAATAATAAGGTTTAACATTAAAAATGTATGTGAGTTTGAATGCACCCCATTTTTAGAAAGTTTAAAATCATCCGATAAGATACCTAGCAGATATTACACAACACAGCGTCATACCTTTTACTATATAACAAACCTTTACATTATTTGTAACTTGAAATAGAACCTATAATTCACATTTTATACAATATCATATATAGTTACATAGTTACATAGGCTGTAAAGAGAAGTGTCCATCAAGTTCAGCCTGCCTCACATTTGTTTTTTTGATGTTGATCCAAAAGAAGGAAAAAAACTGTTTGAATCACTTCCAATTTTGCAACAAACTAGGAAAAAATCCTTCTTGACCCCAGGTTGGCAGTCAGATTTATCCTTGGATCAAGAAGCTATTACCCTACAGTTGAATAATAATATAATTGAATATTATGTTTTTGCAAGTATGCATCTAGTTGTTGTTTAAACATCTGTGCAGACTCTGATAAAACCACTTCTTCAGGCAAGAATTCCACATCCTTAGTATTCTTACGGTATAAAACCTTTTCCTTTGCCTTAGACTAAATCTCCTTTCTTCCAGTCTAAACATGTGACCTCGTGTCTACTGTATAATCTTGTTTGTGAATAGATTTCCAGACAATGGTTTGCATTGGCCCCTCTAGATATGTATATAAAAGGGACACCATCACTTTTCTGGAAATCAAGCAACTGAATAAAACAATAAAAATTACCAATAATGTTTTTTTTTCATGTGACGCTCCATTTTCTTTTAAATTTATATCAAAGATTTAGCAAATGACCCTAATACAGTCAGGGCAAACACTGCAAACGAGGAAGAGTAAAAGAAAACTAGGAGATTATGTATAAAAATTGTCACATTGACTTTTGCGCCAGTTTTTGTGCGAATGCACAATTTTATGTACAAAACTGTCATTCCACTTTTGTACATCGGATATTTTTTGTTAAGCACCAAAGTAACCTGTCCTATCAACATTTTTTATTCTGCTTTTTAATATACTGCTTCTTTTTTTTTTTTTCTGATGATTATACCACTGATTACATTTACAAAATAAGACAATGCTAGCATAAAATATATGCAACAAAAACAGAGAATATGAGAACGAACAAAATCTGAGAGAAACTCCGTAGCTTGCCCTTTCGGTAAATCCCTGCTCAGGTCTCAAAATAGTTTTTGCTCACTTGTGCTATTACAGAGAGAACCATAGCAAGGTATATCGGACTAATCCCACCCATAAGGGCAATCCAGACCTGAAATGCCTTTAGGTTCTCTCTGCACGAGAGGTACAGCAACCCCGGACAATTATTTCGGCCTTCTTTGGGCCTCGTCAGCGAAATATATCTGATATCCCTTTAGGCACAGCGAGCACGGGATCCACGTCTGGACTACATCATTCATAGTTTGAACGACTTCTTTATTTCTTAAGCTAAAAGTAAGATTGTGAAAGCTGTTTACCCATCTCAGAAAACTGCTAACAGGGTGTTAAAAAATTACTGCAAAAAAAATGCACACCTCATTTTACACTAAAAGTGCACCTCAATTTTATATTGAGTTTGTGACCCAATATTGAACAGGAAGACAAAATTATATAAATAATAGTAAGGATTAGCGTAGTGCAAACAAGGGAATAAATAGGAGAAAATAGAAAAAAACACCCAAGATATAGCTTAAAATGTTTACGCTGGACTTTTTATACCTAATCCCTTTGTTTAAATTCTCCTTTTCTCTGTGCTAACTGCCAGGCAGAGGGCAGAAGGACAGGGCTTATAACAATGATTAACAGGGAGCAAAGATGGGGGCAACCAGTTGCAGGAAAGGGAGGTGTTCATTTCTTCATTTAATTGTTATTTTTCACTCCTTACAAATACATATGTGTTATATGTAAGAATGAGTAAACATAATATTAAAATTCCTGTGGGTGACAGATACTTTGAGTATTTTCATATCAGTGTGTGGGAAATAAAGGACATATAGATATCAGCTAGAGCAGACTCCCCCAAACTCCAGCCCTCTAGATGTTGCTGAACTACAACTCCCATGATTCTCAGGCTCTTTCATTCATAGAATCATGGGAGTTGTAGTTCAGCAACATCTGGAGGGCTGGAGTTTGAGGAAACCTGAGCTAGTGTTATGATTGTAAATATTGCATCATCACGCGTAGAATGATGACACTGCATGCTGCTAATGCATGAATGCAGGACATTTTCTGGGGTGGGAGGGGGGTAAGGGGTGGAGGGGGCATAATTGTAATGACATCCATGCTTGGTCCCTTTTTGACAGTGTCATGAAAGGGAAGGGGCATAGTCATTATCACATAAAGCCAGGGTGAATAGTATTTTCACAACTATGGTGTCAGGAATACATGTTTGTATTTCTGACACTTAAGCAAATTAAAGGAACATTCTGGTCACCATAACAACTTCATCTAAATGAAAATGCTATGATGCCAGGAAGCCACTGGGTGATCACTTTCCTTTAAGGGGTTAAACCGCTCTCTAATGGTTTAATCACAAAGGCTTCCTCCAGCTCCAGATCTCCAGGTCACTCAGTGGTATTCGGCTTCTGAAACGGAGTGTCAGGAAGTGCAGATTGACGTCAGGCATGGGTGCAGCTGATTGGCTAGAGTGGTCAGTGGACGCTCTAAGCCAATCGCTAGTTTTACTTTTTTATGAATGGGGAGCTATTGATTGGCTTAGAGTGCCAGCTGACCGCTCTAGCCAATCAGTGGCACCCCTACCCAGCAGCACTCTGTGCTTCCTGACACTCAGTAAATAAAAATGAACACATTAACATTGATATTTTTTTTTACCTGGGGAGATGAGAAGGTCCAAAGTTTCCCTGCCAGGCCCAGGTACCAAAGCCTTATGATGTGGTGTCCAGAATGAAGTGGAGGGTTCAAACAACTTGCCCTTCCTGCTTCAATCTCCTTTTCTTCTCCTTCATTTGACTCAGTCTTCTTATTATTCTGACACTGTCTTCTCTCCTCCTTGGCTCCTTCTGCTCCTTTACCTTTCTGTTTCTTTTGTGCCCTTCTGCTCCTTTCTCCTTTTGATCCCTTTCTGCTCCTTCTCCTACTTTACCTTTCTGCTCCTGGCTGTCTCTTCCTCTTCCTTTCTACTCCTTCTAGATGGGCCGAATGGTTCTTATCTGCCGTCACATTCTATGTTTCTTTGTTTCTCCTACTTTACCTTTGCGCTCCTTCTGCCCCTTCCACCTCCTTGCTACCCTTTTCTGCTCCTTCTCCTACTTTACCTTTGTGCTCCTTCTGATTCTTTCTGCTCCTTTACCTTTGTGCTCCTTCTGTCCCTTCCTGCCCATTTCTGCTCTTTGCAGACCCTTCCTGCTCCTTGCTGCCCCTTGCTGCTAATTTCTCCTTCTTCACAATTGTCCTCCTTCTGCCCCTTCCAGCTCATTGCTGACCCTTTCGGTTCCTTGCTGACCCTTTCTGCTCCTTTCTGTTCCTTTCTGCGGACGCCCATGGATGGACGCCAGCTTTAAATGTTCCTTTAACAAATTCAAATCACTAATAAGATATCTTCATTTTCTGAGATGAATTGTGATTTGTTGATAGAGAACTTAAAATAAGGGGCGCATGTTGTAAAGGGTTACTCCAACCAAAAAACTGTGTTTTGTTTGTTTTTAAACACAGTTTTTGGTTAGAATAACCCCTCCTATGCTGGCCTCTCCACCAAACATTTGACATCTGTAACCAGCATCCTGTGCAAGCTGGCATGAGATATCCAATATGCACAAAACTGACATTAGCTAGCCTGGAAATCTTGTGCCAGGCTGGCTAATGACACCCCAATGATGACGCTGCTCATAGTTAACCCCATGTGCAGCATTAGGCATCATGACCACTTCAAATGGTGCTGATGGTGTTCCTTTAAATAGCACATGTAAAGTGACTACCACTCTAAAGCCTAGATCAGTGCCTCACGCCTAGCAACAAGAGAACTGTGTTTTGTTAGGAATACACTAGGTTAAAACCAAAGTTTGTAAAACAAATAATACACCCTTTAATTTGCGCTTTAAATTAGGGAGTAAAATTCCTTAACACAATTAGTACTTCAGCAGTGATTAAAAAAACAAATAATCTTTGATGAGTCATTAAACTCACAGTTTCCTTTGACTTATTGTGGTTTGATGTTATCTGTTGTTTTTTTTTTTATTATTATTATTATAATGCATTATAGTCCTTTCTTAAAGAGTTCTCTGACCAGAAGTTTATATACACAATGTAGACATGGCTATGTAAAATAAATACTTTAGGGCTATAAGCAACGAGAATGGCCCTGAAGTATGTAATTTACATGCAAATAGCTAAATTACAATTATATTCTGTGTTACCAAAGAGTCTTAATTCTCATTTAGGCCTCTGCATAATTAGGACATTAATAATAGCAAAAAAGGTACAGTCAACAAGTCTGTAGATTAAAACAAAACATTTCTAATTTAGCGAATATAAAATATTGTGTATTGCAGAGCGGCCCAGTTGGAGAAAGCTGGAAGTGAACTGGCCCCCAAACCCAGAAGTGACTATGAACGGACAACAATCAGAACAGGTGAGATTAACCAATTATAAACAATAAATATAAAGATTAAGAAAGTTGAAATATAATGCTTCTATCACCTTGTGTAGGTCACCCAACCACATATAAAACTAAGTGTATTAAAAATAGCAAATTGTGGTGGGTTTTATCACATACATTGATTTTTAAGTGTGCTCTCACCATGATTTGCTATTTTTTGTACATGTGAGATGTCTTTAAATATTTGCACGTATGTTGATAATGGAGGGTACAATAATGGGCTCCCGCTGTGCCAGTTCATTCTCAACATTGCAGTCTATCTGTGCAGTATCTGTGACATTGCAATAGTGCAGGACAGTTGAAATCACTGCATTCTACTCAAATGAGTTGAACAGAAGCCTAAGGCTGTATTGTTTCTCTCAATTCACAAAAAGGTACATTTGCCTATTTTTACCGAATGTGCACTTCCATTTGGCTGCACTATGGTGCTCATTTGAAATTAGCTGGATTTCCATATAACATGGGTTATACAAATTCACAAACAGCTAAATTGCAACAGAATATCCTTCATTTGTTTGTTCACAGAAAAATTATAATGACCAAATGCAGGAGAACTGAGCGGAATGCAATCAGCGTTTAGTGAATAATAGTCCATTAAGTTTCTGTATTGAGCACAGTGTAATGTGTACTAGTTGTAAGCTAGCACTAGCTTCCTTTGGCACACAAAGGGATATTTGCAAACTAGGGAATCTTTGTGAATTGATCAGCGAATTGCAAATCTAAAACCAAAATAGATGATTTGGAAGCAAAGCTGAATTGAAGAACATTTTAAGTTGAACTATTTTAGGCTAAAGTTTGCTATAACTTGGTGATTTCTCAGTTTAGTGAATAACTTTGATAGTGTAATATTGTATTACTGAATGGCCGTCAATATCAGACATATTAAGTGTGTAAACAGAAGGCTGATATTGCAAAACAGAGGAGGTTGTGCGGTATGCAAGATGCAAGGCGGCAGACATAATGTAGTGGCGGTAAGGTAAAGGTCTATGAGGCTTATTTCAGTGGTGTGTAAGGAGAAAGCTTACGGTATATATAAAGGATGAGATGTAGCATGTGAAAATTGGCACTGTCTCTACTGTATGTAATTCAGCTGTGTTTAACGTGATAGCTGTGATAAACAGTGTGTAGTGGATGTAGTGTAATAGTGTGTAAGGCCATAGTGCAGGGTCCTCAAACTTCGGTCCCCCAGATGTTGCTGAACTACAAGTCCCATGATTCTTTGAATTACATAGATAGCCATGGGAGTTGTAGTTCAGCAACATCTGGGGGTCCAGAGTTTGAGGATCCCTGCCGTAGTGTATATATTTGTAAGGCGGGGGAAGCTATCAGTATCTGTACTGGCCATAGTGCATGAAGGGTGACTTCTAAATTACAGGTACGGACATAAAGCACTCTACTATATATTTAACTTAATTTATACTTTTTCCCGCAGACATTGGACAGCCCTCGCACACGCCGACAGCGCAGTGCTCTCATTCAGAGCTGGGAAGCTGGCACCCCAAATCCTCTTGAGGAGTAGTAGAAAGAGGACCCAGTGGAGAACTTTGGGACATTATTGTGACCTGTGGTTGGAATTGCTTTAACTTTCATGGACACTCAAACTGGGACTGAACCCTCCAACCTGCCTCTTATAATGCTAACGCGAATTCTATTATATTGCATCTTCTGGACACAAGGTGTTTCTGTCTGGCTTTGCCTATAACATCACATGATCAGAATCTAATCTGCCAATTATCCTTTTGTAATCTTAAATGACTTTAATTTGTAATAAATTAATTGAAAAACATGGATTGTGTGAAAATGTCAAGTGTTAAGATGTCATGACGATAATGTATGATATAAAATAGTATTTAAAGGGACATTCCTAGGTGAAGAATGAAAGGGGCACTAATTGGTGTCCTGCCTAGAGCCATGGATCGTAGTCCTTCTGTGACCATAACCACTACAGCATGTTTAGTGGCATTTGCAAATGGTATGATACCTGACCCTGTTGGGTGCCTGTGGTTCTTCTGATTTATGTCTCATTACTAGAGGAAATTCACACTTTTCATTACCATGCCAAATTTGGACATATTTCACTGGCTGAGAGCTGTAACAGAGCAGCTATAAGGTGCTGAGTTCTGTAATAGAGCAGTGATACTCGTAGATACAGGTAATTATAGGGTGAGGGGTCCTGTAATATAGCAGTGATAGGTACAGGCAGTTATAGGGTGAGGGGTCCTGTAATAGATCAGTGATAGGTACAGGGCAGTTATAGGGTGAGGGGTAATGAAATAGAGCAGTGATTGGTACAGGCAGTTATAGGGTGAGGGGTCCTGTAATAGAGCAGTGATAGGTACAGGGCAGTTATAGGGTGAGGGGTCCTGTAATAGAGCAGTGATAGGTACAGGCAGTTATAGAGTGAGGGGTCCTGTAATAGAGCAGTGATAGCTACAGGCAGTTATAGGGTATAATAGAGCAGTGATAGGCACAGGGCAGTTATTGGGTGAGGGGTCCTGTAATAGAGCAGTGATAGATACAGGGCAGTTATAGGGTGAGGGGTCCTGTAATAGAACAGTGATAGGTACAGGGCAGTTATAGGGTGAGGGGTCCTGTAACAGAGCAGTTATAGGGTGAGGGGTCCTGTAATAGAGCAGTGATAGATACAGGGCAGTTATAGGGTGAGGGGTCCTGTAATAGATCAGCGATAGGTACAGAGCAGTTATAGGGTGAGGGGTCCTGTAATAGAGCAGTTATAGGGTGAGGGGTTCTGTAATAGAGCAGTGATAGGTACAGGCAGTTATAGGGTGAGGGGTCCTGTAATAGAGAAGTGATATGTACAGGGCAGTTATAGGGTGAGGGGTCCTGTAATAGAGCAGTGATAGGTACAGGGCAGTTATAGGGTGAGGGGTCCTGTAATAGAGCAGTTAAAGGGTGAGGGGTCCTGTAATAGAGCAGTGATAGGTACAGGGCAGTTATAGGGTGGCGAGTTCTGTAATTGCAGTCTTATTTGAGTTTGTGCAGCCAGTTTTCACATTGCTTGCTTGAGATAAGAGCTCACTAATCAGCTCCTAATCTCAAATCAAATACTCGGCTCTCCGCCCTGAAAACTGGGAGTCAGGCTGCAGCAAAACGAGATAATGAGAGGGTATCAGTTAAACAGGATCTCTTCAAGCCGCAAACTACCAGGTTACTAGGGCAGGACTTACAGAGATGGAAAATAAGAGGTGAGAGAACAAGAGCAGGATTCCCAAATGTTTTGTACGTGTAGATTCCAGGTCCACCATGTTTTTCTGAACTCATAGGACTTCTACATACTGATGGGAACCCTTACAAAACTATTAGACAACCTTCTCCAGACAGAGACACACACACACACACACACACTCTCTCTCTTTGGTGTAAATTCAGAAATTGGGTTTTCAATTCACAATAAATTGATGTTATAATCTAAAAACCCCATGGTGTGAGAGAAATGGAGGCCCACAGGTGGAACTGAATTAAGAGAACAGTAACTATAATGGCGGCAAGGTGAAGACATGTGATGGCTGGCCATATTTGCAGTACACACATAATGAGCATGCAGGGGTGTGTACACACATAGATGGAATATATAGAACAGGTGTAGGTGCACTGTGTATACTCATTACTCAGGTACAGGCGTGCCTCCACCCACTCTGACATGCCAGGAGCTGATTCAGGGAGAGAGCAAAGAACATGACCGAAAAGCATGCAGACTTTGTATGTGTTGTAACTATGACACCTGCTTTAGGAATAAATCAGTTTCCCCCATCTCCTTTTTTGGAGAAACACAGATCAATTTAATTTCTGCTTCCTCTGCCTAAGGCGTGATGGACCAGTTAGTTTGCTATTGTACAAAACACCTGCTAGCGCAGGGTTCCGAGACTGCATTCCTCAACAGCCACAGGCAGCCAGACACACAGGTGTTTAAACCATCGGGTCCCTGAGTTGACCACATGTGCCAATCTGAATATATGTATCTTGGTTTATATTATTTATGAGTTGGATGTTGGATGGGTGGCGTATGAGTAGGCTTGCCGCGTCCATCATGTTTTTATGGACATGTGTTGGGTCTGTGTTTTGTAGGACATTTTCACTTATAAGAGCTGCCCTGCTCTTATGTAGCATTCATATGGGGGCAATTAGTTTACCAAGAAGAATCGTAACAGAACTGAACTGCCTTAATTAGTTAATTGAATTCTCTGCATTTGGATTATACTTGCTATAGGACGGTGCTTTCTATGGGCAGCCTATCAGTATACAGATGTAACTTCCAGGGAGACATGATAAATGTGTTCCTATGTATGTCCCATATTGGTGAAGTCTTGGGTTTTCCAAATGAAGAGGCAGAAGAACTCTTAAAACGGTATTAAAATGAGTGTCCTGGCAAAGCTTGTTAGACAGCTCTGATTACAGACAAGGACAATTTACAATGCCCTGCGGCCTCAGCTACAATTAATACCGGGAGTTAACGGTACCGGGATTTCTGGCCATAACTTAAGATAGACTGGCAATTGTTATCTAAGAGGTCGCATTAAAATAATACTATATGAAACTAGGTGCAGATTGACATGACTCTGGACCCTCAGGAAAAATATGGCTCTTGGTTCCAAGAAGTCCAATTATATCAATCAATTGTCTTAATGAGAAATTACATACCATATATGCCATCATGACGGGACGTGCCTTAACCTATATTCTGAATAAAGTATGTTAATGCATTATTTTTATTTTCATTATTATTTTTATATGCTGTCATTAAACTATATGACAGTAATGTTGAAAGAATGTATGTTTGTGCTTGTGTGTGTTTATTAATTATATATTAATAGTGTCTCAATATAAATATATATGTGTATGTGTGTATTTTTATGAATCCAGGTGCTTATGTAGGATTTGGATCAGTGCCATCTTAACAGCATTATGGGCCCCTGGGGCAAAGCAGTGCACTGGGACCCTGATTATGCAACTACTCACGGGAATAAAAATGTAAATTATCGATAAACTGAAGCTCATATTTAGTGGTACCTTCCACAAATGCAATACATACACAGAGACTGCTGAATAGAGACAGACTGCTGAGTACACACACACAGACTGCTAAATGCATACACAGGCTGCTGAACACACACACATACTGCTGAACACACACACATACTGCTGAATACATGCCGACTGCTGAATACATGCACACCGACTGCTGAAAACACACACAGACTTCTGAATACATGTACACAGACTGCTTAATACATACACAGACTGCTGAACACATAAAAACACTGACTGCTGAGTACACACAGACAGAGAGTATGGCGTGTGAGCGGTGTTGTGTGTGTGTGTGTGTGTGTGACAGGTGCTCTGTGTGTATGTAAGTGATGCTCTCAGTGTGTGTGTGAAGGGTGCTCTGTTTGTATGTTAGAGGTGCTCTGTGTGTGTGATGGGTGTTCCGTGTGTGAGAGGGTTGCTCTGTGTGTATGTGAGGGGTGCTGTGTGTGAGGGGTGCTCTGTGTGTATGTCAGGGGTGATGTGTGTGTGTGAGGGGTGCTGTGTGTGTGAGAGGATTGCAATGTGTGTTTGTGCGAGGGGTGCTGTTTATGCTTGTGAGGGGCGCTGTGTTTGTGTGTGAGAGAGGTTCTGTGTGTGTATGTGTGGGGGGGTGCATAGGCATAAGGTATATTTGTTTGTATTAGTTTTTTTTTAAATAAATAAAAGTTTAATGTCCCTCCGACCCTTCTTCTTACCTTTGGTGAATGGGGGACGATGACACTGCAACCGCTGGTGGTGAGTAGTATAGCTGTAGATATAAAGCCTGCAGCTCCTCTGGCTGTAGGCTGTCTTCACTCCTCCCGCAGAATGCTGTGTCTGAGCATTGCCAGGGCAATGAACGGCAACACCATGCCCAACATGCTCGTGGGAGGAACGCTCTGCCTCCCACGTCTTACCTCCCTCTCATTAACGAAGGGCCTTTGAGCCAGTGAGGAAGATCTTTGCCCAAATCATGTGAGCAGGGCTGGCTCTCCATGGGCTGGCATGGGAGATCAAAGGATCTCCTCTGTCGGCCTGGGCACAAGGGCATCGTACTGGGGCCCCTATGCTTGTATTTGTAATGTAAGCACAGTGTGAAAGTATTTTCTGAAAGAAATGTTACCCTTACCTCTTTTGTCATTATACCCCACTCACTTAGAATGTAAGCTTGTTAGAGCAGGGCCCTCAGTGCCTTCTCTTTCTCTGTTTACAGTTTGTCTTGTTGTGACGACGTTTTTGTTAGCTCACCGATTGTACAACAATGCAGAACATGCCGGCGCTTTGATAATAATAATAATATGTGTGCATGGTGTGAAAATGTGTTTCTGTGTGACTATGTGAAAGTGTGTGCACGTAAACATAATCCTTGTGCATACATTGTTTAAATACATTGTTAATGTGTGGGCGTTTTTGGAATCTGCTCTCTTTTTGACCTACTCTTTCCACTTCTTCGGCTAGTATCCTTTTCCGTTTGATTGGCACTTCCATTCATCATACCGCAAGGAAAAATCCTGAAGTAATAGGAAAAAAAACATTTGCTGAAATGTTTTTCAAGGAACACTAAGCTCTAGTCACCTTCTCCATGAGAGCCAGTAGCTCTCAGCATTGAGTTAAGCCCCGCAGTGCAGGACTTAGCTCATTGGCTGAGAGCGAACAGCTGACTCTCTCTAACAATGAGCAAGCACTAGCCATGCATGGCAAGGATTAGAAGCTCTGTGACAGATAAGTTGTCAAACCAATAGCAAACAGTTTGAGTACTTTGATTGGAGGGGGCACCAGGGTAATACAGGCACCATAACCATTACAGTGTAAGTATGGTCCAAAGGGCCTCCCTCCAAGTCCGCCCACAAGGATGCAGTGTGTGTAGGCTGGACACAAGGTGTGTGTGTATTGAACACCGTGTATGTAAAGTGGACACGGTGTGTGTTAATGATTGTGTAGTGGACGCAGTGTGTGTATATTGTGTGTGTGTATATATATATATAAAACAAATAGCATAGAGACTCCTGGAAGTGCTATCTCTACAAAGACAGCAGTAAGTTGGAGTGCATGGCTATTCTTTTGTTTGTATATATATATATACACATACATATACATACACACACAATGTTTGAATGTAAGCATCTTTTGCATGTTGTGTGTGAATGTTGGTGTTTGAATGCAGTGTGCATTTGTGTGTTTTGTATACAATACCACACACGCTGATACTCACACACAAATATACAGACACACAGATACACACACTGACATGTAGATACACACACAGAAACACACAGTGATTGGGAATGTGGGGGCTAGGCGGCCAGGACTGCCAGGCCCGTGACAACAATCATGGTTCTCACCCCCTGATGCTGGCCGTGCACATAATGGCACTGAAGATACAAACTGGTTTCTAGTAAATTGCTTTCTAAATAAATACACACACACACACACAGTTTGGACAGTAGTGAAAATGAACTTTCTTATCAAATAACATACTTCATTTAAACACGTTCTTTCCATTCAATCTGATTATTTACTCTTGTTATCACTCCACCCTGTTTCTCCCAGTAAAGTCACTCATTTGGTGCGATACTTGTAGCCTCTGCTGATGTGACCTCATAGTTCTACCAAGACTCACACAAGGTCCACAGAGACTCACACTCCTTTTGTTGTAGAAATTGCCTTTGTCACTGTGTTTTTATTGGTGCGTATTTTAGGTTTTGTTAAACAGGTGAGTCATAAAACCTCTCCCAAAGAATCGTATAGAAACACAAAATTCATGGCTCACAGACATTCACGGATTATCTCCTCCTCAGACGTAGAAAGTAATCTGTAAACAAAGATTAAATAGACCAAATCGATTAGCACACTTAGGAATGTTGTAAATGATCCAACTGAGATTTTTCAAAATAATTACCACCGATTGATCATCATTAACACTGTCTGGATCAGCTTATTCACTTAGATGGTGCTCAATCACCATGAGAATCTGTCCACTCAGTATCTGCTCACTCAGAGCTCTAACAGAAGAATATAAAAGCAAGGATTCCACCCGCCACTCCCCGCCATTTTTCTTTCAATGCATTTAAAGGAATACCCTAAGCACCAAAACCACTACAGCCCCATGATGTGGTTATGGTACTGCCCACAGTAAATGGTCAAACAGTTTTCAGTGCCCAGACATTGAATAATGTTCCAACTTGGAATAAGTTGGTATAAAAATGCCAAATTACCAGCTTCTGCTTTTGCGTATGAACTCAGTCCGGGAACAGCGTAGACGTTTGACCGAGCTTGGTAAGTGTCAAACTATTAATAAAGGAACAAGTCTAAGTTACATAAGCCAATTTATTATTATTATTATATGGAGTGTAAGCTCGTTTGAGCAGGGCCCACTTGAAACTATTGTTTGTAACTGTACGTTTTTGTAATTGTCTCATTTATTGTTAAATCTCCCCCTTTGATAATATTGTTAAGTGCTACGGAATATGCTGGCGCTATATAAATACCAGTAATAATAATAATAACCACTTGGTGTAGTGGTAATAATATCTAGAGTCTCTCGCTGCGGTCTCCCAGCTTTGTATCAATAATTTACAAGCAGTTTGACAACAGCAGGGACTCTCCACTTAACTTGGAGACTGCACCCCTACTTAGGCTTATTGATAATGCAGAATGACGCATTATCAATATGAGAGGTTTCCTGACATCTGGTAACACAGTGCGCCAAACGCTGTAGACCTAGATGGACAAAGTTTTAGAGGGGTTTACGGGTACTTGCCTTCAAGTCCTATTACTTCACAGTCCGCTGTAATCTTAATGTACGTGCCACCAAAAGCCAAGTAGCTTTTAATCCTAAATCTATCTAACTCTAACACACCCTATCCATAACCGTCAGTCCCCCGACCACAACCAACACCCTAAAAACCCATCATACACGAAACTTACTATAGTTCAAACCTTTCCAACAGCACCATGTTTAAGGAAAACTTCAAGCACCATAGCTACTACAGCTCACTGTAGTGGTTATGGTGCCCGGAGGAGAGTTCCTTTATTTTTTTTTATTATTAACTGTTTAATAAAGTTGCAGGTATGTGAATGCAGCATCAATATAAGATCACCCTTTAAGAGTAGGTACTATAAAGAAAAACCGATCTAATCTAACTTCACAGTAATTTCCATCATTAACAAGTTAGGGCTGTGTTAGTGAACGCAGACTGTCATTCTGCAATGTTAGGGTAAGCACACACTGCAGCTTTGTCCAAAGGTTACACTCTGCACACAAACACACAGTAAATACACAACTCCCATCCCAGAGCCAGGGGGTCACATGACAAGGACTGGCCAGCTAGTGTCATGGCGGCGCCCAGGCCGGCTTCATGCCGTCACTTCCGGTAACCCAAACAGGGACAGCATGGAGTTACTAAGGAGAGGATCAGTGAGTGCTGGGGGTCATGGTGGGATGTGGGGTTGTTATGGTATGTAGAAGGATCATGTTTGGCTGTAGGTATTCTCTGTGCTGTGCAATAAATACCAGTAATGGACACAGACACACCAGGAAATACACAGGATCTGGGATTCCAGAACATAGAACATTCAGAATTAGGTGTAAAAGAATCCAGGGCCAACGTTCTAAACGTGGAACAGTGACATGCAAACCAGTCCTGCTGATTGCTTTTTTTTTTATTTGCCCATAATTCCATATTACACAGAACCTTACCCTGGGAGCCTGGATACAAAAGGTTTCAGTGTTGAAGGTGATCCTGGATTTTACAGGACAATAGGGGACATTAGAAAGTGAAACAGGTGCTATTTAGTTTCCAAGGTGATTGTTCCTTATTTTAAACTTTACCCCAGAGTAGCACCTGAGTCGGACTGTCCCTCAAATGTATATCAGCTACAGAAGGGATAAAATCAATTTTAAAAGATGAATTTAAAGTGGGGTAAACTATTGTTTATCAGAGTTACAATGAGCCTGTTGCTATTATTATGGTGAGTATGCGACAAGTGATTGTTTATGTACCATATGAAAGAAAGATAAGAACCAAATACTATTCCTTAGTATGCCCCCCACCTCGCGTCTGCCATAAAAATAATTTTTAAAAAGCTTATTGCTTACCTTTTTCCAGCACCGATGCTCCCCCTGGCTCCACTTACCTCCCTTCTTCATGAAGGAGGCATGGCTTCCACAGCGATGGTCCAATTCAGTTGTCCTCATAGAGGCATACTGAGAGCTGATGTGCTTGTGTGGCGAGTTATATTTGGTTGTTGCAGCCAAATCGCCTGTAGTGTCTGTTACTGTAACCATCATTGGGTGTGTAACCCTTCAAGGTACACATTAGCGTTTCTGCAAAATGGCAGTGTTTTACCTCGATTGGTTTTAACCTTTCTAACCCTTCAGATGTAAACATAGCAGGGTTAATCCAACCTCTAGTGGCTGTCTTCCGGACAGCCGCTAGAGGCGCATATGCGACACTGGATGTGAAATTCGCATTCAGTGTGCAGAACGTCAATAGGAAAGCGCATTCCGCTACACTCAGGAGCTGACGTCAGCGGGGGGAGGAGCAGTGATCACCAGTGCCGAGGGAGCCCGGCGCTGGAGTAAGGTAAGCTGCTGAAGGGGTTTTTACCCCCTCAGTGCCAAGCGAGGGGGACCCTGAGGGTGGGCGCACCCTTATTATTATTATTATTATTATTATTATTATTACCATTTATATAGCGCCAACAGATTCCGTAGCACTTTACAATATTATGAAAGGGGATTTAACTATAAATAGGACAATTACAAATAAACTTACTTGGAGGCCATAAGCTTTCCTAAAGAGATGGGTTTTAAGGCACTTCTTAAAAGATGCAAGACTAGGGGAGAGTCGGATGGCGGTAGGCAGGCTATTCCTTAAGGCACTATAGTGTCAAGAAAACGGGTTTGTTTAACTGACACTATAGTGATCCTTTAAATTGACAGGACCACTGCATCCAGGCCATTGAATATCTTGTTGCAACGTGATAATTATAACTCCCCAGCTATGGCTGCGATTTAGTAGTGTTGTATAAAGATTTCAAATGATTTTATATTTTTTATTAAACTTTTACAATTATTTAACATTTTAATGTTGTAATATTTTGATATTGGCAATGATTTATATATGATCTAATTTTAATATATTTTTTTTAAAATTCTAAAAAGTTAATCCAAAAATATAAAATTATTTGAAAAGCGTATCCAACAATTTTAAATCGAGACCTACTTTTGATAAAGTAAGTTCCATTGTGGTAATGTCTCTATGTAAGACCGTTACAGGCTTTGATCTGCCTCTACAACTAATCTATAGACTGCCAGAGTGGGCACCTCAGATAGTTATTCACTTTTCCCATGATGCCAACGGAAGCTTAAGTCTCCCTGTGCATACTGGGAAATGTAGTTCGGGAACACCATGGTTACTTCTCCTCCATCTTTTTATTTTGTATATCCTTTTATATACCTTTGCGTTCTGTGCTAGGTTATATACTTCCTACACTCTTTCTAATGAATCGTTATTAATTTATCGCTGATCTTTTATTTCAATGTTCCTTTTTTTTTTCTTTCATTGTGAACTTTCAGCAATTAATGTTACATGTATTCTTATACAATATCAGAAATGTACTAATATTGTATATTTTTGTCTGTTGCACAGAGGCCAGCTCTGCAGGGGATCCGTGGCCTGACACAGGTGCGAACTGTGCACCGAGGTCCTTTGAGATTCTCTCCCCTTATTCCTATTGTGGTTGAGCAAACTGTAAGTGTATCTGGTGCATTGCTTTCCTTATACAGACGTACACACATTCTGACTTGGGGTACACGTTGATGGCTATAAAATAAACTTTTGTTGGGGTTTAAATGCGTCCAAGCCGCATAGTGACGCTGTAGCTCCAGTCAATTTGGAGGTTTTTATGTATTTTAGCTAACTTACAGTTATCTAATTGTGCTTTTATATTTATTTTTCTTAAACCCTTTCTTTATGAAAATTTGTATCAAATGCAAGGCTCCTGTGAAACTGTCTCGTGATCCCTAGCACACTATCTGTGATTGCACGTGGGCGAAGAGGAACAGTTAGTAATGGTTCTGTTGGGGACAGTTCCGCATATCGGTACACAGATTATTTTTCCAGTGATGCTCAGAGACCAGAGGGAACAAGTTTTCCGTTTATTATAATGCTAATGTTTAACCTGCGTAATCACTCCTTATAACTGTTTATCTAAAACAGGGCGACAGCAAGGCACCAGTGAACTGTTTAACAAAAGAAAGGTATATTTAAAAATATAGAAACCCAAGCGGGACAGAAATAGCCAATTTTTAGTCTTTTTCCTGAGATTTAACCTCCCCCTCCCCCCAAAAAATATACCCCCAAATGTATCTAAATACTTAAAGCCACTAGTCGCCAACAGGTAGACCCCCAGCTGTATGTGGAACTGTAGCTCTGATGTTTAAAGTTGGCAAAGGCTTTTGAGAACTGTAGTTTTAGCTCCCTTTTGGTTCTCCCTGCACTGAAGACTGGTAAGGAGCCTGACAAACACCTGCTCAGTTCTTCTAATCAGATTTCTTCCCCCTGAGAAACTGGTTGCAAACTTGGCGTGGACTGGGCATCCTCCTCTTTTAAAGCAGAAAAGCTTGCCCATCCCAAGCTGGGAGCCACGGCTTCTTTAGAATACAGGCAGAGCAGTATGTTATAATATATTCAATGTAATGTCTCACTGTATTTTATAAGATGGCAGGACAGGGCTAATCAAAGCTGTTATTCGTTCTCAGGGCCGCGGTGAGAGGGCGTATGATATCTACTCAAGGTTACTGCGAGAACGTATTATCTGCTTGATGGGACCGGTGGGTATCACAGCCTTGAAACACTTTTCAGTTCATTACCTGATATGGGAATTGTTGGAGATTTTTTCCTATTATGTTAATTTAGCATAAAATGTGCTATTTCCTTGTCCGTTATCCTCAATATCAGGTTAGTGAATAAACCGCATTGTTTAGATCAAACCTCCACAAGTGGCGCAGTCACGTTAAAATTACTGATTATTAGAGATACCGTATCCACCATGTTTTCCAGCTCTCATATCATTTATTCAAAGTGATGAGCAACATACAGAAAGTGCTGCCCTGCTGTATGCAGCAGTCAAATGCTGCAGGGAGTAAATGAAGTGATAAATCAATCAGAAATCCTACAACATATGCATTATCCATAACTCAGGGCATCATATTCATTCAACATGATGGAATCATGTGTGTTAAAGAAACATGGTGGGCATGGCAACCCTAGTATTAATTTGTACAGCCCAACGTGTTTAGCTTTCTGTTGTGTTATGGTGTGTTAGGCAATAATGTTAATAGTAGGAAGGCTCTGCAGGGGAATGATTTGTTTGCATGTTCTCTGTCTCTATCTCATTGTATAATGATACCATTTTCAGATCGACGATTCCCTCGCCAGCCTGGTGATCGCTCAGCTCTTGTTCCTGCAATCTGAAAGTAACAAGAAACCGATCCACATGTACATCAACAGCCCAGGTATAGATCCTGAACAGTTACCATGTAGATCCTGAGCGTATACCAATTAAAATATTTGTATATGGTTTGTGGCGAATAGGTGCCAAGCTCTATGAAATAACTTAATATGAATCATATCTTATGCCAGCAATTCCATTTAAAAAAAAAAAAAAAAATCTGCACAAGATAACACATATTATATCTTAATAACTTAGGGTGATGCTTTACCCATCTCTGGGACAGATTGTGCTATGGAGAAACATTCTCTATGATCTGGACTGTCTTAAAAAGTATCGCAATTTGGAATGAAAGGAATGCTCCACACCCAGAATGCACTTCAGCTTGCTGCAGCAGTGCTTTATGGGTGAGGAGTATTCCATTTCAAAGTCACTTTATAAAACTGCCAATGTCCATAAAAAATAACTAATGAAACAGCCTGCTTGCTGTTCATCGGACACCCAGAGACGTTTTGCTTCTTGCTTCCCTTAGCTCCCTTGAGCTAACGGAAATGGCAGTCTACTTGAGTGACAGTTAACCTGCGCGCGCCTGCGTACCTCCTTCTCAGATCAGACCCTCGTGTCTGTGTGATGGGGCACCTGTAGGAAATCAGGCTGTTTTCCCTGGAGTTTTTTTCCTGGGGGAAAAGGGGAGAACTCGCACAGGCTGCAGTTCATAAGAACTCCAGTTATGGCACAAAATTTTAAGATACACTCGCATAAAATATATACAAATAATACGTAGGAGCTTCGCAATTTAGATGAAAACACTTTTTCGTAGCTAAATAGATCAACAGGCGGTGTGACTGATATGGCAGTGCTTATAAAAAACACTAAACGTAGAAAACCAAAAAAATAAGATATATCCGTGTGCACACAAAACCCAGTGGGAGTATAAAAATGTAATATAAATAATACCACCATATAATGAAGTAAATTGGATGGTACCTAAAATATAAACATAAAACACAACATACTGTGAACTGTATACACTCACATATTCCAGAGCCGTACCAGGCTCTGTATTGCCGGCTCAAGGGTGCCAATTCAGGCTATCGATTCCACTGTCAGTAGTAGAAGATGATGATGGGACTTCAAGTTGGTCTAAAATAAATTTATTGAAAATATAACCTATAAAACAACTCAAGGTACTATGGGGGTGGAACCAGGCATATAAATCCAATATGGTAAATAAGCTAAACTTCCACTCACCACTATAACTAGTAATCAGGAGTAAGTATACCAAATATAAAAACAAGTATAGGTAACCCAAGGCTGTAGGCCTTCTTCCAGTGCTGGCTTCTAAGTCCCAAAAATCTCCTTTTATATGCCTCGTCTTCACTGATCACCTCGAGTTGTTTTATAGGTTATATTTTCAATAAATTTATTTTAAACCAACTTGAAGTCCCATCATCATCATCTTCTACTACTGACAGTGGAATCGGTAGCCTGAATTGCCACCCTTGAATCCCCGCAATACAGAGCCTGGTACGGCTCTGGAAAATGTGAGTGGTAGTCCTACGTCTATTCACAGTTTCTTTTGTGTATACAGTTCACAGTATGTTGTGTTTTATGTTCATATTTTAGGTACCATCCAATTTACTTCATTATATGGTGGTATTATTTATATTTAATTTTTATACTCCCACTGGGTTTTGTGTGCACACTGATATATCTTGTTTTTTAAAAATACGTGCTTGTATTCATTGGGACTATATCTACGAAACTGTGATTTGAGTTTTATTTAATTTGCTTCTTCATTTGGGCAGTGGAGTGTCCCTGTAAGTATTGTGAGCAGAGTGATTGACATGGCCTCTAACCAATAGGAAATTGAAAATTTCTAGTAAACAGACCTCTAATCCGCTAGTCCTGAGGCAATGCAATTTACAGGCAGTTAAAGAACAAAGCACAGAAAATCTAATTTTTTTTTTTTATTATATAATATATATTTTATGTATTTATTTTATATGGGAGATAGAATCAGGTTTTAACTATTACAGTTATAAAATGGAAGATTTATTCCATTACTGATCCTGCCGCCAGTTCCCCGGATGTAGGAATGGATACCGGATGCAAAGTATCCGGCTATGAGTGAGATAAAATGAAACTATAGGAATCGTAAATTCCTCTGATAGATTATGTGCAAGTCAGCAAAGCTTCTAACCTACCTGTGATAGCTGTTTTTTATCTTGAATATTACTTCTTACAGGGAAAAAAAGATAGATAGCAGAAAGCATTTTCCTGACATACTACACGGGCTGTCACCCGGAGAATAATCAGATATTGATATGGTTTTGTTTAGTAACCTGGAAATAGTGGACAATTAAGTTGCAGTTGATTAGTAATCAAACTTCAAACATTCTCTGCTTCTGCTTTTATTGTCTAATATTTGCCTTTCCTGTGTCAGCTTCTCACCCAATTTCAGTTTTATTCAATTGTGATCTGTAGTACGTGACTATAAAGGAATCAATTAATTTCTAATTTCCTTTCTTGATTTCACCTAAAACCAGTCAAATAAATGTAAAGTGACCTCTAACACTACCCTGACTCAGACCTGTCAACACCAGCATTAGCACCTGTCACCGCTCAGTAGAAAGTGACACGTTTGTTGATTGATGAAAATATGTCGGTTTATTACCGCGTCTTGCGGATTCCGATGTTTAGCTATGTAAAAAAGATGCAAAACCGCTCTTTCATAACAGGACCTGTGTTACTTTCATTTGTGTAAGTGATAACTTTGCCTTCATATGGGCACAGTGTACGAACAAATTAAAATAAAGAATTTATACTTAAAAAGAAAAACCCACAAAAATCATGTCGGCAATAGATTTCCTGCTTCCTGCTCGGTGATGATACACATTGAAGCCTTTCTTCTGTCCTGCGACTAGGTTATGTCTGAGCCAATAATACGATCAGCGATCTGTTCATTTTTATTTCACTTCCAGCAGCTAATTTGCAAGAAAAATGTAGCTGTAGATGCAATGGGGTTAATGCCAGTGTTCGCTAATTCTGAACTTGGGTTGTTTGCAGTAAAAAAAAAAAAAAAAAAATAGAATAAGAAGCAGCATAATACCTACATATGTTTTGATCCCATTTGCATTTATCAATGTACAATGACCCCAAAGTGGCTGCACGGAGACCCCACCCCCAATTCATGAAAACATGTCTGGCCAATAGTTATCGAGCAGCTCTCATTATGTTGCATTTAGTAAGTGCTCATTTGATTAATAGAGGAAGAGTCTCTAGGCAAGTTTTTAAAAAATATTTTTTTCACCAAATATATTTGCATAGCGCCAAGAATACCCGGCGGTTTAAAATATAAACAAAATAATAATGGCGCACACTAACCTGCAATCCCACCACTTTTGCAGACTGAATATTTCTCTTTATTTATCTTATTTTGTTCCGTTATCCAGCAGTGAGATATAAATAAACCTTGAGAATCAGCTGGGAACGGACTAGATCAGTAACGGCCTCTGGGATTAAGGCTTAGTGCTCTGCTGGCGACTGGTGGGAGGCAGAGGATAACAACAATGATTAGTTTAGTTCCCTCTAAGAACTGTTAGAGCCCCATGACTTATTCGAGGGGGGCTCTAACCGTAAGCATTCATTCTCAGTCAGTTCTACTTTCTGTTTGGTTTCTTTGTCCTTTAATTTGAAATTCACTTTCACTTTGATTAATCCTGTAAATGGTGAAATCTTGACAACATTTTCTCATATTTGTTTGCATTGTGCTTGAGTTCTCATTCATCGTGCATACCATAGGATGTGGCTTCTGTCAATATTCATTTCTGAGCTGTCAGGCCTGGAACACACAGTAAAGTGCTCAGAGGGAATTGTTGTGATAAGATCAGAATAGTTAGTCTGGCAGACTACTGAGAAGAAAGTGCATTTGTGTGAAATATGGGAATTAATTATGTTGGTCAAGGAAGGATTGTGTGATTAAACGGGCTGCGGGTGAATAACGACGGTGGGGTGTGGAGGGAGGATACACTGGTAGAAGGTGCTGAGGGGTGCGTATTCAGAACCAGCGAGGGCACAGGAGGATGAGGAGTGCTGTTAGGACTCGTCTGGTGTGAAAGCAGAAAGGAAGACACAAGCAGTGGTTGTAGGGGATTTGGATAGCAGGGCAATGGATTTAAATATGGGATTTTTGCAGTTTAAAAGCTAAAGTCAGCCGGATTCCCAGCCTAGCACAGCCGTTCTGGTGTGTTCGTAAAATATGTCAGATGGAATTTAATTTTGAAATTATGTAAAATTGCGACACGGAGACACAGGGGTCTGCTCTCATATATATCGCCCACTAGGGGACGGCTTCACTAGGGACTCATTAAGTTAGGTCACCTGATCTCTTGGTAAAAATGGCTGGTTCAGCTCTGACAGCATGCAAAGCGTAGTTCCCAGCCTCGCTAAGCAGACTGTGGGCTGAAACAGTGGGATGTGATTGTACAATAATGGTTAACCTTTGCATTTTCCCATGATGCTCAGCAGGTCCTGGTTATCACCAGCCTACAGTTTTCAGTGTGTATCAAGTTTCACTGTGGGTTTATCTTTCAAAATGTGCAGTGTGAGATTTGGAAAATTATACACATTGATCATCTTCGTCAGTAGTGACAGATTCCCAGCACCAACCATTTTTATTTGTTTTTCCTTTTTTGGGGGAGTTGCAGTAAAACAGATTGGTGTAATATTTAACCCCACAACTTGCCTAAAGCCCCTTCCTAATACCTAAACCTCATGTTTTCTGCATTTTCTTCAAACATTCTACCTATACCGGAAGCCTTTACAATGATACCATGTTTAATGAAATGAGTGCAGTTTATGATGTTATAATTACATTTACATTGAAGCTCCAACATGTTCTGCGGCGTGTACAAAGTTTAGAGTTAAGACCAGGTTGAAGAGTTACAATAAATGATATATTTACATAAACCATCAGAAAGCAAGCCCTGCTGTGAGTCTAATATCTGGAATGTGCAACAATTTATAAAAAGTGCTTAGTAAGATGGTCCAAGAGCTTACACTCTAAAAGAGATAGTGGAGAGTGAGACAGAAGTTAAATAAGAATTGGTTGTTTGAAGAAAACAAAAATGTGCATTATAGAAAATATTGTTTGAGATGTGAAAATTAAAGAGAAGCCTTTTCAGTGCTGGAAATTGTCCCCTGTGTTCTAAGATACAAATGTAATTTCTATGTTGTCTTTACGCAGGGGGATCGGTGACATCAGGCCTGGCTATCTATGACACCATGCAGTATATACTGAACCCTATATGCACTTGGTGCGTGGGGCAGGCGGCCAGCATGGGATCCCTTCTTCTTGCCGCTGGAACCAGTGGGATGCGACACTCTTTGCCGAACTCCCGAATCATGATCCACCAACCCTCTGGGGGGACAAGGGTAAGGATGGAGGGTGATGGGAAGCAAGACCCATATTCATGTCATGGTGATGCCATCTGTTGGAAGGTTTCTCTGTAAAAGTACGGTACAGCCTGAGCCACGTGTTTGGCTCAGACAGATTGGGCTAGAGTTACATTACGGGACACCATAAACTTTAACATGAAAAAGTAAAGTTTTCATGGTTTAAACCAGCGATAGAACCAGCTCCAGTGCTGTGTTTTGCAAACCACAACTGATCTGCTATTGTAGGGAGGTAAAACAAAAATTAGGAGAATGCTGTATATTGTTATAAACAAAAATAAATAAATAAATCCCCTTTTAAATGGTGAAAAAAGGAAGCAGAAGGTTATATAGGATAGAACTCACTAATGAACAATTTAACATTGTCACAAAAAAACAAAACTGCTTAAAGAAACATACTGATAATAAAATGACTGAACGTTCTCATGAAATGATCTTATTTTGTGAGTAGTTTCTGTGTTTCTCTTTTTTTCTTTTTGTTCTTAGTACACAATGCAGATCATTTTTTTTCATTTCCTCGTCATGGATTTATAATTAATAATTATTTTGATTTTCCAACCTTGTGGTATCATCTTTGGTTTTATCTTATATTTGTGAATGGAATTACTACATTGATGGTATACCTTCCGTCCCAGAATACACAATTTTTTCCCTGGTTTCCTGCTTAGTGGTGTACTAGCAAAACCATTAACAGATTTATTTAACCAATCATTAACAGGAGTAGTCCCAGAAGATTGGAAGTTAGCGAATGTTGTGCCCATTCACAAGAAAGGTAATAGGGAGGAGTCGGGCAACTATAGGCCAGTAAGCCTTACTTCAGTAGTGGGGAAAGTGATGGAAACCATGTTAAAGGATAGGATTGATAAACATCTAAAAATCACATGGATTTCAAGATCAGAGACAACATGGGTTTACTTCAGGGAGATCATGCCAAACTAATCTCATTGATTTTTTTTGATTGGGTAACTAAAATAATAGATCAGGGTGGTGCAGTAGACATTGCTTACCTAGATTTCAGTAAGGCTTTTGACACTGTTACACATAGAAGGCTTATTGATAAACTGCAATCTTTAAGTTTGGATTCCAATATTGTTGAATGGGTAAGACAGTGGCTGAGTGACAGGTAACAGAGGGTTGTAGTTAATGGAATATATTCGAAGCTTGGGCTTGTCACCAGTGGGGTACCTCAGGGATCTGTACTTGGACCCATTTTCTTTAATATTTTTATTAATGATATTGCAGAAGGGCTTGATGGTAAGGTATGTCTTTTTGCTGATGATACTAAGATATGTAACAGGGTTGATGTTCCAGGAGGGATAAGCCAAATGCCAAATGATTTAGGTAAACTAGAAAAATGGTCAGAATTGTGGCAGCTGGCATTTAATGTGGATAAGTGCAAGATAATGCATCTTGGACGTAAAAACCCAAGGGCAGAGTACAGAATATTCGATAGAGTCCTAACCTCAACATCTGAGGAAAGGGATTTAGGGGTGATTATTTCTGATCACTTAAAGGTAGGCAGACAATGTAATAGAGCAGCAGGAAATGCTAGCAAAATGCTTGGTTGTATAAGCAGTAGAAAGAGGAAAGTGCTCATGCCATTGTACAGAACACTAGTGAGACCTCACTTGGAGTATTGTACGCAGTACTGGAGACCGTATCTTCAGAAGGATATTGATACCTTAGAGAGAGTTCAGAGAAGGGCTACTAAACTGGTTCATGGATAGCAGGATCAAATTTACCAGGAAAGGTTAAAGGATCTTAACATGTATAGCTTGGAGGAAAGACGAGACAGGTGGGATATTATCGAAACATTTAAATACATAAAGGGAATCAACACAGTAAAGGAGGAGACTATATTTAACCCCTTAAGGACACATGACGGAAATATTCCGTCACGATTCCCTTTTATTTCAGAAGTTGTGTCCTTAAGGGGGTTAAAAGAAGAAAAACTACCACAAAAAGAGGATATAGTCTTAAATTAGAGGGGCAAATGTTTAAAAATATCAGGAAGTATTACTTTACTTAGAGAGTAGTGGATGCATGGAATAGCCTTCCAGCTGAAGTGGTAGAGGTTAACACAGTGAGGGAATTTAAGCATTCGTGGTATAGGCATATGGCTATCCTAACTATAAGATAAGGCCAGGGACTAAGTAAAAGTATTTTGAAAATTGGGCAGACTAGATGGGCCGAATGGTTCTTATCTGCCGTCACATTCTATGTTTCTTTGTTAATAGTGAAAGCATGGGGAGGTTGATATTTTTTCTAGATTGGTGAATGCTACATAGAATTGAGTTCAATTAATTGAATCGATTATTCCCATGAGCTGTAACCTTCTTTACTATTATTTCAGGGTCAGGCCACAGATATCGCCATCCAGGCTGAGGAAATCCTAAAACTTAAGAAACAGATCAATGAAATCTATGCCAAACACACACGGCAGCCTCTGTCTCTGATTGGTAAGGCCCCAAAATTATTCCTTGTGATTGCTGGTGTGCTTATTAATGGAGCCATGCCAGTCATCGTATAAATGAAATGAAGTTTGTTTCTCCTACACCCAGTATGGAATCCTTAACCCCTTAAGGACCAAACTTCTGGAATAAAAGGGAATTATGACATGTCACACATGTCATGTGTCCTTAAGGGGTTAAATGAACTCTATAGTCACCTAAATTACTTTAGCTAAATAAAGCAGTTTTAGTGTATAGATCATTCCCCTGCAATTTCACTGCTCAGTTCACTGTCATTTAGGAGTTAAATCACTTTGTTTCTGTTTATGCAGCCCTAGCCACACCTCCCCTGACTATGATTGACAGAGCCTGCATGAAATAAAAACTGGTTTCACTTTCAAACAGATGTAATTTACCTTAAATAATTATATCTCAATAAATTGAACTTTAATCACATACAGGAGGCTCTTGCAGGGTCTAGCAAGCTATTAACATAGCAGGGGATAAGAAAATCTTAATTAAACAGAACTTGCAATAAAGAAAGCCTAAATAGGGCTCTCTTTACAGGAAGTGTTTATGGAAGGCTGTGCAAGTCACATCCAGGGAGGTGTGACTAGGGTTCATAAACAAAGGGATTTAACTCCTAAATGGCAGAGGGTTGAGCAGAGAGGCTGCAGGGGCATGTTCTATACACCAAAACTGCTTCATTAAGCTAAAGTTGTTCAGGTGACTATAGTGTCCCATTAAGCGTAATAGTAAATTATCTTATAGCAACAAAGTGTTACTTGCAAGTTACATAAACATCACATGAAATTAATTGGGCTATACACAGAATGTATACAGCAATAAAATAATCGTAAAATAAAACAACCCAAATTACTCACCAAACATCCCAGGAGCAATTCAGATCGTTCTGGGAACAGTACATATGAGACTATTAAAGGAACACAAAGCACCAGAACCACTACAGCTTATTGTAATGGCCTTGGTGCCCAGAGGCTGTCTCTGCATGCCGACAAATGTAAGCATTGCTGTTTCTGAAAAAAGGCATTGTTTAAATCTGTGAGTCAGAATGTCTATAGTGACTGTCAATCAGACAACCGTAAAGGCACTTTCTAGTGAAGACTTAAAAAAAAAAAAAAAAGCAAAGTCTTCACGTTCGGCATCACGGCAAAGCCAAACACTATTAAGGCTCTCCGTAGAGAAGCATTATAATGCTTTTCAATGAGGAGAATCCCACAGTACACCCCACAATAATTCTCTCTGGAGATGCATTGGATTGTCTCAGATCATCCATATGGATGTTCTCAGCCGCAGGTGGAGTGGTGGCAAGATTGGTGCAGGACAAGTGTGAGTTTTACTTTATTTTTGTAACATTGTAATGGGGTCCCTAAGTTTAAAAAAAAAAAAAAATATATATATATATACATACATATAAAACCAGGTAGAATCCATGCACTCACGCTGAATATAACTTGTGTGTTAACATTTACCCACAGTGTTAAATAAAATTGCTGGGTGCTAGTCCATAGGAGGAAATAGCAATACTCCAACACACGAACATAAATTCAAGGGCTGCACTCACGGTCTGAATAATGAAACTCTTATTTTATTCCATAAGAAAGACGAACAGGATGACATGTCATTTGATCCTGAGGAAGGTCCCTGCACGGACCGAAACGTTGATCCTGTTCGTCTTTCTTATGGAATAAAATAAGAGTTTCATTATTCAGACCGTGAGTGCAGCCCTTGAATTTATGTTCATGTGTTGGTATATATATATATATACACACACACGTTTGTGTATATTTATTACTGTATTACTGATAACAGTATTTGTCATACAAGCACATATACATTCAGACTGCCGTATATGTACGTAACTTTGTCAGACTCACCGGTCTGTTATTTCCCCATACAGAGTCCGTAATGGAGAGGGATCGCTACATGAGCCCCACAGAAGCCCAGGAGTTTGGCATCCTGGACAAGGTGTTGGTGCATCCGCCACAAGACGGTGAAGACGAACCTGAACTGGTTAGAAAAGAGGATGTACAGTCTCCACCAACAGAGCCCTGACGAGGTAGAAGGCCCCCTGCTGGTGACTGCTTACACGTTGTGGATGCTGCTTGGAGAAAGGGGTGCCCCAGTACACCCAGAAATGTGACACATACCGTAGCAGGCACCTGCCTGTCTAACCCTTTGAGTGCCAGCGGTGTTCACAATACAATGGACATTCCTCTGCTGCTTCAAAGTTTAAAAGTAAAGTGTACAACCTCCTTCTAAAGCTCCTCTTTGCCAGAAGGGCGCCCAAACCATGGTTTTGAATAGATATGTCAGATTTTCCTATTTATTGTACCATTGATTTCTATGCTGGAAGAATATTCATTTATGTTACTCTTTTAATGCAGAGCACTGCAGACCCCTGCTGGAGGATAATATGCAGAGTAGAAATTATATTCCAGCCCACGTCTCAATAACTCCTCTCTAGTTCCCGGGTTGTGACATGGTCTGTTAGTTTAGCTCCCCAATGTAATGTTTTTCTGCTTAAACCAGGCTCTTCTAGGCAGGCTGAATCTTTGTTGGAAATAAACTTATTTTCACATACACTTGATACCACTCTTGTCTAATTAAAATAAATGCAACAATGTGTTCTGGAAAATTTCTTTATTTGAGAGCTTCCTAACTAAAGGGTGCTTAACCCCTTAAGGACCAAACTTCTGGAATAAAAGGGAATCATGACATGTCACACATGTCATGTGTCCTTAAGGGGTTAAAGAGAGACTCTAGGATGGAGCTGACGCATTATACAGCTAATGCATTAAAAGGTATTCTCTAAAATGGGAAAAATATGATCCATTCCTAACCTGCATTTCCTGCAAACTGTCAGACTGCACAGCTTCTGCAGTGACCTCTTTGTAGGTCTGAAAGTGACTGAGCCAGTCATGGTTCTCCCTTAATGTTCAGTAGCTCTGTGAGCTTACAGCTTACTATAAGCAGAGTGTTATGTATACAGCACGGGCTTTGTGGGTGTTGTAGTTCAATTGTAAGATAACCTACTCATTGCACCTTTATGCAGTTGTCTCTAATATCCCTGAAAATCTCAACTTTTATTAAAGGAACACTATAATGTTAGGAATACAGAGCCGATTCCAGTGCAGAGATCACTTATCTCTAGATCGCTCTGTCTCCTCCGATGTTCACACATTAGGCCTTCCCTATAGGAAAGCATTGAGTCAATGCTTTCCTATGAGGATTTGAAGATGCTGGACCTCCTAATGTAAAGCGTGAGGATGTTAAACTCTGTGAAAAGCCACAAAGAGCCTCTAGTGGATGTCTGGGAGAGAATCTTGACACTGCACCCTGACCACTTCATTTAGATGAAGTAATGTGCCTGCAGTGTCCCTTTAAAAGTATCATTGCTAAATAGCATATCTAAAGAAATAGCTGTTCGGTGGTATCGATCTTTCAGCAGAAGGTACTTTGAGCTAAAGACTAATCCATGTTCCCTGTCATGGTACAGACACTCTAGAATGGGTAGTGTCCCACATGATTATCTTCTGCAAACCTGTCATCAGTTACCCCCAGGATCAGAAGATCTTTACAGTAGGTAAACGCCTACTTGAGTCACTTGTTCACTTACCTGTGTTAAAGCAGTGATCTAAAACAGAGACCTGTTGGTGGGTCCTTTTGACAGACTAGAGGAACATTTTCTGTGAAAGCTAGTGTGACACTAATTTAAAGAAACTAATTCATGCATCCAACCATGGCAGTAGCAGAAGGGCTCGAAGACGTACGGATTTGTAGATAAGATAAAAAACGCATAACAGAGAGCGCCTGACATCTGATCTATCACTGGGGAAACAGTAACACAAGTGTGACTTGTTCATTTACCATCTGCACTTAATGTTTCAAAAGTAAAGCAGGTAAATACGGATATATCTTGAAATCCATGTATAGCCTAATCTTTTGGGCAGAAAAATGTGTAGATTGAATGATTTGCAGTTTAAAGAGTCACTCAGCACCCCAGCCACACTTCAAAGCGTGCCCTGCAGCCGGTCTCCTTGCACTCAGTGATGTATGACTTCGGCAATATCTAAGCCTACCCCGTTAGTCTGTGACATAAAGAAGGAATTTTACTTCTGGTGTAATCCAAGACCTGTCCATCTTGGACAGATCTATCGCCTGTACAGTTCTAGAGAGCCTGAGCCATGGCGGCTCTCATTAATGGTTGGTGGCTTTGGAGGTTGCTGCACACAGCCATGGTCTGTATAACGTCATAGCAGCTATCAGTTTATTTAGCAGCATCAATCATCATGGGATTAATGGAAAAGAACTTTGGGAGCAAGCAAGCAAGCTATCCTGTAAACTGCTACAGAGCAAGAGTTGAGATTAAAAAAAAAAAAAGTTGGATTAGAATTGGAATCTTTGATTTGATGGAACCTTTTCCTGTTCTGGGAGGGGAGGAGGCCACCTGCTTGTGCTGTATTAGAAAAAGACAATTCAAGAGTGGCTATCTTTATTGTATATTATTAGGTGTGGGTGGCCATCTTGTAGAACTGGTTATCATGACAGTTGTGGCAGGTCATTGGACTAGAAAGGGTGAGTAGGCAGCTGTGAAACTCTTTAAATTTGTCAAAGGCTGTTTAAGTAAACATGAAAGGAAGGGAGGACACTGGCAGGCAAAGCTGAAGGTGAGCCACCCATTAGACTAACACTGTATTTAATACAATGTATAATAGGTGGATGTGGACCTCTGACCTGTAGCATGTTCCAGGTATGTCTGGAATGTGGTGTCCCAGGGGCTAGACAATGGCTGACGGAAGGGGTTTAGCATTTGAACAGAAACATTACACTTGCCTTGACAATTCCCATCATGCATTTCAGTAACATTAAAGCTCACCTTTTTATCATGTCTGTGGCAACTCAGAGAGAGAATCTCTAGAACTGAAAGGATATTATAAATTAAGTTGACCTCAATAAAAGTTGTATCAATACACCATGTAAAAAGGTCTATAATCTTAGATTTCTTGACAAGAAAATAAAAATAAATCTGTTACAAATCTGTGTACTACAAGAAACCCATTGGATGAGATTGAACAAAAACATTAAGACTGAGCAGATTAAGGGTTAGTGCTAATAATGGGGGACTTCAATTGTGTAATTGACCCTTTGAAAGATAGAAAGAGCCAATGTGATAGGAAAAGCAGGAAAACAATGGTGAATAGATTGCAAAACCTATTGAATAATTATAATTTGGGAGATATATTGAGAACATTCCATCCATCTGACCTACACTACACATTCTATTCCAGAACATTCAACTCTTATTCTAGGATCGATTTTATCCTGGGAAACGTGACCATGTCATATCTTTTTAAAAGAATAGACAGACCTACAGGATACAGCATGGTCAGATCACAGCCATTATGTTGGAATATAAAGACAACTTTGATAATTTTTGCAAAGAGTGGTGCATGAAAGATTTTATGCTACACAAAAAAAATAAAAATGAAGAAAATAAAGGCACACCGTATATCACGGTCTGGTGCGCTTACAAAAGCGTAGCTGGAGGCCACATGATAAAAATTTTGCCACCGCAAACAAAAAAGGAACACTGCCCCTCTCCAAATTATATATAATACTAAAGGAATATTAAAGGCAGAATAAAATAACACCTTCCACACAAATAGCAAGGAAGATTGAAAAAACAGATAAACAACAAGTTAATGAACAAGGCAACTAAACAGCTAGACGTACTAAAATCCAAGTGGTATTTAAAGGGAAATAAGTGAGAAGCACGAATGACCAACAAATTGAAAAAAGAGAAACATAAAAAAGAGTGATATACAAAATAAAAGATAAAGATACTTCTCTAATGGCCCCAGAAAAAAATAAGAAGTGCCTTTGAAAGATTTTATCGGGAATTAAATAACTTACCAGAAGAACTATTCGGTAGGGAAAGAGAAATTCTTCGAAAGCATAATTATGCCAAAAATCATGTCTGACCAATAAAGCTGATAAACCAGCCCATAACAGAAGAAGTTAGTAAATCTATAGATAAACGTAAAAGACTGCTCCAGGCCCAGACGGCTTTACAAACAAATTCTACAAACTATTGAAAGATCAATTAAAAGGGGAACCAACTACCATCTTTAACTACATAATGAAAACAGGATGTTGCCCTGGAGAGGTGTTGAGGAGGAATATTGTCCCCATCTGAAAATCAGATAAAGACCCAGAACTGATGAGCAATTACAGACCCATTTCATTAATCAATACCAATATCAAAATACTATCCTATAGTCTTGCTAACAGATTAAAAAATAGTAATACCACAGTTAATCAATAACGATCAAGTAGGTTTTATACCAGGGAGGACCTCAATCAATCTTAGAAAAATAATAAAAATATTAGAAGAAACAGAGAACAATGGAACCCCTCTAATGTTATGGTCAATAGACGCAGAGAAAGCGTTAAACAGGGTTGGATGGGGTTTCATGTTCGCCACCTTAAAACAATTTGGAATCACTGGATCAATATTACAAGCCATGTCCGCTCTACAGGTCTCCATCTGCAAAGGTAATAGAGTCTGGTTTTACATCACAAAATGTCAATATTGACAAGGGTGCCCTCTTTTCCCCTTACTGTATGTAATGGCGTTAAAACCCCTTACAATTTCAATAAGACAAAATAAAAAAAAATAAAAAGGTTTTACGAATGCAGTAGGACAAATAAGATTAAATATCTACGCAGACAATATCCTACAATCATTAGAAGAACCAAAAATTGTGGTCTCAGAGCTTCTAAAGGTGATAAGTAAATACTCATACATTTATTGCTAAAAATATGAACAAAAGGTTAACTGACTTTTGTACAAAATATCGTGTTCCCCGAAAATAAAGATAGTCTAAAGTATTTAGGTATAACCTGAAAGATCTGATAGAAGCCAACTTTTAACTGCTATTAAAACAAACAAATAAAAACTTAAGGGATTGGAAAGGCTTGGGTTTTTCCTGGTCAGACAGGATCAACATCTTAAAAGCATACATTTTACCAAAATGGCTGTATTTATGGAGAATGATCCCTCTAAATTTCCCAGAAAATTGGCTTTTTTTAAAGTTCATATGGAGAGGCAAGGAAGCAAGGGTTAAAAATGAAAGTTTTGGCTAGTTTTAGGCAGGATGGAGGATTGGGGTGTCCAGCAATTTCACAATGCTGCTACCAGGCCAGCAGGTTATTTCATATACGACTTTCACAAAACAAGGTGACAACTCCAGAAACATAGTACAAAATGAAAAAAGATAAAATGGGTAGGAAGCCTATCCTCACTATTTTGGGTCTTAGATAAGAATAAAACCTTTATTAAACAGGCACAAACTAAATCACAAATACTCAAAGAATTAACAAGTTGGTGGGTCAAATTTACAACTAACATAGGACTGTCAGAAATAGAATAATAGATGTCCTCCCAATCTCTATCATTCCAGATATATTAGATAATATTAAAATAGATACTTGGACAACCAGGGGGTAAGGGAATTCAAAAACATACTAGTGGAACATAAAATCAAGTCCTTCAATCAAATTATGGAGGAATATTATATTTCCCCCAAAGAAACCTTGAATTATCTGCAAATTAAATGCTTCATAGCAGAATAC